TGCTTTATTCATCTTTCAATGATATGTGCAGGGTAAACAAAGGCAGTACTGCATATATTCCTGCAGGTATCGCATGAACATAGAATGGAATATTTGTTTTAGTATATCATTATTAGGCCTATGATCAGAGTCCACAAATAAGCAATGAGTCTTATCAATTCAAAATTTGAAGTGTGAAATATATTTGATATTTTTGATCACATGGTACGATATTGACCAATCACAATGTGAGGATTCTATCAATGATATACATGTACTACTGTTAGTGTTTAAGCTAAAAGAGTAAATTCACAAACTCTTATATTAATTTGCAATCTCAGCCATGACTGAATCCACAATTTAAACCATTTCAAAATAAACCTTTGGATTCTTTAACTAAGTTATACCTTCCTTTTGGTAAATCAAAGAAGCTATGCTATATTGCCTAGATTGATGATCCAGTTGGTTTTAGCTTGCAATTTGTCCATGCAAAAATGTCATAAAATACCTCCTGCATTAACTTCTTGAAAAGAACAACCTATGACATGACCAATCTAGCCAATATATCATAACTTCATTGATTTACAGTGGCAGGGTCTATCAATCAGATAAATCTTCTAAGATGACGCAAACTTTAAAGGAAGTAAGGAAAAGGCAGTTATAGTCAATAATTTATAATGTGATGAGCAATATGACTATATGATATTTAATATTTTTAGCTATGTTGTGGAATTTTACTTTTTAATAATGTTTCTATTTGTATTTTAAAATTAATTATATTTTTTGTTTTTTGTTGTCATGTTTCTTTGATCTGTTTGTAAATTAATCATAATTAATCAATCAATTAATTATTCTAAATGAATTGATATTTTAATCAAATGAATTTAGTAATGTAAATGAAAGCATGGCATTAATTTTGTTAGTAAAATTAATTTGCCTGTAGAGGTCTCACCCCTCTACAGGCAAAACCAAAATGTATGGAACAAAATGTGATATTTCATTGGAAAGACCAGTTATGTTGGTTGGTATATGTTTGAAACCTGTTAATCAAATTCAGAAATTGTATAACTTGAGGGCGCCATACACCTAAAAAAAACATGGCAATTTGGCAGGATTTTTAGATCAGAGATAAAGAAACTCAAAATGGCAATACATGTACATGGCAGTAAATTTAACCCATTTGTTTGATGTGTAGTAAATAGAGAGTCAGTGGAAAGTGGTGGAGACTTTTTGTAAGATGTGAATTGTGAAAAAAATAATAATTTAAGTGTCATATCCTGCTCAATCATCCTCCTAAGCAGGTATCCAGAATCCTTCTTCCCCCTGCTATAACCATTGAATAATAACAATATAACATTTGAAAGCACCCGATTAAACTGAATCATGTGATCTAATTATGCGCAATGACTTATACATGATTTCTGTCGCAGTGTTGTTCGCAGGATGTTCTCAATTTGATGCAATAAAAGCTGCCGGAGGAGGGCACTCTAACTATTTATGACATCGTGAAAGAATAGGTAAATTTCATCCATACTTGAAAGTTGGTGAGTTAATGTAACTTTGGATGATCTTTCCAATGGTATATCACACTAGGTACCATATATTCAAGTTTTAGCTGTAGCATGTGGAACGGGACTTTTTTGACACCCTGTACAAATCAAATATATTCTATTTCTTTTTGTAGTTCTGTCGTTACAAAAAATCATTAGATTCATTGCCATACTATCAATACTATTTGTTGACAGCTCTCAAAACTATGTTTTGACTATGTAATGTTACCATATATGGTGTTATAATAACTTACCCGGAGATTATGTACAAAATAACACATAATGTACATAAATGTATATTTTTGTATTTATTGTTAAATGTAAGTCCCAATAAGAAATATATTAGCATGTACAAATAGAGTATCTTGTAAAACCTGACGTGATAACCACGCCCCTTTTGTCTTGATCGTTCCAAACTCCTATAGATAAGAGGGGGGGTATGTATGTATTGGTGATTTAGCAAAATATATTTTCTCATTTTCTGCAGTTCTATGTATGTGGATGAGACTCCTTTCTGAATAGATACCTCACCCCCCTCACCATCCCACCCCCCCCCACCATCCCCACCCCCTCAGGATACCAGTTGACATTTGCCCATTTTGAATATCATAGACCTTTCAATTATACCATGTCATATTTCGTACAATTACAGATTCTCATTTTAAACTTTGACCTAACGTTAGCCCTAGTTTCTTCTAGACATGGGTGCCCACTGCCCAGTGTAGGATAAAGGGGTGCTCATTGCCCAATATGTAGGATGCAGGAGTGCCCACTGCCCTTTGTAGGATAAAGGCATAATGTTGGAAAACGAATTGTGTTACTTTGTCTAATTGTCTAATCAGATTAGATAGTCTTGTGTAATATAGAATATAAATAAACTAGCAATATCATGAAATTGATATAATTGTTTCTTTGAATGTTTGTTTCTTATTGCTTTGAATAAAAATAAATATCGAAGTCAGGGGGCAAAAATCATTTGTCCGGAATTTTTAGTTGGTGTCTTTTCAGATAAGATATTAGAAAACCTAATACATAAAAGATATATTTAATCATGAATAAATCTTTATCCGAGGGTCTCCCCTAACAGTACCTCCATACATGTGGGTCTGATTTGCACTTTTTCTTATATGGATATTCCATGACTCGCTTTGCCTAGAGAAGGTTTCAAATGAGAAAAAAATGCAAATAGGCCCACATTTATGGAAACTCAGTAGCGACCGGGGGTTCGAGGACCCTCGGTCAAAATTTCCAAACATTTATTGCTGTGTCATTTCATAAGTGTACGGGGAGCTTCAAAAATGATCGCAGTGACCAAAATAAGCTATTTTGTAAAAATCTTAGGATGAGCCCTCGAATTGAAGGACTCTTATTCCGCGATTATCTTCATTATTTCCACAAGAGATTGTTGGATATCGATTTAAAGTACCTTGTAGATTATCGTGTTTCGTACAAAAGTTGTGAGAATAAGGAAAAATGTTAAAAAGAAACGAGAAATTGACGTGCGCAGAAAACCTTTAGCTTTTTTGGTGAAATACCGAGAAACTTTTTAAACTTGAACATTTCCTTCATTGATTATTGATTGTTTTGAGAATGGTGTGGACACGCTGGTCCAACTATGCACGTTGAAACCCGTTGATTTGAATTTTAGACGTACCGGATGTTTGAAAATCAAAGATTGTAAGTCTCAAACTGCACCGTTTTTCTTCAAACTTGTTCCATACAAAGTAAAACAAAAATGCCTTTTCTGTTAGTATAGTCCCTCTTTTTAGCGGCGTTTTGGACCCGCGTGGCAACGCATCGATTGATAGATATTTATGGGGAGGGGGTGCAGCGAATCACAAAATGCGTCACTCTATCTTTCACCGCATTTTAGAGTAAATAGGGAGTTTAAGCTTGCAATGTTTTTCACAACTGACCTAAGCGTGAAGGGAAAATATTTAAGCTATGCATTTGTCCATTTGTGTGGGCGTTTGGTCATGCGTATATGTTGGCGTTTCGATTTTATATGTAAGCTTATGATAATGATGAGGTACTCTATTAGTGCCCACTTTATTTCTGGGGAAATTCGATTTTTCTGATGTATTTGTTAATACTTGGTCACTCCTCGGCGATAGTTTTTGAACTTTATGGTCGCTAAATACGGCGATTATCAGATTATTGTAACTTCTTAAGCTAGACCTACATGTATGTTTGTTCCTCGTTCGATTTTCAGATTTGTAAAATTTGATTTTTACCAAGAATTCAATGCTGTAATATGTTGTTCAGATATGCCTCCCGGTATGCCTCTCATATTGCACCAGAGAGAGTCTAAATTTCACAGGAAGTGATGAAGTCGTTTTTGGGCCTAAACGGAGCTTTTTGCCCTTCCCAACTCATCATCATTTTAATACAAGATTGATCAATTTTTCTGATCATTATATCACCATCACCAATCATCATCATCAATCATCGGTTTTAGGAGTATACGGCTGGATGCCTGTGTCTTCCTCCCTTCCAAATATAGATCAATTAATCATGATGATACTTTGATATTTTATTTCCCAAAGTTAACTGTGTTAGTAACATGACAAAACTAGACTGAACTGGTATTTGACAAAAAGAGATTGGTGAATGTAGATTTTGGGATTCAACTTGGCAGACAATGCAGTACATTTGTCAGGATGAAACTTCATCAGCCAAGTTTTCTCCCATTCTGCAGCTGTATTTTGGTCTTCTTGCAGTAGAGTGGCATCCGTGGTGTCTTTACTTCTCTGTAGATTGATGCTGTCATCAGCAAATAATTGGAGTGTTGTATGTTGTAGAGCATCTGGGAGGTCAAGAGATCGGTGAAATGTACAGTATCCCTCCTAAGAATGGGGAAGGGAAAAAGCCCAAACTTCCTGTGCTCAATTTCAAAAGTTGAAAGCCCATGGGGTAGGCTTACCCTGAGCTACCAGTTCTATGACTGCAAGTTGTGGCTTAAGCTACTCTTTTCACTTTTAGTTATCACTCGTGTAGAGTATTAGTCTATATATCATTTCTAGCAACCGGTTTATATCTATGAGAAGCGGTATAAGAATAGTCATATAATGTCGTGGGATGGAATGATGAAGGAGTCGTCTCAAGCAACATGTATACCCCGGGGATTGACTTTTTCGCTCAGTGTAACACCAGCGCAATCGAGCAGCTGTTTTGCAAAGAAGAGTTCAAGGAGGATTGGCTCCCAGAGTGCACCACCGATATTCTGTCCCATATATGGGTATGTCGTAATACAAAATTCGAATTCAAACAGCCGCCATTTTGTTCACTTCAACATTTAAATCGTGAATTTTGGTCTTATTTCCAAACGAAAAATTCCAAAACTCACAAGAAATGATCGAGATATTGGTTCGAATCTTTTGAACTGTTTATTTTGAATTTATAGTCGGTTTTAATTTCAGAAAATAACGACATTTCGACGTTTTCATTGTTGGAAAATATCGAGTTTCGATCCTGGGAGCCAATCCTCCTTGGAAGAGTTGGAGATTTTTCAGGTAATAAACTTCATATTTCCTATTCAATCTTTTTCATGAGGGATAAGGGATACAGTTGCATACAATATTAACACATCCCTTCATTGTTTTGACTTAACTGTTTACAGAAATTGCTCGTTACATTAAGTATTTGCAATTAAAACTGTTCGAAATTTCGACTTCCGGTGTGCATGTTTGGAAATTTTTTGATTTTTAAACTTTTTTGTTCAAGAAATGCGGTAAACTCATCGTTGAAATCTCTGAAAATTATTTTTTCAAGCAATAGCTGATATTTTCCCTTGTTGAAAATCCACACCATGGTCTATGTCTATGTCAATAATCTGCAAAAGGCTAATAAGCCCATATAGAGCAGATATATAATTTAACAGTGATAGAATTTGAATAGAATATAATTTAAAACCTTAACATTTAAAAATAGATCTATGGTTTGCAACTCATTAAAATGGAAAGAACTTTCCTTATGTTGAAATACCCTGGGGTGACTGTCAGGCTACCGCGTTGACATCACCCCTCTTTACCAGTAGTGCAGGCTTGTTGCTGTGCACTGGGGACCTTTTACATTAAAACATAGATCTATATTAAAAACACACCTATTTAATTGCAGTTATTGACATAGGCATAGTATGATGATTTAAAACTACTTAGACTGTCACAGTCTAGGATGTCACCAGGTAGAGTGTTCCATTTAGCTATTGTCTTAGGGAAATAGCTAAATTTGTATACATCCGTTCTAGTTGGTGGTTGTATGAACTTAGAAGGATGATACAGCCTAGTGTTGGTATTGATCTGTTGGCGGAAGTATGGAGGCACGTCGATGGCTGCTAGGTTTTGCTTTCCTTTGTAGAAAAGGAAAACTCTAGCAGCCTCTCGACGCTCCTTCAGTGGCTCCCACTGTAGGTCTTGAAGAGCTTTGGTGACGCAGCCTGGTTCCCTTGAGTGACATTTGGTTACAAACCTTGCTGCTCTTCTCTGTACCTGTTCCAACATATCAATATCTTTTTGTCGGTATGGATCCCATGCCGAGCTGGCATACTCTAAATTAGGCCGGACAAGTGACTTATACGCCTGAGCCTTCACTTTTTCAGGGCATTGATGGAGGTTGCGCCTGAGAAATCCAAGCATCTTATTGGCTTTGGATACAATAGTTTGAATATGTGTAGTCCAGCGTAAGTTGTTTGTGATGTCAATACCTAGGTATGGGATGTGTGTTACCGACTTAAGGTTTTCCCCTAGCATGGTGTAATTGTGAATGATAGGGGATTTACCTTTGTGAATATTTAGCACATAGCATTTTGATGGATGGAATTTCATTTGCCATGTTGATGCCCAGGAGACCAGTTTATCTAGATTCTCCTGTAGTGTTAATGCATCTTGCTTGCTTTCGACTGTCATGAATAAAAGGCTGTCGTCAGCAAATAGTTTAAGACTGGCTGAGGATGATAGGTTGTTGCCCATATCATTGATATAAACAAGGAAACAGAGTGGTCCAAGAACTGTTCCTTGAGGAACTCCTGATTTTACTGGAGTTTTTGAACTTGATTCACCATCGAGCACTACCTGCTGTGATCTTCCCACAAGCCAGGATCTGAACCAGTTCAAGTTATTATTGCGAATTCCATAATAGTCGAGTTTGAGCAAGAGGCGTTCGTGAGCCACCGTGTCAAACGCTTTGGAAAAGTGTTTTAATTTTATTCACAGTCATTATGCAGTTATGATTTTGGGCAAGCCCAAATCATGGTCTATACTTTCTTTTCTCCAAGTTCAATAAAGTGGTGAACATAAATAATGACTAATACTATGAAAAATACATTCTGTCACATATGTCATAAATTCTTACCTCAGTGAATTGAGTGCTCTATTTTCTCTGTTCCGGAACATACAAAATAGTGGAATTAGTGTCCATAATGACAAATGGGAACTTAAAAATTTGAAGTGCTATTCACATGTTTTGCTGACTCTTCAAATGTTGAGGTGATTTTTGAGGCCCCATTACGCCGTAAGAAGGATTGGCACCCAGAATGCAACATGATACGTGCCAACTTTCAAAAAGCTGTTCCGCCATTTTTGAATGTTTTGACTTTTGATGATTAACTATCAGTAGGTGCAAGTTCCTTTGTCATCACGACCCTGATATATTTTTACCTTATTGAAATAGGTCTAGGATCATTTCATCTGTTATTGCTGACAATGTTGAAAAACGTAGGCAATAATATTGTAATGTATTTTTATAAATTATATATGGAATAAATGAGAAATGAAAAAGAAAATTACACTACCAAAATCAGAAACTAGAAAAAAAACTATTTGATATGGCAAAATTGACAAAAATACAAATGGAAAGGACGATTCTCGGTTTGGAGAACAAAGTTCATCAATCTAAATGAGCATTATCCCTGCTTCGGACAGATTTGATTTTTTTTACATAATATAGATTTGAATGTCTTCTTTTAAATAGTCATAATTTAATTTGGGTAATATTTCTAGATTCTTTGCAAAAAATTATTAGGGCAGTACACTGATGAACTTCCTTCCCCAAATCGAGACTTGTATTTTATTGAATCGGTCTAATTGAGCGTTACCCCTGCTTCAGACCAATTTGTCATTTTTACATCTTGTAGATTTAAATGTCCTCTTTTGAATATTCATAGTTTAATTTGGGTAATATTTCTATATTTTTCATGAAAAAATTATTAGCCCAGGAGACTGTTCTCCAAACCGAGAATCGTCCTTTTCACATTATTGAATTTGAAGAGAAGATGGTGTTAGATCATGATTTGGTGTACCTGAAAGATCATGATTTGGCGTACCTGAAATCATAACTGCAAACAGACTGTGAAGCATTCTCACCAGGAAATTTTTAGATCCCGAATTTGTTTCTTCACGTCATTACGACAAATCTTCAATTGTGTGACATTAAACTCATACAAAGTTTGACCTTTGACATCTCATACTTTGAAATTGATATCAGAGATTGGTAATACTGAAGATTCTTTGTTTGTGTCCAGTTTTTATGTATATTCTCAAAAGTTTTACCACAAATAACGTGACAATAATGTCAAATTAGACTCTGGAATCTTTTTCTGAAACACTATTGACTCTGGTGGAGCTGTCAGACTACAGCGTTGGAAAGTCTGAACTCATTAGAGAATTCTGAAAAGCAAACAGTGGAAGCATCTTCCCATTTTGTTGTTTCTAGCTATGCTAGGGTTGAAAAGAGGTTTCATTTATAACTTCAGATTATGCATTGAGATGGATCCAAGATTGATCGAACAGGCAGTTGCCTACCATGGGGGTGTATTATTAGATAAGCTAATAAAGGAACAGTATGAGATTGAAAATCTTCCTCATCTAATGGCATATGGTCATGGCAAAGCAGATCAAGTTATAAGGTAAGTTGTATGCATATAAACTGCCATTAAAGTGTTCATCAAACAAATTATGTGTACATTTGTTGCATTTTAACATTATTTTGTACATAATGACAAAATTACATTTTTTAGCATGAGTATGTGAGGCAATTGCTACTAGAAAATATGATTTGTTTCTTGACTGAAACATAATTAGCTGTATGCATTATATGTATTTTACATTGTCATGGGAATCCTTTTCACGTTGCCACCAGAAATGTTGCTTCAAAAAAAATATTTGTTTCAACATTTTTTGGAATGAAGCTATAAAACTAGGGTCCGAGTTGACCAGATACCCTATAAGATATATGTCCCATTACTGTAATAGATTATCCTCTTTGTCTCAAATTTGCCTCTCCTATTCAATTTGCCTCACCCATATGAATTTGCCTCACCTATTTATATTTGCCTCACCTATTTGAATTTGCCTCTCATATTTGAATTTGCCTCACCTATTTAAATTTGCCTCACCTATTTGGATTTGCCTCACCTTGTCTAAGCTACTCCTTTATTTCTTGTTACCTTTTTGAAGAATCTAAGAGAACTTTGCCTCATCTAATGTAGAATCCTTATTTTTTTCTTGTTACTTTTAAAGGAGTGAGAATCTAAAAGATAAAGTGCACAGCTTTATTGCAAGAAAAGGGAAACATCTCTTTCAAAGACAGGATGGCCATTCCCATGATCCTCCAGCCACAAAGAATGATAAACCAGATGAAGGTATGTTCTGTACCCATGATGTAATCTTACTTTATAAATATGTATTCATAAATATATATTCATAAGATAGGATAACTTAAAAATATCATAATCCCTTATTAGACATACGAGGGTATATCATAAAGTTCTCATAATATCTCTCTTATTTTTTTATTTTTCAATATATTCTGATGAATTTTTCACAGAATGTGTAGTATAGAATGCTGTATTAATATATCAATAAATTTTTGGTATAACGGAAATATTATTTAAGAAACGGTTGCCATAGTAACCGGAAATCAAGGCACCCGGGGCAAATAAAAAATTGTGCAAGAATAGCCCCAACTAACCATGTTTAAATGCATAATAAGTTATCAAATAAGCCATGAAACACATTAAATTGTTAAATATCATGTGTTCTTGACTGTTTTGAATAATTATAATGGTCATGTGAATTGTGTGATATCATAATGGATGATTGTGATGCTTCATTAGAAGTGATGTTAGACACTACAACTGTTTTGTCAAATATTCTATGGAAGGTCGATTTTCCCTCTTTAGTTCATCTTAAATAAGGTTAGACTACAAATAGGGGGGTAATTTTGTTGATATCTTTGCAACATATTTGTTTTAGATCATCTTTAGTATAAGCAAAATGATTTTTTGAACTTATCTAGACTTTTTGTAGGTATGAATTTTATTTTTCTGATGATCTTCGCATCTATGCATGATCTTATTCAGTCATTTCTGATCATTAAGCTTTGATTCTCAGAGTCTGGTATCACATCTAATGAAGCATGTAAGCATCCCCTATGACATCGCACAATTCACATGATCAATTTATTTTATAGAAAAGCATTTAACAACATATTCAAGATAACATTTTAATGTGTTTGATAATCTATGAGAGTTTATTATGTATTTAAACATGGTTAATTAAGCTCATTTTCTCAATTATTTTTATTTGCCCTGGGTGCCTTGATTTCCGGTTACTATGGCAACCATTACTTATCTAATATTTCTGTAATACCAAATATTTTTTGATAGATTAATAGAGTGTTCTATACTGCAGATTTCATGAAAATTTCATTAGAATATATTGAAAAATAAAAAAGTTAGAGAGATATTATGAGAACTTTATGATATACCCTCGTATAAGGTAACCCTTCTATGATGTCAAAAGCTCTAGAATACATACATCCTTGTATAGAAAATTATTTCTTATTTAAGATTATGAAACAATTTGAATTGAAATTGAATAGTTCAGAAAATTTAAAGAATATGCGTTTTTGTTGTTTACATTACCATCATTCAACACAAATTGAAGTATTGTGTCCTCTAGTATTGTGGCCTCATTATCCGGCCTGCTTCATTTCCCGGCCTGTCTCATTTTCAGAATCGTCAGAATTTCTAGAAATATACCAGTCCTGTTTACGGAACAGGATGTCACCGGGAATAATCCAAATTACCTAAATGTCATGGTCACATTTATGCACAGATTGTCATGTACACAGCCAATGTAATTTGGCGCCGTTTTGGCATCGAAAAAATTCTGCACTATTCCGGCACCGTTTCGAGACCGTTCCGGCACCAACACTTTTTGACACCAAAATTTGCCACCGGACTAGTCAGTCCATTTGGTGCTGATACGGCACCGAAATTTGGCACCGAAACGGCGTCGAAAATCAGATTGCATTTTGGGGGTGTAGCCCTGTTGTTGTATTGCATTTATGCACCAATCATCACCTTGGAAGGGTTAATAGTGCCGTACCTCCTGTTTTCAGAGATGTATGCAGTGATGCCACCTATTGAGAGCTTTATGGGAATTCCTGCCAGTTTTTGCAAGTCGCATTTTTACCAGGTAAGGATTATGGGTAATAGGGAGGTTGAGTTACACGTTTTTTCTCAAAAACTTGTACGTGAATGTGTAGAATTATAAATTAGTGGTTCTAATACACCTCCGAAACTATGTTAATAATCTTGAAAATCAACTTCGAAAACTCTTTTTCTTTATCATACACATCCAAGTGGTTTAAATACACCTCAAAATCCTTTTCATACGTAACATCATCTACTTTTTGAAGCACATGTATGATATTAAGCATATCAGTTGAGTCTAAAGCCACTTTTTTAAGCAATGGAATTATGAATTAATGTATTATTTTTTAGAGTGCTGAGCCTGGAGACCTTGTGATTGGAATAATAACAGCAGTACAAGATTCAGGTCTGACAGTCACTTTAATATGTATGGAGGATAACAAGTTTAGAGACATGGACCATCTACGCATCAGTGTAAGCATATAGAAACTGTCCAATCAAATGCTTCCATTAGTCCACACTTTACTCAAAATTGTGAAAGGAGATGTAAAACAAAAAATCGATTTCTTATGGCCTAATTTCAACTTTAATTTGTTGACAGTAGGTTGGAAATGAAATCATTTAGATGAGAAAGACAAACATTCTGTGTCTTGAATGAAACATTTTAATATTTTCTTGAATTTTAGGCATTTTGTCCAATACGAGAAGTGCCGAAACTCTACGCTCAGAAGGACCCCTTGGATGGTTTTTCAATCAGAGACAAAGTTAAAGGTATGAATGTAGTAGATTATAACATACGGTACAGAATTTCATCAAATTTTACAAAGTTAAAGGTATGAATGTAGTAGATTATAATATATGGTACAGAATTTCATCAAATTTTACAAAGTTAAAGGTATGAATGTAGTAGATTATAACATACGGTACAGAATTTCATCAAGCTATTAGCACTCTGTCATGGATGTTTAATTATGGTTTGAGAATGTTCAAACTGACAAAAGGTATGAATGTAGTAGATTATAACATACGGTACAGAATTTCATCAAGCTATTATCACTCTGTCATGGATGTTTAATTATGGTTTGAAAATGTTCAAATTGTCAAAAGGTATGAATGTAGTAGATTATAATATACGGTACAGAATTTCATCAAGCTATTATCACTCTGTCACGGATGTTTAATTATGGTTTGAAAATGTTCAAATTGTCAAAAGGTATGAATGTAGTAGATTATAACATACGTTACAGAATTTCATCAAGCTATTAGCACTCTGTCATGGATGTTTAATTATGGTTTGAAAATGTTCAAACTGACAAAAGGTATGAATGTAGTAGATTATAACATACGGTACAGAATTTCATCAAATTTTACAAAGTTAAAGGTATGAATGTAGTAGATTATAACATACGGTACAGAATTTCATCAAATTTTACAAAGTTAAAGGTATGAATGTAGTAGATTATAACATACGGTACAGAATTTCATCAAATTTTACAAAGTTAAAGGTATGAATGTAGTAGATTATAACATACGGTACAGAATTTCATCAAATTTTACAAAGTTAAAGGTATGAATGTAGTAGATTATAATATATGGTACAGAATTTCATCAAATTTTACAAAGTTAAAGGTATGAATGTAGTAGATTATAACATACGGTACAGAATTTCATCAAATTTTACAAAGTTAAAGGTATGAATGTAGTAGATTATAACATATGGTACAGAATTTCATCAAGCTATTATTATCTGTCATGGATGTTTAATTATGGTTTGAAAATGTTCAAATTGTCAAAAGGTATGAATGAAGTAGATTATAACATACGGTATAGAATTTCATCAAGCTATTATCACTCTGTCATTGATGTTTAATTATGGTTTGAAAATGTTCAAACTGACAAAAGGTATGAATGTAGTAGATTATAACATACGGTACAGAATTTCATCAAGCTATTAGCACTCTGTCATGGATGTTTAATTATGGTTTGAAAATGTTCAAACTGACAAAAGGTATGAATGTAGTAGATTATAACATACGGTACAGAATTTCATCAAGCTATTAGCACTCTGTCATGGATGTTTAATTATGGTTTGAAAATGTTCAAACTGACAAAAGGTATGAATGTAGTAGATTATAACATACGGTACAGAATTTCATCAAGCTATTAGCACTCTGTCATGGATGTTTAATTATGGTTTGAAAATGTTCAAACTGACAAAAGGTATGAATGTAGTAGATTATAACATACGGTACAGAATTTCATCAAGCTATTAGCACTCTGTCATGGATGTTTAATTATGGTTTGAAAATGTTCAAACTGACAAAAGGTATGAATGTAGTAGATTATAACATACGGTACAGAATTTCATCAAAGGTATTAGCACTCTGTCATGGATGTTTAATTATGGTTTGAAAATGTTCAAACTGACAAAAGGTATGAATGTAGTAGATTATAACATATGGTACAGAATTTCATCAAGCTATTAGCACTCTGTCATGGATGTTTAATTATGGTTTGAAAATGTTCAAACTGACAAATGGCTTGTTTCAATCACCTTCCTAAGCAGATATCCAGAATCCGTACCTCCTTCTTCCCTCTGCTATAACCAATTTGGAAGTGCCCGATTAAACTGAATCATGTGATCTAATTATGCACCGATGACGTATACATGATTGCTGTTGCAGTGTTACGACAGCCAATCAGATTGCGAGTTCTTAATCGGGGAAATGCTAACTACTTATCGCAGGGGGTTAAAAGAAAGAATATATTCTGGATTTTGAAGCCCTGTGATCAGAGGATGTATTTCAATCAATGTGCTATCACACATACTTGAATTCCATGTTCCTGCCCAGAATTTTGGATTTCAAAATTTTTGCAGAGTTTGACTTACTTGATTTTTCTAGTCAACCATTTCATATTTGTCACTCACCTTGACACGTCCCTAAGTCATATGTAATCAGAAACTTGTGGTTTTAGGATTTCCAATGTGAATTGTTAAATCTGTTAAAAATTTTCAAACTTCCTCCATTTAACTTAAAGATTACATCTAATATGTCACATTTGAATTCCATGGAATTTTGTGATAGTTCAGATGAAGCCGTTGCTTGCATAATTTATTGCGGAATTTTGGATTTCATGTAGAATTTGATTTTTTCATGCAGAATTTGCATTTCTTTATTCAGAAAACTAGTTTGTGTGATGGAATTCTTTGTAACCAAGTTGACCAATTCTCCTTGAATACTTTACAGAAAATCCATATACGAGTAGTTTTCGAGTAGTCCATTTTGAGAAATATTCACCGAGTTGTACATTTTGGAAATATATTGTTTGCCAAGTTGTACATTTTGGTAAAAATTGACTTTAAAATTGTACATTTTGGTATTACTTTAGGTATTATTGCACACTGAAGTTGAACATTTTGGTATTAGTATGATTCCTAATTTGTATATTTTGGTTAAAATGACCCCTAAAGCTATAACAAGAGATCATTTTAAAAAAATGAAGGTTCGTGTGAAGGAGATGTTTGCAGTGTTGTAATGAATTGTATTGAGTTGTAAAGCAGGTGTTCCTTACAGAAGAGTGTTTCTAAGTCAAGTTTCACTGTATAAGTAAATTGCCAAGCTTACTTTTAACGTGATTGTAATTTACCGAACGGCAAAAGTAGAAAAAATCCGACGAACATTTTGAACTCGGATTAATATCTTTAAATTGTGAAGGTCTGAGTACCTGGACCTCTTAGAAAACATCCAAACATATCAAAAAGTGAAGATGGGTCAATTTGATTCTCGTTCTCCGAAGATATTAATAAAATGTTCGGAGTTTTTTAATGCTGGAAATTGTTCACAATTCTAAATCAAGAAGTCGCTCGTATTTCTGTCATATTTAGGAAATCATGTTGCCGAAAATCAGTACACAGTTTTCATGGTGTTGTTGTAAAATGTGCGTATATGTTGTTTGAAACCCTCTCTAACGCAATTTTATTATAAACAACACCTTAGGGTTAAACTTTTGCTCGAGGAATTAACTCATTTTCATCAATAACTATTAACTCATTAGGTTTTTTACTAGTAAACTAACATTTAAACCTCTGTCCATTGTCGTTATCACTTACTACTAAACCCAAGTGAGATATGGCTCTTTGCCTCAGTACGAGCCAATAACATGGACTCTGGAATTGTACATTTGGTATTATTTCAAGTATGATAGCATGGGCTCTGGAATTGTACATTTTAGTATTATTTCAGGTGTAATAGCATGGGCTCTGGAGTTGTACATTTTGGTATTATTTCAGGAATAATAACCTATGTTGAAGCTGAAGATGAGAAGATCTATATCTCATTACTGGAGAGATCCCTTCCCAAAGATAAGCAACATGTCAAAGTAGGACTAATAAGTGATGAAGACATCCCAGTACATTATAGGTATGTATTCTATTTTCTACATCTTATTTCAGTTATTTAAGCAAATGATATGTTTTACATTCAAAAACAATATCTGTATTAAAGGTTCATATACTGTACATACATTAAAAACTGCTCAAAATAAAACCCCTTTGTAGAATGCTTTTCAAGTCCTATAACACATTGACTTAATATAATATCACCTTCTGAAGGTGGAATACCTAGTGGAACACTATTTTGTGGAACCAAAGCAGGGCAGTATTCAGCTTTCATGCAGGGGGGGTGCAATCTCCAAAAAGATTTCGGTTTCCAGCCAGGGGGCTGCGATTGTGGCATAAACAAGCCAAAAAATAATATTTATTTTGAATTTTACAAAAATGAAACTTCCTTCAAAATTGAGCTAGAAGCTTCAAATAAAAAGCATTTTAATGCCACTTTCTTCTTCTTTCCCATGGTATTATTTGTATTGGTTATCGGGGGATGTGATTGCAACCCCCCTGGCTACGCCTATGCAAAGGCTTTCCACTTTACTCTGGTATTACTGTACTTCAACCCTTCAGTTTTTGAAAACATTTCCCAAGCTAATATTTAGTCTTTGAAACAGTGAGATATTAAGTAATGAAAATCAGCAGCATTTCGAATTTGCTCATAGCTATTAGTCGGAGAGTCCACCCATATAGCTCAGCTGTAGAGCGTTTACCAATTACGCATAGGTCTCGGATTTGATCCCCAGATGTCCATAAAATACTTCAAGGTGTTTAACTGGATGGTCCATGACTTGTAAAAAGGCTGTGGTTTGTACTTGTATGTCTATATATGAGTGCACATACATATACAGGGTATACCCAAGAGGTATTGCAGTAAAAAAAAATACAATGCAACAATATATATATGCTCCAGGGTATGCTACATAAAATCCCAGCCAAAAGGAACACAATCTTTCAAATAATATGCATTTTTAATTTTATAACAGAGTGCATGGCTGATTTTAGATTCAATGAAATTGATATCCCTTATCAATTTTATATTTTCAAGTTGCCAGCTAAGTGAAAACCCAAAAGTAGTTTCATAAGCATGTGCTTTATGATGCAGGTCAAATGGTCAAACCTTACAGAATCCCTACAAAAAAAGTTTTGTATGCGAAAGTGCCAAAGGTAAAGTACCATACACGGTTATAGAGCACAGCAAGGAGAAAACACCTGAGTAGAAAACAAACCCCAACTATCCCAAATCATAATCCAACCTGAAAAGAAAGTGTGTAAAACCCCCAATACAAAATGTAAAACACTCTTGTCTCATATTCTACTATAGACTCTGAATTCGGGCTGCTGCCCTCATTTAAAGCCTTGATACAAGACATACATGTGGCTTAAACCATCTACAATTTGTAAAGTCCTGGGCTTCTTTAACCATGAATTTATGCATTAAAATTTTTCTTCATCCATATGGCTATCATAAGCTTTGACTTGTTTAATATTAACATCTGATACTTTAGTTTTATTGCTTTGTCCACATTTTATAATAAAATCCTTAAAACAGTAAAGAATGATGGCACCAGTCAGGGTCAACATCTCCATTAGTGTTATAATTGATATTCCAACATAGAAGCCCATGTTTCCACCAATTTCAGATATTAATGTCGAAGCTGGGTAATCTTCGACTTGGGACGTTGTTTCAACTTGAAGGCTCTCAAAGTACACATTGAACCTGAGAAAATTGTTCTGTATCATCTCTTTTTCACCCTCTGTGATTTCATCTATTTCAAGTCCTTCAAATAGAATCGTTGCTCTATGCATAGGATCACTCATGTTAATGGACTCTTTAAAGAATTTCCTTTGGTTATAGTTGCTAGGCCAAACTGCTTGGGATATTGTCTTCACATAGTTGGTATTCATACATGGTTCTTTGCATTCACATTTGTTCAGGACCTCGGGGTTACCAAGTGACTCCATCAGCTTAGCTTCACAACCAAGTGTTTCGAGCTCCTTCTCAGCAATGGCCTGCATAGTCTCATCTAATTTATGAAACATCATATGTAACATATTTGTGATATTTACTTTTCCACAGTATTGAGGCTTCAATTCACCAGATGGTGTTGGCAACATAGAACTCATACACCCACAGTCTTCTATGAGAAGTTCCTGTTTACATTGTTCCAAACATGTATCCTCGGAGTATGCATAATTTGTACCTTTGTTGAATTTAGCTGTTGTACAGTTACCATGCGGTTCAGTCATCAACTCTCGCTTAGTTTCTTTGAGAGCAACTGATGTAGAAAAACCAGTTGGGACATCGAAGCCTTTTTCAAATGGCATAGGCCTGGTTTTTGGACTATGAATAATGGCCCTGATTCCAGATTGTCCGCTTGTTGGATCAAATGGGTTGTATAGAGTGTATCCTGATAAGTCCCTCTTTGAAGTATACGCATCCACAAATAGGATCAAACTAAGACCTGACGTTGGGCCAGTTTTCGTGACTTTCATATTATTTGATTGTGCTCCTGCACCGTTAAATGTGACACAATGCTGAAATCCTCCGTCTTGATGCACAACAAAGGCAGATTCTTCACAGGGCTCACCTCTGAATGTACAACTTATTTTTAAGCTTTGGAGATCATGTTGAAATGTTTTTATATCTTTTTGGTCAATATTCTCATAGATAAACTGGTTTGACAGAAATCTGTAGCTGTATTGAAAATACCAATTGCCCAATCCACCAATGTTGGGGTAAACAAGAAAGTCTTGGAAAAGTGTCATGGTTGACACAACTCCTTCAACAGCCTTATTACGGTGTGTTGGATTATCGATGAAATTAATTAGGCTTGTTGCCGTGACAGCTTCCTGGGTGCAGAATGTCATGGCAGGAAACTCAATATCCTCAAAGTTGACAGAAACTACATCTTTTGTTGGAAATGTGAAGAAAATAGTTATTAAATTTACAGAACTTATTGTCGCGAACAAGAAGAAACCCACAAATATGAGTCCCCACAGAAATTTCGTAAATTTAAATTTTGATGTTGGAATTTGACCACATCCATGTGCTGAGGTATTTTCAGTAAATTCCTTGATTGTTACAATCATATTTTCACCATCCATTTTATTATTTTGATTGGTTGATTTATATTTCAAATATATCCATGCAATGTCTTGACTACTGTTCCATTCGACAGAAAATTCATTTTATAGTTTCTGTGTTAAACTTTAAATAGAATATCAACTTATTGAAAGTGTTTAGACAACCTCTTTGTGCCAAATCATTTTAGAGAGTTTGTTTCGTGACTTATGAAATGTCTGTGAATATGAATTTGGCAAATCCTTTTCTCCGTCTCCACAACATTTGATTATATTTTATTTACATAAGCGCTCTATAAGTTAAGCCTACAGTCTTCAATGAATATCAGATATTGGATTTATAATATTTTGCCGCTTGACTAAACGATTACATATAAATAATATGTATAAATATTCAGGAACGATACGTTAACCTTAAAAGTATTTATCCTAGTTTATGCCTCATTTCTCAATGAATAACTGATCCTAGTATTGTATTATTTTGCGGCTTATGTTACTCAGCAATTATAATATTTAGAAATGATTACCTTCAAAAGTATATCTGATGTTCTAAACTTGTGCACTGTTATATTCCTTCTTGTCTATATACAAGATTTATTATTTAACCACTTGTTATGGGTTTGTGTTTGGCATCCGGGGTTTGTAACATGGCGTCATGAAAATTGCCTTGTATGATGCTCATTAAACATACTTTATGCTGTTACATTACACTCTCAGCTCTACTTATAAAACTTTAGAAATATTAACAAGAATTAAACAATCCATTTGGAAATATTGAAGTGAAATCAATAACATAAGTAAGTGTTTATGTCAGCAATATGGTACATTAGTAGCTAAGTGCGTTGAAAGCCAGGTTCTAAGTACAAAATTATATAATTTCAAATTTTGCACTACAATACACACACGGTAGGGATTGTCATCACGTGACCTTCGTAATTGATGGTGTCTGAACAAGTTGTACGATTTTCTCGATTAAGCCAGAAAAATGAATATTTTTCATATTTATACTTTGTTAATAGCGTCAAATATCTCCCCACTTATGTATACTATCTCAGTCTTTCAAACGAACCTAAATTGACAAGCAGAGGACGCATATTATTTGAGATTTGACTGTTTTTCGTTTCGAAGAATGATGGTGTCTGAACAACTCTTAAATTCTATATGATGGTGTCTGTACAAATTTTAAAATACACTACTTGGAAAGTAGTCCTCGTGTTTTCGTGTGTTTTTAGATACATCTGCTTCTTTCCAATGTGTTAAACAGAAATCAACCTAGAATTGTGATGTTTGCCTGTTATCACTGCCATCCATTGGTTGAATTTCCAACATTCACTGAACGATTTGCAAATCATGTGTGGGACAATAATCCATCAGAGGATACATCGTGTATTGTCACCAGAAACGGGGCGATTAAGTTATTTGATCAGACGTTATTTATCCAATATTACAAAAGATTACTTGATGTACTTAAATAAAACAATATAAAATGAATCCATCAATCGATTTAGACTGCCCAGGGATGGTATTATTCAGCATCTTCGCACGCTCGGTCTTCATTGCGTTCCGACGGGAGCCGAGTGAACGAAGATGATTATTCAGTAAAGCCAGTCACCTTTTGAGAGGCCAGAGAAATCTGACCAATCAAAATACAGGATTTTTTCGTGATGTCATTGTCCTGATTAAAGTCAATTGCTCTGCAAAATTATGTAACATTAATAGGGTCTAGCTTCTGCACTGTATAATAACTTATTAAATATAGGCTTTGTATAAAAAAAACTTGTACCTTATGCCCACGTACCATCGTACGTGAGTCGTGATACAGTTTTTGAAGGGTTCAATTTTTAAAGCTTTTAAAGGATTATCTGATCAATTTTTTAAAAATAGCGCCAAAGGCTCAAAGGCACGTCCAATAGGGAAAATCTACGCTAAATTAGGTTTTAATATGTCGGGGATTTGCTAAATGGAATTTTGTGCTTCATTTTGTTTAATCACAGCAAGGGGAACGATGATTTTAGTCTCGGGGATCGTAAATTCATCCCAACACACGAAAGTGTAATTGTTTGCTCAATTATGGATGGTGATTCCGAATTGGATGACGGGGAGAGTAGTACACCCATAAAGACAAGGTTGTAATGCAACCTGAATATGGCAATATAGTCACACGTTAAAGACGACTTCCTGGAAGTTCCCAGCAAATGAAAAACGTGACAATTTTAGTGAATATTGCTTCTAGTGAACGAGCATTAATAGATAAAGGATCCGTCATACTAAGTATATAAAACTGCCCCCTGGTCATTCATGACTACGCTACACTCATCACTACTTCTGCATGAGACAATTGGATTTAATACCCATCATGACAGTACCGTTCACGTGGTGTTATTAGACATAAAATCTGCCTTTGATACGTGCTGGATAAACGGCCTGTTTTACAAACTGTACCATAAGGCCGGGATTAAAGGGAAACTCTGGCGATTGTTGTATGACTCGTACAAGAACTTTGAATGTAATATCCTGGTAGCAGGGGGAGTATCCGAACCCTTCCCGGTGCTCCAAGGAGTATTTCAAGGAGCCGTCAGCAGTATGCTGCTCTATCAATTTTACATAAGTGACTTATTGGACGACCTTGAAAAATTAAATCTTGGAGCAAAAACCATGGGAATCAACACAGGCTCTATAGCATACGCAGATGACATTGCTCTCATTGCTATCTTCCCTAATGCAATGAACACTATGCTGCAATTAGCTTATGCCCACAGCAACAAATGGCGATACACCTTACACCCTGGGAAATGTGTAGCCCTGACCTATGGCAAAAATACTGAGGTCCCACAGTTCAGGTTAGGCACGGGCGAAATACCAAATGCCAAATCTGCCAAGCATGTCGGAATTCCACTGTCGACAGATGGAGTATTTAGGGACCATGTTAAAGACGCTATATCAAGCGGAAAGCGAAAACTATATTCACTATTCGGATTAGGTCATAGAACTGGTGGCCTTACCCCACTCGTAGCATCAAGACTGTATAACAGCTTTAGCGTGCCAAAAATGCTCTATGGTGACCAGATAATTAATTATAAGCCTGAAGATCTTGAAACACTCGAAGTGGCACAGCGCCAAATTGGGAGAAGATTACAAAGTTTTCCTAAATCCGCCAGCAACCCCTCGTCAACCATGACACTGGGATGGAACACAATGAAGCGGAGAATTGACTATGATATGCTACTTATGTTATTTGGAATGCTTATTTTACCACTTTCGAATATTTATAAACGTTTATTAATGTTAAGACCCATGAATATAACACTAGGATTGGCATCATGGGATTCCCCAATTTCCAGAATGTGGTCTTGTGTTGTAAAATATGACCTCACAGAGAGCTTACTAGAAATGATACGTACAGCACAATTTCCTTCTAAACTTCATTGGAAGAGACTGATTAAAAACACAATCGGTAATTACCAGAGAAACGGTTACAAGGCAACATGTTCGTTATATAGACGCCATGATATATGTGTTAACATTTCCGATGTAAATATACGTGTCGGATCCCCTGGATCTATGAAACCCTGCGTCTGGTGGATCTTGGCAAGGAAAAAACCACAATATACCCCACAGTGTAAAACAATGATGAGACTAGCCACTGATTGTCACGATCTACGCGTAAAAAATTCAGGTGTAAATAGTATTTGTATTGTCTGTAACAGGTTCGAAACAGAAACAATTGATCACTTTATCATGAGATGTCCAAAATGGCAAGAACATCGTAACCAAATAGGTTTAATTACAAGAAAATACGGTGCTTTTAAAGAACTAGATAAGATATTTGCATATCCCGAGTGTGAAATTGATGACGATGATATGATAAGTATTGCATGTATAGTGCATAAAATGACTATTGTTAGATCAAACATTCTGAAAGAATACGTTGGACAGTTGATTATTACATTATAAAGACACTCTTGAAAGAACCAATGTCCTATAAAACATAAACAGTATTCATCCATTTAAAATGGAAGCTTTTTATTTAATTGTGTGATGTTACCAAATGTAAATATGTTTGTAAAACCACTCTGTTTAAATACAGGTAAATAAATAATTAAATTAAATTAAATGACATATAATATGGTATTTAGTAAGGCGTTAATTATGGCATAGTGTCCAGGTGCATCCTAATTGTTATTAAGGCCATAGTGACCTTGTAAAGGTCAAGTCAGTGCATGTCTGATAATAAAAGATTCTTGTGTGCAATTTTGACCTTAACCTTTGATTTTCATTTCATTTTTTGTTTTATTATTTTATTTGGTTCCATTGACTTAGCATATGGATATCAGCATGTATCGACTTGATGATATCCTGATGTTAAGTCAATTATTCTTTCAAATGAGCTGGGTATAATGCTCCTTCTTAACCTTGGGACAGCCTTATCTTGACATTCTAGGCAGGTTACCAATTTCCCTTGAGTTATTATTCAATTGTATAGTTATATTCTTAATCCACTTTGTACATTTGTAGCACGAGTATAGTCAACATCCAAAATGGTACAAAATATTTCGAAGAAAATGCTCGACATATACACATATTTCAATGCAAATGCGTGACATACGAAACTCGCGTGAAATGTCCGAACGGAATGCGTTCGCCTTTTTTTCGGCGTGCACTAATGCATTTACAATTCAGCATAGACGAAGATTGAATGATCTTCTAATTTAAAAATTGAACCCTTCAAAGCCTGTATCATGCCCCACGTACGTGGGTCGGGACGTGGGTACGAGGTACTAGGTTTTTATACAAAGCCTTAAACATACGAGAGTACAGGAATGCATAGTATATAATAAACAATCACACATGAAAACATGGAGACTGGTATCCATGTCGTGTATTTAAAAAATTTGTGCAGACACCATCATACAGAATTTAAAAGTTGTTCAGACACCATCATTCTTCGAAACGAAAAACAGTCATATCTCAAATAATATGCGTCCTCTGCTTGTCAATTTAGGTTCGTTTGAAAGACTAAGATAGTATACATAAGTAGGGAGATATTTGACGCTGTTAACAAAGTATAAATATGAAAAATATTCATATTTCTGGCTTAATCGAGAAAATCGTACAACTTGTTCAGACACCATCATCACCATACGAAGGTCACGTGATGACAATCCCCACCGTGACACACATACATCCAATTTTCGTTGACATTGCGATCGGCAGATAAGAGTGCATCTGTTGAATGCAAAAGTATTTTGACTTCCAAAGTGGTTAATTCACCTTGTATTCATGTCATATTTTTTATTATCATATTACTATGTGGTGGTTCATTTATAAAGATTAGAATATCCTGTGACCAATCAGAAGTTTCCAAATATTTATTTCATCAGCAGCAGTCACATTTGTGAATCATACTTTAATTGCCCTTAAATGCTGTCCATTGAATGAAATAGCTGTAAGCTGTAATTCTTTCTTTAAAGGCACAATGTGCTATAGATACGATGAAATGGTTAAAAATCTTTTTGACTGGCTTTAGAAATGATTCCATTTTTGAAACATGCAGAATTTGAAATAAATGAAATTGGTTTACATAGGTATCAGAGAACACAATTCCGGTTCTAAAACAGATAATTCTATCTATGAAAAATATGTTATTTATTTACCCAATATCTGCTTAAATAATGTTGAATAAAAACATAGATAGGGTAAGAATATGTCAATAATGTTTGCTCTCATTCCATAAAGTATTCAAACTACAATATTTGGTCATTTCTATCACTCAGAATTCCTTTAAATAATTCTAAAATCTTCTAAAGTTTGATATTTTCACAAAATAAGGTTTAAATCTAAGCCTATTGATTATGTAAGTCATAAAGGGTGTCTAACAATTACAATACAAAGTCTATTTTAAATGTAAAGGGACTTTATAGACAACCTTTATTTTATTATTATGAATTTAAAATAATTGAGTTACTTATGATGAGAATAGAATCTATTAAAACTGTTGAAGTTTAACAAATGTTTATCTTACACCATCAACAACCCATTTGGAAACTTAAATAAAATCAATACCATTAGTAATTGTATTTGACACATTGTAATGCATTAGTGACTTAAGTAATGATAGTTTTCCTATCCATTTGTGATTGTTTATTTCATTTTATAATACATGAGTGATTTAATTTGTTATGATTGTTTCCAAGTATAAACTATAACAATTGATTGAGGGAGTATAAGTCAGTGTAAATTGTTAGAAGTGATCTTGTCAAAACTTGTTTCTTTTACAATACTGATTTTATTATCTAAAAAATGAATTGAGATATCCCACCAGATATGTAAGCGCAAATACCAACCCGAAAACACCAAAAATTATTACAGAACACAGCAAGAATAAGAAAACATCTAAGAGTACACCACTCATAAGTAAATTAAACATCCATTTGCAAAGTGCTTGAAAAATACAAGATGGAGCATTCAGTCTTAAATGATGTGGGACAGATAAAATCCAATCTTGAAATTGATATCCTTATCAAAAGGTCAATATTCATCCGAAAAGCAAGATATGTTTATTGAACATACAAAATTGTCTATTTATGAGAATAGAAAAGGAAACATTAATTTCAAAATTATAGTAAAACCTTTTAATTCGACCTCCCCACAAAAAACATAATACCTAAAATATCACAAAGATTCCACTGGAGTTTTGTAAAAAAAATTCATGAAGACATGTTCGTTGCTTTCCTCACATTTATTTCCTTTGTATCCATCATAATTTTTGTATCAGTCATAATTTATGATCTGATTTATGTTCTACTATAAGGATTTGAATGGGGTAGGTAATGACTCCTTCAAATGTTGGGGGAATATTGAAATGACAAAAAAATATCTGATAGGAAACTCAACTGGTGATGTGAACTCTTTCCACCCAAATTAAATTTATTTAGTTTTCCATCCGACATCAATATTTTGATGCCATCCCTAAGTGGAACGCACTTGGTTTTGCAAAAGTGCTCCTCCAAGCCAGTGTTTAAAGTTAGAGGATCATGGAAGATGGAACAGCCAATTTAACTATTGAAAATATTTGAATAGCTGAAAGCAGTAAAAGTAATTTGTTCTCGACTTCTAGAAAGCACCAGATGACCCATTATGTAACAGTCATGTGTTAAACCAAGAAAAAGCTAACTGTGATATCAGATCTGAGAATCATATAGTATATTTCAAGCAATTTTTGTGACATAACATCCTAGTACCTTTTAAGTATGTATTTTATTGACAGTATCTTATTTCAATGGGAGCCAGGACTTGTATAGATGGCAGTTAACTACTAGGTTGTTCTTCACATCTGGCCCATTGGTTTGTGTGTAAAATTGCTGTTTTAAAACTTCGAATTCCCTACACATATCAAATAGATATTATATTTTCCTTCATATTATTGACAAACATGTTTTAAGATTCAAAATTAAAAGGTTTTGGATATTTTCAATAAATTTTATCTTGGGAGATTTTTGGAGCAATTTTTACATGTTAAAGTATGCTATTAAACCCACTGAATTTTTCGCTATCTATTGACAGTCCCGAAGGCCATTACTAAGGCATACATGGATGACATGTTTTACATTTAAACAATATCTTTACCAAATATGATTATTAAAGACTAATCTGCAATAAACATAAATGTTAACACCTGAATGAACACCTCCAAATATCTACTCAATGTTATATCACGTTTTTAAGATAGAACACCTTTGGTGGTGCCAAAGGCTTTCCATTTACATTGGTATTAGTGTTACTTCAATGCTGTTTTATAATTATAAACAGATGTATTTATCATTGAAATTTTCATTCTTTGGTCATTTATAACATACTCCCAATACAAGCTAATATTATAGAAAATCCAAACAGAGCACAGTATTTCAACTGATATGGATTTTTAGATTCAAAGACTGATTAAGCTAATAGGTTTCATAATTTCAAGTTGGCAGCTATGTGCAAACCTATGAATATTTTTATAAAGGATAGCAAAGCATGTGCTTATGTCATGCTTATGTCAAAATTTCAAATGGTCGAACCTTGTAAAACCCTTGCAAAAAGTGTCATTGTCAAAATTCATTCTTTAAAGTATGAAGGCGCACATGCCAAAGGGAAAGGACCAAAAATAGTTACAGAACACAGCAAGAAAAATAAAACATCGAAAAGTACACCAGTCATAAAGAAACCGAACCCCAACTATCCCAAATGATAATCCAACTTGAAAAGAAATAGTGTCTAATAACCCAAATTACTTTATAATAACTTATTATGCACTGTTTGAAAAGAATCAAAGCATATGACTCAATGAATTGTGGATGATTTAAACGTCCTTGTCTTATGTGTACTAGACATCTAATTCAAAACTGCTACTCTCATTCTAAGACATAATGGTTAAATCATGTACAATTCATCGAATCAATGGCTAATATTCTTTAACCATGAATTTCTGCATTAATATTTTCTTTATCTTCATCCATATGATTATCGTAAGACTTTATTTGTTTAATATTAACATCAGGTACTTTTGTTGTATTGCTTTGTCCACATTTAATGATTAAATCCTTAAAACAATAAAGAATTATTGCACCAGTAAGGGTTAACATCTCCATTAATGTTATAATTGAAATCCCAACATAGAAGCCCATATTTCCTCCAATTTCAGATATTAATGTTGAAGCTGGGAAATCCTCAACTTGGGATGTTGTTTTGACTTGAAGACTCTCAAAGTACACATTGAACCTTAGAAAATTTTTCTGTATCATCTCACTTTCATTCTTTGTGATCTGACCAATGTCAAGTCCTTCAAATAGTATCGTTGCTCGTTGCGTAGGATCACTCATGTTAATGGACTCAGCTAAGAAATTCTTTTGGTTATAGTCACTAGGCCAAACTGCTTGAGAAAGCATCTTCACATAGTTGGTATGTACACATGGTTTTTTGCATTCACATTTGTTAAGGACCTCGGAGTTGCCAAGTGACTCCATCAGCTTAGTTTCACAATCAAGCATTTCAAGCTCCTTCACAGCAATGCCCCGCATTGTCGCATCTAATTTACCATACATCATTGTAAACATATTTGTGACATTTACTTTTCCACAGTATTGAGGCTTCAATTCACCAGATGGCGTTGGTAACAAAGAACTCATACACCTGCAGTTTTCTATGAGAATTTTCTGTTTACATTGTTCCAAACATGTGTCCTCTGAGTATGCATAATTTGTACCTCCGTTGAATTTAGCCATTGTGCAATTACCATGCGGTTCAGTCATTAACTCTCGCTTGGTTTCTTTGAGAGCGACTGATGTAGAAAAACCAGTTGGGATATCAAAGCCTTTTTCAAATGGCATTGGTCTTGTTTTTGGACTGTGAATAATGACCCTTACTCCAGATTGTCCACTTGTCGGATCAAATGGGTTGTATAGAGTGAGTTCTGACAAGTCCCTCTTTGTAGTATAAGCATCCACGAATAGGATCAGACTGAGACCTGATGTTGGGTCAGCTTTTATGACTTTCGTATCATTTAATTGAGCTCCTGCACCATTAAATGTAAAACAATGCTGGAATCCTCCATCCTGATGAACAACAAAGGCAGAATCTTTGCAGGGATGACCTTTGAATTTACAACTGATCTTTAAGCTTTTGAGATCATGTTGAATTGTTTTAAGATCTTTCTTGTCGAGATTCTCAAAGACAAATTGGTTTGACAGGAACCTGTAGCTGTATTTAAAATACCAATCACCCAGTCCACCAATATTTGGCTTAACTAGCATCCCTGGGAAGGACCCCATTGTTAACACTAATTTGCCAATAGCATCATCACGGTGTGATTGATTATCTATGAAGTCAATGAGAGCTGTTGCCGTTACAGGTTGTTGAGTACAGAATGTCACGGCAGGAAACTCAATATCCTCAAAGTTGACAGAAACTACATCTTTTGTTGGAAATGTGAAGTATATAGTTATTAAATTTACAGAACTTATTGTTGCGAACATGAAGAAACCCACAAATATGAGTCCCCACAGAAACTTTGTAAGTTTGAATTTTGATGTTGGAATTTGACCACATCCATGTGCTGAGGTATTTTCAGTAAATTCCTTGACTGTTGCAATCATGTTTTTGCCATCCATTTTATTATTTTGATTGGTTGATTTACATTTAAATATGTCCATGCACATCCTTGGTCATTGTTCAATAAAGCAGAAAATTCATCAAATTTTCAGTAAATTCCTTGACTGTTGGAATCATGTTTTTGCCATCCATTTTATTGTTTTGATTGGTTGATTTACATTTTAAATATGTCCATGCACATCCTTGGTCATTGTTCAATAAAGCAGAAAATTCATCAAATTTTCAGTAAATTCCTTGACTGTTGCAATCATGTTTTTGCCATCCATTTTATTATTTTGATTTGTTGAATTACATTTTAAATATGTCCATGCACAGCCTTGGTCATTGTTCAATAAAGCAGAAAATTCATCCAATATAGTGTCTGCGTTATACTTCAAATGGAGTCTCAACTTTGTGAAAGTGTTTAGGTAATTTCTATGTGCCAAATAAGCTTAAAGACTTTGTTCTGTAATTTATGAAACATCTGTTTATACATACTGAGAATTTAGCAAAGCCTCTTCTCTGTCTTTTATACAATTATTTAACCTTTGGTAATATTTAATCCCAAATAGATCCATGTTCAGTCTTGGTCACTGTCACATGGCTTTATATTCTGCAGTGTCTGAAGCCAAGTTTTTATGTGATGTTTGTTATATCATCATACATTATGCCTTTGAATTTCGCTTTGAAAACATTGAGCACTGTGGTATGATATATCCATGGGGAAAATGTCATGATAGTTCGTTTTATGATTGGAGATAGACAATAAAGAGTGAAATAAACAAGGAATAAAGTAAACAGGCATGTAGTTAACACTCAAAATTGTATAGAAATGCAAGAAAATCAGACAGTTTATTCAAATTTTACAGAGAAATTACAGTAAATATTCATGGATAGAGAGAAATCCATTTCTGGAAAAATAAACTTATGACCATTAACACGAATTAAACAATCCATTTGGAAACATTAACGTGAAATCAATAGTAAGTGTTTGTCAACATTATGGTACATTAGTAGCTATTAGTTTATTAAAGCCTTGTCTACATGCAAAATTGTATAAGTGTTAGATGAACAAGATAACAGCATTGCCAAGGCAAAGCAAATCTTATCAAAAGGCCATGGCTGCTATTTTTGCAAATGGCACCAATAAGCCAAATTGTCATTAGGTGGTGTAATATTCTTATCAGTATTCACATATAAAATTTTACCAAAATTACATTTAAGTTCTAATAAAAAAGTAAAATAACACACATAAAAATTGCCATAGTTTTTAAAAATTGCTGCTTACTAGCCAAAGTGTCAATTGAAAGTGTAGTATGCTTATATAAAATTTCAAAAAATCTCGTCACTACTTTTCCTGATAGCTAGCAACAACATAAAATGATACACATAAAAATGGCCAATTTTTCACATGGCCACTCAATAGCCAAATTGTCATTAGAAAGTGTAATATGCTTCTTAATAGCCGCATATAAAATGTCAAGAAAATCCCTCACTTCTTGTTGAGTTATAGAAAAAAAGTAAAAACACATATGTGACAACGATGTGTCATTAGAAAGTGTACCATGCTTCGACTTAATCAATATGTCCTATATAACTTTTTGCATTTAACACATATTAATATTACACTTTTATTTGGTCAAACCTTGCAAAAACCTGACAAAAAGTTTCATTGTCAAAAAATCATTCTTTAAAGCAGAACTAATGGTTGGCTCTCTGTTCAACTCAATATTTAGCTTTATGTGAAGAAATGAAAATAAAACTTTTTGAAAAATACATTAGGTTAAGTGATTGTATTGAAAAGAACAATGTCAATTGACCCACTTTGTTTGATAGTGTAATACCACTTTAATAAATTGATAAATACAAACTATTGCCACAGTCTGACTACCGATCTTGAAGAGACTTTATGAAAATAAAATCAGAGATTATTGATTAGTTTATGATGTTTATTGACTTATTAATTGATAATGGTGGCATATTACCGCTTTACACCCAGTCCTTTATGTACTGTATATGTCTATTTACTGTATTTTAATGATTTCTTACCATATATGAATTTGATGTTAACAACAATATTCAGGATATTTGATTTCAAAATTAAAAAGTAATCTCCAATTCTGCTCCATTACGTTGGCAACTTCTGGTTTATGTTTTTGTGAATTTTTCAATCAGTTTTTATTTTCTTAAGTTGAACCTGTTAAAATTAATACACTGAAGTGTATAATGATGAACTCTCAAAAAATAAAACCCACAATAATTGTTTTTTCAATTCAAAATTTCATGTCATTGTTTCTTACAAGTCGCCTCTTTCTTTTCAAAGTTTTTGTCAAGTCAAAACTGGAGTTTAAAACCTGGTTTCTTGACAAGTACAAACTATTATTATGTAAGTATCAAATAACGTGAAAAATGTTAAACCTTACATCCTACATTGATTTGATGTAAAATAGTGATCATTGACATGATTTTTGTGCTGTAATGTTTGGATCTTTAATCTTATTTTACCCGATCTCTGTCGATGTGACATCACTCATTTATTATACACGCATGCGCATCACAATAAAGAAGGCAATATGGCGAATTACACAATTCTGAGCCAGAATGGAGGTCTCCAAATTTAAATGAATATGTTTGTTTATGCATCAATCGAGGACATATGTAACCCAACCGATTTTTTAAATAATATACTTAATATAATGAATTATACTTATTTTGTGAGCTTATTACCCGCTCAATGAATTGAAGAACTGAATAGAAACAGTGTCTAATACTCCAAATACTTCACAAAATCTTTTGTAATGTGTGACAAGAATTTAAGCACATGGCTCAATGAATTGAAGAACTGAAAAGAAACAGTGTCTAATGCCCCAAATACTTCACAAAATCTTTTGTAATGTGTGAAAAGAATTGAAGCACATGGCTCAATGAAGATATTTTAAAGCACTCATGTCTTGTATCCTATTTCTCAATTTAAGTCTTCATGCAAGGCATAATGGCTTAAATCATCTACAATCTTGGGGCTAATTGCTTTTACAATGAATTTCCACATTAACATTTTTCATACATATCTTCATCCTTATGATTATTGTAAGACTTGACTTGTTTAATATTAACATCTGATAATTTAGTTTTACATTGCTTAGTCCACATTTTATAATCAAATCCTTAAAATAGTAACGAATGATGGCACCAGTCAGAGTCAACATCTCCATTAATGTTATAATTGATATCCCAACAAAGAAGCCCATATTTCTCCCAATTTCGGATATTATGTCACAACTGGGTAATCCTCAGCTTGAGAGGTTGTTTCGACTTGAATACTCTCAAAGTACACATTGAACCCGAGAAAATGTTTTTGTTTCATCTCTCTTTCATTCTTTGTGATCTGACCCACTTCAAGTCCTTTGAATAGCATCGTTGGTCAATTTTTCTCTATCTTCATCCATATGATAATCTTAAGATTCGACTCGTTTAATATTAACATCAGATGTTTTATTGCTTTGTCCACATTTAATAATTAAATCCTTAAAACAATAAAGAATGATGGCACCAGTCAGGGTCAACATCTCCATTAATGTTATAATTGAAATCCCAACAAAGAAGCCCATATTTCCTCCGATTTCCGATATAAATGTCGAAGCTGGGTAATCTTCGACTTGGGACGTTGTTTCAACTTGAAGACTCTCAAAGTACACATTGAACCTTAGAAAATTTTTCTGTATCATCTCTTTTTCCCCCTCTGTGATGTTATCTAATCCAAGTCCTTCAAATAGTTTTGTTGCTCGATGTGTAGGATCACTCATGTTAATGGACTCAATGAAGAATCTCTTTTGGTTATAGTCGCTAGGCCAAACTGTTTGGGAAATTGTCTTCACATAGTTGGTATTCACACATGGTTCTTTGCATTTGCATTTGTTAAGAACCTCAGGATCGCCAAGTGACTCCATCACCTTAGCTTCGCAATCAAGTGTCTCAAGCTCCTTTTCAGCAATCGCCAGTGTAGTTTCATCATTTTTATGAAACATCATTAGATACATATTTGTGATGTTTACTTTTCCACAGTATTGAGGCTTCAATTCACCGGATGGCGTTGGCAACATAGAGCTCATACACCCGCAGTCTTCCATGAGAATGTCCTGTTTACACTGTTCCAGGCATGTGTCCTCTGAGTATGCATAATTTGTACCTTCATTGAATTCAGCCGTTGTACAGTTACCATGCGGTTCAGTCATCAACTTCCGCTTGGTTTCTTTGAGAGCGACTGATGTAGAAAACCCAGTTGGGATATCAAAGCCTTTTTCAAATGGCCCTGATTCCAGATTGTCCACTTGTCGGATCAAACCGGTTGTATGGAAGGTGGTTCGACAAGTCCCTCTTTGTAGTATACGCATCAACGAAAAGGATCAAACTGAGACCTGATGTTGGGTTAGCTTTTATGACTTTCGTATCATTTAATTCCGCTCCTGCACCATTAAATGTAAAACAGTGCTGAAATCCTCTATCCTGGTGTACAACAAAGGCGGAGTCTTCGCAGGGCTGACCTTTGAATGTACAACTGATCTTTAAGCTTTGGAGATCATGTTGAACTGTTTTGAGATCTTTTTTGTCAAGATTCTCATAGAGAAACTGGTTTGACAGGAATCTGTAATTGTATTTTGAATACCAATTACTCAATCCAACAATGTTTTGCTGAACTAGCTTTATTTGGAACAACGTAACAATTAAAACTAATCTTTCAATAGCATCATTAAGGTGTTCTGGGTTATCTAGGAAGTCAATGAGACTTGTTGTCGTAACAGCCTGCTGAGTACAGAATGTCACGGCAGGGAACTCAATATCCTCGAAATTGACGGAAACGACGTCTTTTGTTGGAAATGTGAAGTATCTTATTATTAAATGCACAGAACTTTGTGTCGCGAACATGAAGAAACCCACAAATATGAGTCCCCACAGAAATTTTGTAATTTTAAATCTTGAAGTTGGAATTTGACCACATCCATGTGCTGAAGTATTTTCAGTAAATTCCTTGATTGTTACAATCATATTTTCACCATCCATTTTATTATTTTGATGAGTCGGTTTACATCTCAAATAGATCCATGCTCACTCAGTTTTATATTCTGTATTGTCTGTAGTCAAGTTTTATTTGATGTTTGTTATGTCACAATCATCAAACTTTATGCTGTTAGTTTGCACTATCCGCTTTCTTCATTTCTAAATCTAATTTAGAAATATGATATTATACTGGATGAGCGTGGTGTAAAAGTGGTTTTGAAAAATAGCAAATTTCTCTTTATGTAGGTAATTTGTGGTTTATGATTCTACATTGATTCTGAAAATACTGGTGTCTAGTTTTTCAGCGTTTTGGAAATATTCAGATTTATACCCCCCTTGTTTGATTTTGAGGGGGGTACTAGGAAGGCCATGTAAAATTCCTAGAATTTACAACCAATCATTTTGATATTTACAGGTAATCATATACTTATCATGTCCTACAAAAGTAATGAGTTTCATCAAAGTTAGTCAACTGGTTGCTATGGAAACAGAGATCATATGTCAAAAAGTACACAATTTCGTCAAAATGTAAGACACCCCATGAGACAAAACACATGTTATTTTAATGAAATTAGGAAGAAACACCACAAAAACATTTTAGAAAACTTATTCAGAGTATGTTTGATAATATTAAATCAACTGCTGTTTTATCTTATCCACACAGTGAAATCTATTGCTCATGATTATATGGCAATGCAAATTAATTTAGAAAGGGGACGTGGCACTTTTCCAAAGAATTCTTAACTTGTGTCAAAATCTTTGAAGAAAATAAATAACAAATTGTCCTGTTATTTACAGATATTATTCACATCATTATGTTTGACTATCATGGAAAGTTTCATCAGTGTTGGTTTACTGGTTACTATAGTATGCAGATTTATATCCCTTGGCATGATTTTTAATGGGGGTGCAATGAAAGCCATCTATAATTCCTAGAATATACAGCCATTCATATTGATATTTACAGGTAATCGTCTACATATCATGTCTTACAACCATGACAATTTCATCAATGTGTATCAATTGGTTGCTATGGAAACATAAATCATTTTTTTCAAAAGTACACATTAAGGGATGTACTATTAAAGCCATATATAATTCCTAGAATATTTAACCAATCATCTTGTTATTGACAGATAGTTTTCTACTCACCATGTTCTTCCACTATGACAAAGTTCATAAATGTGGGGCAAATAGTTGCTATAGTAACATAAATCATTTGTTAAAAAGTACACATTAGGGCGTACTATGAAAGCCATTTATAATTCCTTAAATACAGGGTGTTAAAAAAAACGCAACCCAAAGAAATCGCTATATATTGGAAAATACTAATGCAATTATGTTCATTTTTTCAGGAAAGAAAGAAGAGACTGTGTATGTATAGCTCCTGTAGTTGGTTAGTTATACAACATGATGCCTTAGACACCTGCTCAAAAGACATTATTATTAGAAAGATACGAAAAACGCAGTCAAGGGTGACTGCCACAGCAATAAGACCAAATAACTTTCTAATTATAGTATTTTAGCTCTTCAAATTTGGCACAAATCATCTTCATTCAAAGTATGGTAAATCTGTAGATTAAATTCAAAATCACTCTAGGGACTTAACAGTTATGGTCGAAATGCGTTCAAAACGCAGTCAAACGCCCTGGTTCAGGCAGACTTAAGAAGGTATTTTGACCATGACTGTAAAGTCCCTGGAGTGATTTTGATGAAACTCCACAAATTCACCACACAGTACATTGAATGAGGATAATTTGTGCCAAATCTGAAGTGCCAAAACACTATGGTTAGAAAGTTATTAAGTTTTATTGCTGTGGCAGTCACCTTTGACTGCGTTTTTCGTATCTTTCTAATACTAATGTCTTTTGAGCAGGTGTCCAAGGCTTCATGCTTTACAACTAAATAACTACAGGATCTCTACATACACAGTCTCTTCTTTCTTTCCTGAAAAAATGAGTGCAATTGGATAAGTATTTTCCAAGATATAGCGATTTCTTTGGGTTGCATTCTTTTGAACACCCTGTATCAAAACAATCATTATGATATTTACAGACAATCTTCTACTTATCATGTCCTACCATGATGACAAGTTTCATCAATGTGGGTCAAATGTGGGGAAAAATCTATTTGTTAAAAAAGTACACATTTCGTAAAATGTTAAGACACACCCTAAGACATTGAAAATCTTCATCGAATTGGGAGGACTTAGCATGAAAACATTTTAAAAACCTATTTTGAGTATGTCTGGTAATATTTAATCAATGGATATTTCATCTGGGCCATTTGATGTATTGTATTTGCTTATGATAATAAAACTATGCAGAATGCGGCTGTCACATTATGCGTAGGGACATAGTAAATTATGAGCTGATCTCACTTAATCATCTTTTATATCATTTGCATCAAAATCCTCATTCATAGATCTTTCAATGTCTACTTCTGTCAAAGCATCCGTTGCAATCTTTATGTGACTATATGTCTATGAGATCATCAGGTGGAATGGGTTGGTCTGGCCAATTTGGCTCTATTTTGCCATCAACAAGTTACCACGTCATTTGTAATAAACAAACTAAGAGATATATATGTACAACTATTACACCCAATTAAAAATACTGGAAATGCTTCTTAATGAATTCTAAAAACAATGAGCAGTTAAAAAAACCAGCAGACATAAAAAAGTTGAGAACAACAGCATGTATTACTCTGAGTGTTAAACATGTCCGTTGATGACCAGTGATGGCAATAAAGCGTCCACTGTTGTGATTGATGAGATGTGATAAGTTTTATGAAATGTTTCCATGCTTATTTCTCCCAAAATGATGAACATATTATGTGCTTTTAAAATGTCAAAGGTTGCATGAGTCTTATATTTTTTGGAATCTATGCCTCTTCACTTCATGATTGAATTATGACCCTAATACGTGGCCCATACATCAATACAGGTCAACAAGATACTAGTGTGCATATAAATGTAATAATAAAAGCAGTATACCCATTTTGAAAAATCAGATGAACAAATTTTTTTTTCATGGGGAGATCATCAGTACTTCTTTTTTTGTCAAGTCAAAATCCGAGTTCAAAACCTGGTTTCTTTACAAGCTATGTTTATGTAAGTATCAAATAACATGGAAATGTTAAACCTTACATCCTACATTGATTTGATGTAAAATAGTGATCATTGACATGATTTTTGTGCTGTTATGTTTGGATCTTTAATTTTATTTTACCAGTTTTCTTTTTTCTCATAGCCAAACTTGAACCCCGATCTCTGTCGATGTGATGTCACTCATTAATTATGCATATATGCGCAGTTCAATAAAGAAGGCAATATGGCAACTTACACAATTCTGAGCCAGAGTGGAGGTCTCCAAATTGAAATGAATATGTTTATTTATGCATCTATCGAAGACATATGTAACCCAACCAACTTTTTTAATAATATACTTAATATTTTAATGAATTATACTTATTTTGTGAGCTTATTACCCCTTTAAAGTTTGTATGTGCATGTGGTAAAGGTGAAATACCAAAAAATGTTATAGAACACAGCAAGTAAAAGAAAACATTTATTAGTTCACCAGTCTAAGGAAAAAAACAACAACTATCCAAAATCATAATCCAACATGAAAAGAAACAGTGTCTAATACTCCAAATACTTCACAAAATCTTTTGTAATGTGTGACAAGAATTTTAGCACATGGCTCAATGAATTGAAGAACTGAAAAGAAACAGTGTCTAATGCCCCAAATACTTCACAAAATCTTTTGTAATGTGTGACAAGAATTGAAGCACATGGCTCAATGAATTGAAGATATTTTAAAGCACTCATGTCTTGTATCCTATTTCTCAATTTAAGTCTTCATGCAAGGCATAATGGCTTAAATCATCTACAATCTTGGGGCTAATTGCTTTTACAATGAATTTCCACATTAACATTTTTCATACATATCTTCATCCTTATGATTATTGTAAGACTTGACTTGTTTAATATTAACATCTGATAATTTAGTTTTACATTGCTTAGTCCACATTTTATAATCAAATCCTTAAAATAGAAACGAATGATGGCACCAGTCAGGGTCAACATCTCCATTAGTGTTATAATTGATATCCCAACAAAGAAGCCCATATTTCTCCCAATTTCGGATATTATGTCAAAACTGGGTAATCCTCAGCTTGAGAGGTTGTTTCGACTTGAATACTCTCAAAGTACACATTGAACCCGAGAAAATGTTTTTGTTTCATCTCTCTTTCATTCTTTGTGATCTGACCCACTTCAAGTCCTTTGAATAACATCGTTGTTCTATATTTGAGATCACTCATGTTAATGGTCTCAGTGAAGAATTTCTTCTGGTTATAGTCGCTTGGCAAAACTGCATGGGAAATTGTCTTTATATTTCCTTATCTTCATCCATATAATAATCTTCAGACTAGACTTGTTTATTATTAACATCAGATACTTTTGTTTTATTGCTTTGTCCACATTTAATAATTAAATCCTTAAAACAATAAAGAATGATGGCACCAGTCAGGGTCAACATCTCCATTAATGTTATAATTGAAATCCCAACAAAGAAGCCCATATTTCCTCCGATTTCCGATATTAATGTCGAAGCTGGGTAATCTTCGACTTGGGACGTTGTTTCAACTTGAAGACTCTCAAAGTACACATTGAACCTTAGAAAATTTTTCTGTATCATCTCTTTTTCCCCCTCTGTGATATTATCTAACCCAAGTCCTTCAAATAGTTTTGTTGCTCGATGTGTAGGATCACTCATGTTTATGGACTCAATGAAGAATCTCTTTTGGTTATAGTCGCTAGGCCAAACTGCTTGGGAAATTGTCTTCACATAGTTGGTATTCACACATGGTTCTTTGCATTTACATTTGTTCAGGACCTCGGGGTCACCAAGTGACTCCATCACCTTAGCTTCGCAATCAAGTGTCTCAAGCTCCTTTTCAGCAATCGCCAGTGTAGTTTCATCATCTTTATGAAACATCATTAGATACATATTTGTGATGTTTACTTTTCCACAGTATTGAGGCTTCAATTCACTGTATGGCGTTGGCAACATAGAACTCATACACCCGCAGTCATCCATGAGAATGTCCTGTTTACACTGTTCCAGGCACGTGTCCTCTGAGTATGCATAATTTGTACCTTCATTGAATTCAGCCGTTGTACAGTTACCATGCGGTTCAGTCATCAACTTCCGCTTGGTTTCTTTGAGAGCGACTGATGTAGAAAACCCAGTTGGGATATCAAAGCCTTTTTCAAATGGCATAGGTCTGATTTTTGGACTGTGAATAACGGCCCTGATTCCAGATTGTCCACTTGTCGGATCAAACCGGTTGTATGGAAGGTGGTTCGACAAGTCCCTCTTTGTAGTATACGCATCAACGAAAAGGATCAAACTGAGACCTGATGTTGGGTTAGCTTTTATGACTTTCGTATCATTTAATTCCGCTCCTGCACCATTAAACGTAAAACAGTGCTGAAATCCTCTATCCTGGTGTACAACAAAGGCGGAGTCTTCACAGGGCTGACCTTTGAATGTACAACTGATCTTTAAGCTTTGGAGATCATGTTGAACTGTTTTGAGATCTTTTTTGTCAAGATTCTCATAGAGAAACTGGTTTGACAGGAATCTGTAATTGTATTTTGAATACCAATTACTCAATCCAACAATGTTTTGCTGAACTAGCTTATTTTGGAACAATGTAACGATTAAAACTAATCTTTCAATAGCATCATTACGGTGTTCTGGGTTATCTAGGAAGTCAATGAGACTTGTTGTCGTAACAGCCTGCTGAGTACAGAATGTCACGGCAGGGAACTCAATATCCTCGAAATTGACGGAAACGACGTCTTTTGTTGGAAATGTGAAGTATCTTATTATTAAATGCACAGAACTTTGTGTCGCGAACATGAAGAAACCCACAAATATGAGTCCCCACAGAAATTTTGTAATTTTAAATCTTGAAGTTGGAATTTGACCACATCCATGTGCTGAAGTATTTTCAGTAAATTCTTTGATTGTTACAATCATATTTCCACCATCCATTTTATTATTTTGATTAGTCGGTTTACATCTCAAATAGATCCATGCTCACTCAGTTTTATATTCTGTATTGTCTGTAGCCAAGTTTTATTTGATGTTTGTTATGTCACAATCATCAAACTTTATGCTGTTAGTTTGCACTATCCGCTTTCTTCATTTCAAAATCTAATTTAGAAATATGATATTAGTATTGATATTTAATCTCTATTTGAAATTTAAGAGCACAGGGATATGATGTGTCCATGGAAAAAATGTCATGATAATTTGTTTTATATATGGAAATAGATTTGAACAGAGTGGAATCCGCAAGAAATAAAGTAATCGGGCATGTAGTCAGTACTCTAAAAATGAAATGCAAGAAAATCAGATAATCTATTCAAATTTTAGAGCGAAAAAGTATGAATATTGTTAGGTAGAGAAATCCAGTTATGGAAAAATAAACCAATACCCATTAACAAGAATTAAACAATCCATATGGAAACATTAAAATCAAATCAATAACTTGCTTAAGTAAGTGTTTAAGTCAGCATCATGGTACATTAGTAGTTAAGTGCATTGAAAGTCTTGTCTAGTTACAAAGTTATATAATTGTTAGATTGATAATATGATTGTATGAGTCTGCACTGCAGTAAACATGTCCAATTTGTCCATAAAATATCTTTACAATAACAATACAAAGTAACAATTCACGTTACACGTGCCAAGCAAAAGAAAATATGAGAGGGGTGATGAATAAATTAGCCATTACGGACCACGTCCTTCAGAATAATTGTGTAATGGACTGGAACAATACTACGGTTTGGGACAATGACAATAAGAGACTTGAAAGATGGATTAAAGAATCTATTTTTATAAAGAAAAAGGATAGTAATATAAACAGGGATCAGGGGAACTATAAATTGGCGGGAATTTGGAATGAATTTTTGGTGAATTAATATGACATAATATTGTTTTTATTTAATTGTTTTGTAGCGCTTCAGTTCAGTTTTTATACAGATGAAAAAGGATCCAGACAGGATCTGAAACGTCCTGTTTAGTAAAATAAAGGTTGTGAAAAGAAGAAAAAATATTTTTGTGAATACGAAGTTTGTGTGAAGTGTAAAGGACTATGGACACCCTGTATAACATTATCACTCTGAAATATGTATTGGTTACTTATGATGAGAATTAAAGCTATTAAAACTGTTGAAGTTTAACAAATGTTTATCTTATACTATCAACAACCCATTTGGAAACTTAAATAAAATCAATGCCATTAGTAATTGTATTTGACACATTATAATACATACAGGTTCTGGTGTTCCACTTATGGAGATGTTCTACTTTTGATGTGTTCCACTTAGTTGGTGTTCCACTTTTGATGTGTTCCACTTAGTTGGTGTTCCACTCATGGAGGAGTTTCACTTTTAAGGTGTTTCACTTAGGAGGTGTTCCACTTTTGATGTGTTCCACTTAGTTGGTGTTCCACTTATGGAGGAGTTTCACTTTTAAGGTGTTTCAACTAGGAAGTGTTCCACTTTTGATGTGATCCACTTAGTTGGTGTTCCACATATGGAGGAGTTCCATATGGAGGAATTCCTCTTTCGATTGTTTCACTTAGGAGGTGTTCCACATTTAAGATGTTACACTGAGGAGTTGTTCCACTTAGGTGTTACACTTCAGTGGTGTTCCACTTTTGAAGTGTTCCACTTAAGAGGTGTACCACTTGACAGGTTTAAGTGTACTCGTATGCCAAATAACCTTAAATCAAAATCAAAGCACTATCACAAAATAAAAAGTCAATACTGTTAAGATTATGATAAAAGTCTCTAAAATCCTTAATTTGATAATTTGATTTATCTGAAATTTTAAGATTTTTTAAAAGATAATAATATTCTCTAGTGATACCTAAACCTAGTAGTCTCTATGGAATGTGTATTTTGTTTCATGATTTAAGCCCATTCAGGGCCTAAAATGTGTATAAAGTGTATTATGAATAAAGCGTATTATGAATAAAGAAAGTGTATTATGAATAATGAGTATTATAAATAATGAGTATTATAAATAAAGTGTGAATAAAGTGTTTTATGAATAAAGTGTATCACTTAAAGCATCTATATTTTACATAAAGTATTTACATTTTCATATTTCTATTTCCAGACGAGCACTTTCCGCAAGTGGCAAGGAGTACAGTGATGTCATGGAAAAGCTACTAGAGTTCAACAATCCTGCAAATATCAAGTTCCTCTGCAATAAATTCAAGATGGCTGATATGTCTTCCCCCACTCTCATGTCTGGGCTCGCAAAGTAAGTTTTAGGTTTAAAATTGGTCAATAGATGTCATGACAACAGTGAAGTATTTTATAATGCAGGGTTCTCGCCATATTTGGTAGAGAATGACAGGCTGTAAGGAATTGATGGCATAGACTTTTCATTGAGCTTCTAATGAAAACCCTGTTAAATACAAAAACAAAGGTACTGGGAACAGCAGGCCCAGATCAGACTTAGAAGCTATTTATAGTTTTTATGTCCCCACCACATAGTGTGGGGCCATATTGTCGGCCTAGGCGCGTCCGTCTGTCTGTCCGTCCGTACGTCCGTCCGTCTGTCCGTCCGTCTGTCCGTACGTCCGGGAGTTTTCTCCAAAACCGCTACAGATATCACCTTCAAATTTTCAGGGATAACTTATGAGTGCATACAGATGTGGATGAAAAATTTTTAACTCGATACCTACTTCCTGTCGGCCATTTTAAAGTCAAATGCTAAAATCCTTGTCTGCAAACTTTAAAAAAACGGCTTCACAATTGCTTTTAAAACTTTAACATCTTGTTCAGCTCACTTCATTCTAGATCTGATTAGGTTTTGGACCTGTTAGCTCAGTCATGTCAGCCATTTTGAATGTCTTAAGAAAAGTTAGCGCACGATAATACTTTGTATCATATTGAATGGTGTTTTTGAGTTTTCATACTTTAACTATTTAGTAGCTTTATAAATAATTTCAGATGTACTTTGTTGTAAAAGCCTATTTTATTGTTAACAGTAGTTATATGTGATAATTTTGTAAGAAGAAATCAGCAAAAACACATAATCACTTTTTTATTGTTGGCCATTTTGGATTTTTCCGTCCTAAAATCTTGTCTGTGAAGTCTTGTCTACGTGTTTTCAGGTGAACCGTTTGGTGGATCAATTTCAAATTTTCAGGGATGATTCTTAGTATAAAAATCTAGATCTGATTTGTTTTTTTGGCATTCTGGGTAAATGTCAAGGCAGCCATTTTGGATTTTCCGTCCTAAAATCTTGTCTGTAAAGTCTTGTCTACGCATTTTCAGGTGAACCGTTTGGTAGATCAATTTCAAATTTTCAGAAATGATGCTTAGTATGAAAATGTAGAACTGATTAGTTTTTTGGCATTCTGGGTAAATGTCAAGGCAGCCATTTTGGATTTTCCGTCCTAAAATCTTGTCTGTAAAGTCTTGTCTATGCATTTCCAGGTGAACCGTTCTGTAGATCAATTTCAAATTTTTAGGGATGATTCTTAGTATGAAAATGTAGATCTGATTAGTTTTTTGGCATTCTGGATAAATGTCAATTGGCAGCCATTTTGGATTTTCCCTCTTAAAATCTTGCCTGTAAAGTCTTGTCTACGCGTTTTTAGGTGAACCGTTTGGTAGATCAATTTCAAATTTTCAGGGATGATTCTTAGTGTGAAAATCTACATCTGATTAGTTTTTTGGCATTCTGTGTAAATGTCATGGCAACCATTTTGGATTTTCTGTCCTAAAATCTTGTCTGTAAAGTCTTGTCTACGCGTTTTCAGGTGAACCGTTTGGTAGATCAATGTCATATTTTCAGGGATGATTCTCAGTATGAAAATCTACGAACAGATTAGTTTTTTGACATTCTGGGTAAATGTCAAGGCAGCCATTTTGGATTTTCCATCCTAAAATCTTGTCTGTAAAGTTTTGTTTACATGTTTTCTAGTTAACTGTGTGATGGATTAATTAAAAATTTTCAGGGGTGGTTCTTAGTTTGAAAATCTAGAACTGACTAAATTTTTGGCATTCTGGGTAAATTTTAAGGTGGCCATTTTGGATTTTCCGTCCTCAAATTGTGTTGGTAAAGTCTTGTCTACTCATTTTCAGGATAACCATTTGATGGGATCACCCATTGGTGGGGACATTTTGTACACATTTGTGTTCTTGTCATATATTTGTACACATATTGTACCTGATACAGAATATGCCGAGAGCCTAAGAATAGTCATCCTACTAAGCAGGTGTCCAGAATCCATACCTTCTTCTTCCCCCTGCTATAACCAATTTGGACACGCCCGATTTAACTGAATCACGTGATCTAATTATGCGCAATGACTTATACATCATTTCTGTCGCAGTATTGCGACAGCCAATCAGATTGCGAGTTCTTAATCAGGGAAATGGTAACTGCTTATCGCAGGGGGTAAAAAGAAAGAAAACGCCCTGTGATCGGAGGATGAAGAAGAGTAGTTCTATAAATGAAATATATATATAAGGTATTTACCTTGTCTACTTGTTTAGTCACATTCTCTATTTTCCAGTCTTGTGATTCCTGATACAGAATATGCTGAGAGTCTGAGGAAGGAGCAGTCGTACAAGTGCTCCATGAAAAGGTACATCACCTCTTGGCGGGGGGGGGGGGTTCTGCTAGAATTTCTCACAACAGCAATGGAAAAATTGCCTCTTGAAATCCCAACAATCGGCAAAATGAATGGTGCTACGTGAAACATTTAACATTGAAAAATGAAGACATTTAACATTGAAAAATTAAAACATTTAACATTGAAAAATGAAAACATTTAACTTTGAAAAATTTCAAATTTTAACATTAAAACAATCGCATTAAAATCTTATGAGGAAAAATATGAGAATATGAATGTCTTATATGATATGTAATAAAAACTGATGTGTTTGATTATAAATATCAAGACATTTTCAGGTCAGAAAATGTAAAAAAAAGAATTAATTCATGTTGCCTTATATTCCAGTGTGATTGAGGGAGTGAAATACTTCAAAGAGGGAAAGTATATTGAGGCGGTTCAGCATATTAACAAAGCTTTGCAAATTGATAGCAAGAATGTTGAAGCCTTGGTAGCAAGAGGCGCATTGTAAGTGTATACTGTTCTAAGGGGTCTGTTTTTCATTATGAGAAGGGGTCCAATAGCCTGCTGCTAGCGGGGAGTGAGGTCAGGAAGATCAATGGACAAAAAAATTGTTTAACAGGCGTGTTAGTGAAACTGTACAGAATTGGCGAAAAAATTGAATATTCACTTAGATTTTAAAATGCAAAATAGATTGGAAAAGAGTGAAATTAGCAAAAATTAAAGTAATCAGGCATGTAGTCTAAATTGTATTGAAATGTCAGAAAATTAAATACTCAGATTCTATAGTGAAGTAAGGTGGAATTAGCAAGGAATAAAGTAAACAGAGGTGTAGCTGATACTTAAAATGTATAGAAATTCAAGAAAATCAGATTTTAGAGAGTTATGGTGTAAAATAGACATGACTGGAGAGAATATTTCTTGTTTTTTCAGATTTGCTAATAACGAGAGTTATGTGAAGGCAATTGAAGACTTCGAGGCAGCTTTAGAGATCAACGGCAAACACAGAAATGCGCTCAAATATGTCATTGAGACATCTATGGTATATGCAAAAAGGTAATACAAATATTTCATCTGAATATCTGGGAATGGACTCAAATACTGTACTCCCAGTAATTTTCGTGTGCTTCTATATTTCGCACTTTTGGTGAGTTTTGGAGAATTCGTGAAATTTTGGGGCAAAAAGGTTGAGAGGCTACTATATTCTTACACTTAGATTCTGGAAGATCATAATTAAATGGACTTTCTCACAAAATGGCTCAAGATGAAGGGAAAGCATTGCTGATATTAAAATGGAAAGCGTGGTATTGCATGACAAAACAACTAAAATTACAGAAACATACATAAAGTAATCTCCAACATTTTGAGAAGTCACCCATTTCAATAAAAACCCATTTTGGCTTCCTCTCAATGTCCCAATTATCAATCTGATAGTAGGTTAAGTTTAACGTTTGAATATTTAATGGAAAATGTATTTTAATTCTTTCATAGTCATACACATGTAATAGCAACACAAACTGTTCCTTGAAAATGGACTTTCTCACAAAATATTGTGAGTCTTTATAGCTGATGTCGTCGGATTTCAACAATACAAAACAGAATTTAATCTTACATCTTGATTCTATTATACGGACCCAATAATATACATGAATAATACATGTGGTGTGTCATGACATAAAGTAGCAAAAAAACATTTAATACCAGAGCACAATCAAACACAGCACAATGTGTCAGAAAAAGCAATCTGTCATCCTTTTATCATCTTTCTTTTTCAGTTTACACGAGCAAGGCAGGGTCGATGATGCTGTCAGATATTACAACAAGGTGCTTCGATATGACCCCGGATCTAAAGAGGCCATAATTCTACGAGATCGAGTCAAGAATCGACATTTTGAAATGGTACGTTTCTCATGTCAAACATTCAAACATTGTCAAAGCAGCAATCTGAGGTAGCATTCGCGAATTCAACTGACAGCTGGCGGATGAACCTACTATTATGGCCAACTCATTTAAATATGAATAGTACCTGCCACTATTACATTCATGTTGGCCATAAAATTAGGTTAATCCATCAGCTGTCAGCCAGTAGTTGAATTCACGAATGCTACCTTCTAGATAAATGAATAAACACAAGGAGCACATGTGTCTCGAACTCGCAACCTCGTGGTTACGGCGCCCAGTCATCTAGCCCGAACGTGCCAGCTCTCAAGCTCAATATATAGTACTTGGAATCTATCATGGGGAAATGAATATGCAAGGATGAAGTTTTTTCTAAAAATAGTTTGTAGTCAGTGTTGACTGTACTGAAAGTACATACTACATTCAGTTCATTCAAATGTTTGTAGAGAACCACATGATAGGCATTCAAATGTTTGTAGAGAACCACATGATAGGTATTCTAATGTTTGTAGAGAACCACATGATAGGCATTCAAATGTTTGTAGAGAACCACATGATAGGCGTGATTAAAAACTTTATGTAGTCATCGGTATGGCCAGGATGATCAGAAATGTTTTAATGTTGTCATCTGGAATTATCAAACTTGGAATTCTAATCCTTAGAAAATATGCAGTCTTGAGACAACTTTGAATAAATCAAGCTTGAATGTTACATTTACTCGTTCAAATTCAAAATTGATTCAATATTGAAACAAAATTATCTTTGAATTAAGTTCATTTCTTCTCTGGATTGAATACTGAGTGCTAGAATTTACTGAGTGCATACTCAGGCTAAAGGTAAAATATCTGTATAAGATACAATTATCTCAAATTTTATGAACCTTTTGATGTTTAAGTGTGTTTTTTTATATTTTTTTAGCAAGGGACAACTATGGAGGAATGGGAGGAGGAAGATTTCCCAGAATCCTCTAAACAATCCCAGGATTCACGGTACAGGGAAATTTCCCCTGATGAGCATTATGAGAAACGTCGCCATGGTGATGATGATGACTTTCATAATTTTGATCGTCGGAAATCTGGCGAAACTCAAAAAGAGGCAAAAGAGAAAGTGATTGATGATTTTGATCAGTATGAAGCAGATATTGAAGCTTTTCATAATAGTGACGCACCAACTTCTGATAATCATGAACCACCAGATAAGAGATCTCACTCCAGAGATAAATCAAAAACATTTCGGAGAAGTCGTTCAAGGAGTTTGTCCCGAGGAAGAAGTCGTTCAAGATCCCGAAGTCGTGACAGGCGATATTCAAGAGATGGAAAAACATCACGAAGAGATCGATCAAGAAGTCGTGATAGAACAGAATATCGGAAGAATCGAGATAGAAGTGATGACAGACGTCGGTCTAAGAGTAGGAGGGACTTACGAAAAAGTCGTTCAAACAGTCGCGAAAGGGGAAGAAGTAAGTCACAAAGTCAAGATAAAAGCTACTCAAAAAATCAACGGAGGAGCAGCTCTAGTAGTCGTGATAGAAATCTCTCAAGAAGTGGGCGGGACTTCAAAATTGACAGCCATGATACTAGAGGGAAATATGAAATTCGTGATCCAGTAGATCCCTCTAGAAGCTTGCCGTATGATAGGAACACGCAAGAATTTATGAACACAACGCAAATGTTTATTGAACAGCTCTCTCGTGGGAAACCAGAGTTGGTTCAGTCAAAACACCAGCACCCATTAGACGCTATTATCAATGAATCATCACAAGATAGCAAACGGAAATCCCTCGAGCCAAAACATAATATGCGCCAGACAGAGGATGATTCCCGAATTTCCAGGGATGCTAAACACGCAAAGAAGGACTCAGACTCCCATGTGGACAGAAGAAAAAGAGAGGGCATAGAATCCCATGAGGACAGAGAAATAAAGGAGGATATGGACTCCCATGTTATACAGCTAACCCACACATACAAGAAAGAATCAGAAAAGCTAAAGCCAAGGTATCAAAAATTTTAGTAATAAGTTTTATAGTAAATGGTGATAAGTTTTAAATCTTTCAAACTTTCGAAAATAAATCCAAGCGTGAATTTAAATGTTCCTATAAATCTTGAGAAACAATGTGATATCTTTCCAAGAAATTTTCAATTCAATACTCCTATCTAGATAACAGTATATTCTACAATACCATAATGTAATACAAAACAATAATACTATAAAAGTATACCATTATTCAATTGACTATTCCTTGATCTTAAATCTTAATATTGATTTTTCAGTAGTTTGAAAGGGCAGCTGAAAAGCTCAGAACGGGAAAGTCGTGACAGCTTTGATAGGCTTGAGAGTCGTGAAAGACATGTGAAAGATCGTGAACCAACCAGAGATGGAAGCCACGATGAGTCACTTAAACGTGGGTCTTCAAAACGAGACAATAAGGACAATATTGACCAATCTCAAAGAGACTTATATGATAAATCTGCAAGTAAATATAAAAGGTCAAAGTCACCAGTTGAGGTCAAAAGGTCAAGGTCAAGTGATATAGCTGAACGGAAAGCATTACTTGCTGAAATTGATAAAGCATTAGAAAAGAAAAGGGCAGCTAGAAGGACAAGTTCAGCTAAAAGGTCAAGATCACCTAAAAGGTCATCTAGGTCACCAAGGTCAAAGAGATCAAAGAGGTCAGTAAGCTCATCATCAAGTAGTAGCTCAGGTAGTTCAAGTTCTAGTGAGTCATCGAGAGATAGAAGTGGAGACCGAAAACAAAAACAGGAAGCTGAAAAAACAAAACCTAGCCAATCCGCTGCCGCTGATCCTTTTGGTTTAGGGTTGACAAACATGTATGGAGATTTTGATTACAGATCAGTGTCTGGAGGTCAAACCTCTGAGACACATCAACCCTCAAAGACACATCAACCTCCCGAAAGACATCAAGTCCAAGAAACACATGTTATGCCCACAGCCCCAGTTCAACAGATTCCTGGCCTTGGTTTTTCCGCGTATCCCCATGCTCAGCAGGCTCACCCACAGATGCAAGCTTACGCATCACAATTCTATGATGTTGGATTTTTCGATAACTACCTCCAACAAACGAAGTTCCAGAATCCTGCAATGGTACAGCAGCAAACCTATGCTCCACTGAAAACTGCAGCAGCGCCATCTAATGAAGTTGTACCAGAGTCTAACAAAACGGATGAAAGTATGAGTATTATTTCAGAAGAGCAATCAAAATCATGGAAGCAGAGATCTCCAAGCGGTGAAACTCCAAGGAGGTCAAGGTCACATAAAGATCAATCGCCAAGGAGTCAAGATTCAGTCGAGAGAAGTGGGTCAAAAAAGAAATCAAGGGATCAGGAAAGGGAATCACTTGAAAGTCATTCAGATGGTGGAAATAGGAAAAGTGTGTCAAAAGAGCGCAAGAGGGCAACAAAGGATGAGTACAAATATGATGACAGAAAGAAATATGAAGAAAAATCCAATTATAGTAAAGATAGAAAATCATCAAAATATTCCGATGATGAAGATGAATATGAAAAGAAATATGAGGAAAAATCTAAGTACAAAAAAGATAAAAAATCATCAAAATATTCAGACAGTGAAGGCGATGATTATGAAAAGAAACATAAAGACAAAAAGTCATCAAAATATTCTGATGATGATGATTGTGACAAAAATAAAAGTGATGGTAAAAAGAAGCGGTATGATTCAATTAGTAAAAGTGAAAAACAAAGATCAGAAAAATATGAGACACCAGATAAATACAAGTACGATAAATATTCAAAATCAGACAAGAAGTCAAAGTACAACCGTGATGAAGAAGACGAAGAAAAATATTCAAAACCAGCCAAGAAGAGATCTAAACACTATACCGATGAGGATGACAAAGATGAAAGATACAGTAAAAAATATGAAAAATCTGCTAAGAAAACAGAAAGTAAAAAATCAGAACGTTCAAAATATAGCGACTCGAGTGACGATGATGATGATGACTACAAAAAATCTCGAAAATATAGTGATAGAAAAGGCAAAGATAAAAGCACCAAGAGATTTGAAGAAAGCTCCCCTAAAAGATCTTCCAAGAAATATACTTTCTCCTCAGATGAAGAATACCAACGGACTTCAAAGAAGTCGGACAAATACAAATTAGATTATGAAAAGGACATTGAGAAGTCGACAGAGAAGAAAAAGACAAAAAAGGATATGTACGATCCATTTGATTCTGATGAGCCATCGTACGACATTTTCAGTGATGACAAAAAAGCCAAAAAACAAGAAGACAAACGGAACATTATGACTCAAGATGAACGAAGAGTCATAGCAAAAGATGAACGGAAAGTCATCGCTCAAGAGAAGAATATTCAGGATGAACGGAAAATAATCCAAGATGAGCGAAAAATTATTGTCTCTGAACAAAGCAAAGAACAAAGAGTTATCATGATCCCGACATCAGTTCAGAAAAAGAAAATCCTTCAAAACCGATTTGGAGGGAAAATTGTGTTAAAATCTGAAACTCTGCAGAAGAAGGAAAGCACAGACGTACAAAAGCCAGTAGGTGTCGCCACAAGAATCCCGCCCCATGATAAACGATCTTTACGATCTCGATCTAAATCTCCTGAAGTAACGAGGAGAATAATTAGTGGAGATAAACAAAGATCCAAATCAGGTGATCGTGGACGTCAGTCAAGATCGAGATCAAAATCGAGGGATCGGCATAGATCAGGGGATCGATCTCGTCAATCAAGATCAAAATCAAGTGATCGACGCAGATCATCTGAGAGGAGAATTATCAAATCTAGCCCAAGGTCATCAAGTGCAAGATCAGACCAAAGATCAGGAAGTCGTGATAGGCGTTCACTTGGGGAAAAATCGACAAAATATACCTTCCCAATAGAAAAGAGATCCCGAAAATCAAGCGACTACGATCCCCCTGTAATAAAAGTTGCGAAAGTTTCCGAAAAAGAAATTTATGGAAAATGGAACGATTCTGATTCCGATTCGGAATCATCTAGAAAAAAGCGAAAATCGCGATTTGATAGCACAGGGATTCCGAAGCGTACTATCGCTAATGAGCCACCGAAAAGGCTTTCCCCACAAAAGGAAACAATTCTCAATGAAATGGAATCATTTCTGAAATCTTTGAAAGAAGTTAAAAAAGGAAAGCAGGAGAAAAAAACTAATTGAGAGGGAATTTCACTGAAACATATGAAGCGGTTAAGTTACACATAAATTTGAGAGACCCTGATATATTATGACCCATCAATTACTCACCTTTATACATTTATTTTCAATCAAAACAGTACATGTAAGTGGCACGCATAGAGGAAACAGTCCCCGGGAAAACTTGTATGTTAGTGTAAATGTTCGTGTAAATTTATATTGCAGCTATCATTACCTTCTTATCATTGTGTACAAAACCGAACTTGCTGAGAACTTTTTAATAATCAAAGCACGGGAGCTTGTATATAAAGGATTAGACTGGTTGTTTAACGACCTTGACCTTAATTATTTTACAATATGTCATGCTGACATCTTCTATGTAATGCTGACATATGGTTTGTCTTAGTTTATCTGTGTATTACTAATGGTATGTCATACTGACATCTGATATGTATTAGTATCTCATGCTGACATCATGTGTCATCATGACATTTGGTGTGACTACATCTGTATTGTACTTTTACTTTCTCCAGTGGAGAATACTTTATTGAAATTAATAAATATTTTTGTGAATTAAAGCAAATCTATATAATGTATACTTTATTCCGAAATTATGCATGAGCCATTTGAAACTGAAAAGGGATTAAGTGGCGTCTTCAATTCGGAAAGATTGCTTACTACTAGGCCGATTGAGTATTTTATTGAAAAATTGTATTCATTTAACGAAATACTGAATCGGCCGGCCGCCGGCTTATGAATCCGAGCTAAAGTGATCCAGTCATTAGTCACTTCATACATGAACTTGTTTCAAGTAGCTATTACAGAAAAGGGTTATGTGAATTTATAAATAACATCAAAATGCATCGGTCACATTTCATCTACGGCAGTACGGCGGCCGTAGCTTCCCACAATCAAGAGAACAAATAAATAGCGCAGTGTAGATTTGCTATATCAATTTTTAAGCTACGGCCATCGTAGAGCAAATGTGACGGAGTCTTAAGTCACATATCATAAGTATGAATTAAAAGCACTTTAAGGTGATTAAGAAGAGAATTACATGCCGTTTAATGTAAATATATTTACAGTGCCCACCATAAATAAATGACACCTGGATTTGCTGAAGTGAGGATTTCCCATGTTAAAAAGAAGAGAATTTTCAAGAGGCTATACATCAGTGGATTATACAAAATGTAAAAATATACAAAACTTAAGGGATGTGTATCTAGACATTATTGGAAAGTATGAAGTCTCAAATCACCATGGTCTGGAAATGGTGATAGAAAATCCAGGTGTCGTTTATTTATGGTAAGCACTTAAGTAAAACCTACAATGTATATATCCAAACAACCCTCTCATTAGAACCTCCATATGAACATTTTTTCGATTCCATTTGTTATCTTTCATAGAATTCCATGTTAAACAAGACATTAACATGCAAAATGTCACAACATGGCAATTGTTACTGACGCCGAACACCAACCGCCGAACATTGTCCACAAAAAAGTTTGACATAGTGCTTTGTCCTGGCAGTAGCGACTCTTTCAATATGCATATTCCCGCGGACAATCAGAATTTTTATGTCACCACCAAAAAATGGTGACATATTAATATTGTTATAGTCTCTGTTTTTGTCGGTGGTTGGCGGTTGGCGTCTGTAACAAATTCTTACAACTTCCAATAACTTAACAAATGCTGTTTAGACTGACTTCAATTTTTTTCAAAACCATCTACAAGTTTTCAGAAGTTCAAATCTGAGTAAATATTTAAGATATGACCTTCAACGATAGATGAACTCTCTGCAACAAGGCTACGCGTGGTGTACAGCATGTATTAGTGAGTTTAAGCTTGCAATGTTTTTCACAACCTAAACGTTAACAGAAAATATTTAAGTGATGCATCTGTATGGGCAATTGGTGATACGTATAGGTTGGCGTTTCGATTTCATATGCAGGCTTAAACTCCCTATCCTATTAACCGGTAAGTACTTTTTTGTTCATTTGTTTTGAGAGTTTATTTGAAGGAGTGATACATGTACCAATGTTCTCTTTGAAAACTCTAATCAATGAATATGAAATATAATGCTTACATTTATGCTTTCATTCATAAGTTTTGCAACTGGAAGTTTTCATTTGATAGCATATGAAAGCCTGTCAATGTTTGAATCTTGATTTTGTCCATTTTTTCACTTTATTTGAAATGTTTCAGATATAATATTTTACATTGACATGAAAAGACATTCCGAGGGGTGTATAAGTTCCATGTTTAACATGCAATGTATCATTTATTAAATTAACAGTCAGGTTATATGGAAACAAAAATAATGACAAAGCATAAAATGCATCATAATAAATTGATTACAATAGTTCGAAAATGTTCAGGTAGGTTATCGCAAACAATTTCAGAAGGTTATCCCTTGGCTTATTATTATTTTCTGACCATGAAGATAGGTATATCTTTAAGATCCATTCATAATCTCAAAGAAAATTAAGCACGATAATTATTAAGTCAATTGGACTCGGAAATATTTAGCTAGCAATCAACACATTAACATACTTTTTCGAAGATGTTAACCTCATACATTGTCACCAAAAGTGCTGATCATTTTTGCAATGTTTAATGTATTAATATTCTTTATTTTGATGTATCAAATAGTTCTTGAACACAGTGTTGAAAGGAAAACTGAATTCATCTAAGATAAGTGTTCACCGTGTTATTTCCCCTTTGAAAAAATCATGCTATATCCATTGGTTTCAGCTCTATTTGGATCCAAATTTAGAAAAGTCCCTGGAGGAATTCACTTTTCCTCTTAGGAAATGAAACATATCAGGGCATGTTTTAATTATGCATTCAACAATATAATAAAATGTTGCATTTTTGGTGAAAATTAGGTCAACTTTTTTTGAAAAAGTATGTTGATTGGTCCATTGCCACTTTAAGATCACTTAGGTCTGATTAACTTAATTCTCATTATACAGGGTGGTCCAAAAAAAATTGGAACATTTGATAATTGAACTCAAAATCGTTATTTTTTCTTTAAAATGCACCAAAATTTTACTGAGTATTGTTCAATCACTTATTTATCTGATGTAAAGTTTATAGGTGCAAACAACAAAGTTAATTCATTAAACCAGAGAATGTGTGATATGACCCCTTTTCTCCTGAATTACAAGTTGAAGCCTGGGACTCAGTTTTGAAATGATTCATTCACTTTGCTATTCGTTTGATTTTGTCCAAGCCATCTTGATTAAAAATTCAGCTTGAACAAACTACTTATATGTTTGCCTTGGAAGATCAAATATGTGAACATATTCAACATTTTTTTACCCAAATTGATGGGTATCAAGCATATTTTGATGGCTATTGTCGGATATATTACTGATTGAATATTCTCCAGAAAGAGGCCAGGGCAGTCTGTTTTGACTGGTAAATGAACCCCCTCCCCTTTCTTGTTCTAATTTGAATAATATTCATTGGATACATCAATATATGTATATCAATATCATAAAGGAGTTTCCCAGAACACAAATTATATATTATGTGCTTAGAGGTGGTCTTTAATAAAGCCTTGTAAATAACTAGTCAGTTTCCCCTCTACTGAAAAGTGGAAACAATGATTTTGTCAGTTTAGTAGCTGTATGGGTTATGCAATCACTCACCTCTGACATGGTCTTTCTTTCCTACTCTTAAATAAAAATAATGATTTGGGGTATTCTTAAGTTGATAATAACACAATAGTTTTCCAGTAAACCATAGATGTTAATACCTCATGTCAACTAAATATGATTTTATAAATGTGTATAGCAATCAACATATGTTCAAGAAAGCTTTGAAATAAAGAATACTTGAAAAAGTAGCTGCGAAATTGACAAGTGTATATTTAAGAAAAGGGGGTCATATCAAACATTCACTAGTTTAATGCATTAACTTTGTGGTTTGCACTTATAAACTTTACATCAGAGAGATAAGTGACTGAACTATGCTCTGTGAAGTTTTGGTGCATTTTAGAGGAAAAATAAAGGTTTTGTGTTCAATTAACAAATGTTCCAATTTTTTTTGGACCACCCTGTATATAATTTTCTTGAAGATAATGAATGGGTGTAAACGATACACCTGTGTTCATGATCAGAAAATATTCATAATTCAAGTTAGAATCGTCTGAATTGTTTGCGATAACTTACGTGCCCCTTTATGACGAATCGACGATTTTTAATCACAAAACAAACAGGCTTTGACAAGTAACTCAAAAGATGACTTTTGGTTGCCAAACTTATATAAGGAAGTGTACGTAAAATTAAACATGTTTATCATTCTACAACTCAATGAGCCGAACGTGTCATAAAACATATAATAACGATATGATTGTTATCATCGCGCGATCGGTCAATGCCCGTAAATAAACAAACACGGCATTTCTGCGTGATGGGGGGGGGGGGTAGTTATCGGTTAATATAATCGATATTGCACACTTACGAAAGGCTTCATTTGAGCACATACAAAATTAACGTTCATAGGGCAAAATCGCTAAAACTCATTGACAAAACTGTCTTCACTCTACTATACCTAACCTCTAGAAATGCATAAGATGCTCTGTTTGTCCTTGAATTGTATTGTTTAGTATATTTTTGAAAGTATCTTACTAACATCTAACAGTCTTCCGATAAAACTTTAACAAGGAACAGACAAATAAAAACAAATAACATAATCATTACTGATAAGCTAAAAGGGTTGCTCATGAACACCCAATGCAATTATATGGCTCTGCTTCACTCAAGAAAATGCAATGTTGATCACGTTCAATTTAAATATGTTTCATCATACTCTTCACCTCGAGTTTCAGCGGTTCCCTTATCTGTTAGAGAACATACGAGGGGTAATCATAAAGTTCTAATATTATCTCTACCCCGGGTGCCTTGATTTCCTGTTACAATGGCAACCATTTCTTTTATGATATGTCTGTAATACTAAATATTTTCTACTGTATTAATACAACAATCTATAAGCTACTGCACATTCTGTGACAACTTCATCAGAATATATAGAAAAAAAAGAAACAAGAGAGATGTTTTGTTTTTTTTGAAAACTTTTTGATTACCCCTGGTATACTCAATTTCATCATGTTGTATTTAATTTAATAGACCTTGATGAAATCCGTCAAACATAAATTGACAATAACAGTGGTTCAGAAGGAGCTGCAAAGCTGCTGTAGGGAGTATGACTGTCGTTTTATCTTTTATGTCACCACAGTGACGGCGTTCAACTGTCGGCGTTCAGCATCTGTAACAATTTTAAATGCACATTCACCGCTCTCAGGCGGTCATACTATAACATAATTCAACACAACACATTTTCTTACAATGTCGATGGCTATGCGCGACCCCGAAGAGAAGTGACCTAATTGATTGTACACACATACTCCAATCAGAAAACGCTTCAGTGATCACCTGACACACAAACAAATTGACGACCTCGATCTGATTCGCACTGTTCAAACGTTAGAAAATACATGCAATAACCTACAAGGTTGTGATATTTTTTCATGTTGCTGCCTTGTGGTTCCATGTCGCTGTATTCAACAGGGAGTTTCGCTAACTTACACTTAACCTCCATAATATCTATCATTAATATTAAGGTCTATTATTGTCTGTTCTATTTTCGATTTCCAATTTTGTATTCTATTAAATTGTTTATGCACAGAACTTATTTCCAATTTTGTATTCTATTAAATTGTTTTCACTGGAACTAGTTTTTTATCAAATTGTATTGTAACTCTGATGCATATGGGTGTATTTAAGCATGGAGTTTATCATGGCATACACTCCCCTCCATAAGTTTGGCTAGCGGACGTCTCCTTTTGCTAAATCTATGAAGGGGAGTGTAGGGCCCCATATATTGACTCGAGTCCAAAATGTATTATTGTTACTGTGGGTTTAGAGAAATTGCTTTGGAATACGACCAGGCGTTTATATTTCGCTCTGCTTTAAAATGGTACAAAAATAATCAGATAAAAAGAAAATTATAAATCCATTCCAAAAAATAAAAAGGCAAGAACATTATCCGTCTATGAATTTATAATCGTGTCGGGATCGCTAAACAAACATTTAATTTTATTGAGTATTGTACTGTCAATACAAGAGTCTAACATTATAGCAAAGCACCACTTATCATTTGTCAAACATTTTAAAGAGTTCTTAGAAATTATTTTAGAATGACTCGCATTCCATTTATAGATAATGTGCATAATATACATAAATACTTCCGGACTCCTGGTACGCGGACCAAATCTCTTTGTATCGGAATTTTTCTTCTCCACTATGGGAGGGATAGAATATGAATTTTATTTCGATGAAAAATATCATATTTTCTCGAGGAAAAACTCATATTCCACCACGGCCATCAATAATCTATTCCATGATACGGGATCTTTTGAATATCAGTTTTATTCCCAGTTTATTTCCCAGGGAAAACATGTTATTATGGAATAATAATCTTTATTTAAATATAAACATATCTAGAACTGCCTGTGTCCTGTTTCGCGGACCAAATCTTCCTGTAGCGGACTTTTCTCTCTGTGCTATTTTCCCCAAAGTGAATGCATAATGTATTCCTAAGCTGATACTTTGGGGATTGCAGACCATCTGGTAGGAGGCCATTGTGGATATACACTTTGCTGTAATAGTTTTCAGACACATCCCTGAAATGTAGAAATAACAAGTACATGTGATTTACTGCATGAGATTCCCGTTTACAGTTGAAAACGAAGGGTTTAGCCCGACGACTATGCTAGCCTAAGTTGTTTAATGATTTACGGAATTTTTGGGCCAAAGTTGTCAAAAGTGACCCCCCCCCCTAGAACTTTTCAAATAGTGACCCCCCCCCTAGAACTTTTCAAATAGTGACCCCCCCTGGCAAATCCTGGCTACGGGCCTGTTATGTTTTGATGGTAGGTTTGAGTCGCGTAGGTTACCTGTATTTATTCATAGGTATTTAATATTTCTTTTGACCTGTATTTTCTGCTTTACGTGCTAATAGTCGCGATATTCTTCATATTCTTGTAGTGCAAAATTATCTCTTCGAGTTAATCGAGATAACTTTTTTTAAATTGATCAGACGCCGGGCTTACTCTGTCTTTTTAATCTTATCAAAGATTGTAAAATCTGAACTATAATGTCTGGTGTAAGGCTGTGCAAATGCACCTTAAAGTATTTGCCATATTGACAGTTGTAATGTGATTTGCGTGTTTCTGGTTGGCTTGGTCTCCATTTTAAAAACTAGAAAAGGTTAGGAAAGGTCACTCAACAGAATCTTTTGAATTTTTCTGAAAATATGCCTAATATATTGCTCTAAATAAAACAATCTTTGAAAATTTGATATCATTTGTAGAGAAAGAAAAAATGAAAAAAAAACTGAATTGAAAGGCGATCTATTTTCCTTTTTATGACCGCAATTTTTGTGTCAGACAATTTTCAAAAATTTCGAAGATTGTATCAGATAGAACAATATTTCGGGTACATTTTCTGAAAAATTCAAAGGATTCTGTTCAGTGAGCTTTCCTGAGGGGCTACTTTTAGCTATTGTTCAGTCACATTTTCAGCGGGCTGAAAAAGTTATTTCATCATGTTTAGGGTCATTCTGACCATCGACATTGTGATCCTGGTCCTGTAAATGATATGTGGAACTATTTGAATTGACTGGAGGTCAAAACAGAACTCTGTTATCTTTGTTCAAAAAATGTCTAAAAATGCCACATTTTTGTCACTTCCTGTTTTGTCATTTCCTGTGAAGTACTACTGCACCTAAAGGTATTTTATTATCAATTTTGCAAAGGGTCATACCACTTGTGGAATCAATCGAGCTGAAACGCTATTTAAGCGCATTGCCACTGTTTGGGGATTAAACCCTTTTAAACTGAATGTAATGCTGTTAGGCCAAAAATATAATTATTCGGTTAACATCTTTAGTCTAACAAATTTGAAAATAAATTTGTTAGACTATACAGTCTAACAAATGCATTTCAATCAATTCCTTGTATGTCATGAATACTTTTGCAGTGTTATTTCCACAAGAATTTTTTTTGTGAAGTTCGGGCGATTAAAAATATTTATTTTCTTATTGGAATGCGTGCGAATAGAAACTAATGTATAGTTCTACTTTGGTCCAGCTTTCGTAGCAGTTTGCAACAACAACTTATAGATTTAGCTCCAGAACAATTTGGCACACGGTACGTCGAAACTGCCATGGCCATATGACACTCTACTATACCTAACCCCTAGAAATGCATAAGATACTGTATTTGTTCAATTGTATTGTTTAGTATATTTTTGAAAATACCTTATTAACATCTAACGTCATCCGATAAACCATTAATAAGGAACAGACAAATAAAAACAAATAACATAATCATAACTAATAAGCCAAATGGGTTGCTCATGAACACCAAATGCATTCTATACATTGCATTCAATAACACAAGCTTTGTATTCAAATGTTATTTGTACTAAGTACACGGTAATAAGACATTGACATTGGGTTAAGTACAACTTCAAAAAAAAGATTTGTATACTTGTACACTGATTTTTGTTGAGTAATTGAAAATAAATGCTTTTAAGTAGCGACAAGTATTACATCGAATAGCAATACAGAAAGGCATTTAAATATCACTATTTAAGACTTGAATTTTTACAAAGGTTAGTTAACTTACATGATAACACTACTATGTACTTTTGACTTCGCTAATTCTTCTTTCGCGCCATCCATAAAAATAACCAAGTTTCCCCAATCTCCACCAACCGTTCGTTCACCCGATACATACGCCAATATTTTCGGGTTTCCCTCTTTGATTTCCTGTGTCAAAAGGTCATCGGCATTCCATATGGATTCTTTAATATCATCCGTAACTTTTGATTTAACCGTTCCAATAAATCCAACGAAATTCAATGGCATTTGCATTTGCTCAGGCCGCTGTTTAGAAAACTTTTGAACAACTTGTATTTTACGGCCATTCGAAAGTTTAGGGTCAATTTTTGGGCAATTTCTGTCCTGCGTTGTACCCTGATCGGCAATATTTTGTAGCATAACTTCTTTGAGGATATTGAGAAATTCAAAATCATCCTTAAATTGATTTATATCCATAGAGTCCCATTCTTTGATTTTAGCTCGAGACATCTTGCTTTTTGCCCAAGTGTTCGTATACTAAATACTACAGTCCAACTATCCGATCCCAAGATAAATATTTACTCCTCTCCTTTATCAGTTATTCTGATGCAAGAATATTTCTGACGAACGACCATAAACTGTTTTATTCTGATGCAAGAGTATCTACCACGGACGGCCATGAACTGTTTAAAACATAAAGTACACTCCCCTCTTCCCTATTGGACTACTTATCACTATTGGCGCATATTCATGTTTGATGATTCAAATCCATTTATCAAGTCTAACAGAACTGTCTGATCCAATACATTTTAGAACATTTTTGAATTAACAAATGAACATATTTTACACGCTATTAAACAGGAATTAAATTTCCTTAGTAAACTATTGGAAGGGCGTGCGAGGACACTTGAGTGGACAGTCATATAAGGCCGCTACAAGTTACATATTTGTTTAGCCGATACAAACCGTCTTGGTTAAGCCCTTTTCGATTTTTCTAAAAATGTATCGTTAAACTATCAATTTTAGCACTAAGAAGTGTAAATTCAGTTCAAAGCTTCTATAAAGGGAGTCCCACTTATAGATTTTTAAGATCCACGACGTTTCAAGTGGAATATCAGCTGAAATAATGTTCATCACTGGGGTTTCTTTCGTAGATCATAAAGATATATGTTAGTCTGGATGAAATATCCAAACTTAAATATATTTTGACACTGGTCCATGATCGTTTCTGCACTAATTGTTGCATCTTTAAGGATTTTCTATTTTTGGGATTTTAAAGTAAATAAATAGCCAATAGCGATAAGATTACAAATTGTCACCACTTACAAATCGTGACAAAAGTATAACAATTGTTACAGACGCCGATCCATAACGCCATACACAATATGTGTCCCATTGTTACATTATAGTCGAGTTATGGCTTGGATTCATCCAAGGTTATGGTCAGTGTGATTGATGAAACGGGCAATGGGATTCTCCTACACATCACACATATGTATTTTTCTGTCTTCAACTAGAAAGAAGCCAATAGTAGGCCATGATTCCCCATGATGCGAAAATTGGATCGTTTGCGCGTTGCAAATATTTTAAATTCTCGTACTGCTATCTTGTCTCCAACCTTTTTGTGGACCGTGTCCGGCGGTTTGTGTCGGCGTTCGGCGTCTTTAATAAATGGCAGTTAGTGACATTTTGCATGTTAATGCCTTGTTTTGTCCCTAGAGTAGACAATTATGAAAAACACAATTCGATAATTAATAGGGAAAAGAGGGGATAAAGACGAGCTGAAAGCAAATATTGTTATAATGATTCAGTTGAAGGCTCTAGTTAGTGTTCAGTTGAGGACGGGTGTTAAGCCACGATGATACTGTGAGCACATGCTTTGAGGATCCACGTTGTTTGAACCTACCGCCTAGCTCGCTAATATATCAGGCCCCGTGACACATCCATGATACCGGCAAGCAAGCTCATTGTATCATCGGGTCTGCTTTACTGCCGTGTAGAGGACCACCAGATGACATCCTCATGTAGATTCTCAAATTCTCAACAATATGCTTGTTCCATACTTTATTAACACCATGCATATTACGTTTCCTTTACAAGAGAATATTAATACAACTCAAGTTGATTTTATAATAGGACCGCATTGATCACAGCAAAGTGCCGTTGCTCCTCATACACAGTTTTACTGTACATGGTATTTCATGATTACTGTCCCCCATCCACAGTCAATCTTAGATCACATGGCCCCATAATCTATATACCATAATTAAGCTTATTCAATTCTGGACTCATTTGCCAAATATTAACATGACTGGTCATTGGTAACATAATATTGTAAACTTATATTTTGAAGTCACTATCCCGTTGTAAAAAGGTAGAAGGTCCTATCAAATTATGGTCCTACTCTCCATTGATTTATATGGTGACCCAAATACAACTCTTTCCCTTATTATCTTATACACAATCAGGGCCAGTAAGGGCCGTTAAAAAGGAGACCATAATCCCCGGGGACCATAATTTCTTTCACACCGTCAATTTGTAAGATTTGTGCATACTTTTCATTAAAGGGATTTAAAGAGAGAAGCATATCGCTCTATACTCATTGTTCTCTGGGCATTTCTTTGAAATACTTGAGCTTAATACTTTATTTTTCAAATATCATTAAGATATACCATCAGCATCTATCAAATGTGAGAAGTCGCACAATTCTATAGGGTATTGAGGGGTATTCTATAGGGTATTGAGGAATATTCTATAGGGTATTGAGGGGTATTCTATAGGGTATTGAGGGATTCTTATCATTGCTGTTTGTAGGGCACATGGCTATCTAACATTTGGGGGCGTTCTATGTAAGATTGGTGGTCATTATGAAACACCCTGTACTATTAATGCCATTGCTCATTATACACAGTATTACTGCTTAATTATAATGCTGATCATACATATAACTGTACAGTTTTACTGTATTAATAATACGCATGCTCATTACACACACACATTTTACTGTATTAATAATACGCATGCTCATTACACACACATTTTACTGTATTGATAATACGCATGCTCATTACACACATATTTTACTGTATTAATAATACGCATGCTCATTACACACACATTTTACTGTATTAATAATATGCATGATCATTACATACACATTTTACTGTATTGATAATACGCATGCTCATTACACACACATTTTACTGTATTGATAATACGCATGCTCATTACACACACATTTTACTGTATTAATAATACGTATGCTCATTACACACACATTTTACTTTATTAATAATATGCATGCTCATTACACACACATTTTACTGTATTAATAATACGCATGCTCATTACACACACACACATTTTACTGTATTAATAATACGCATGCTCATTACACACACATTTTACTGTATTGATAATACGCATGCTCATTACACACACATTTTACTGTATTAATAATTCGCATGCTCATTACACACACATTTTACTGTATTGATAATACGCATGCTCATTACACACACATTTTACTTTATTAATAATACGCATGCTCATTACACACACATTTTACTGTATTGATAAAACGCATGCTCATTACACACACATTTTACTGTATTGATAATACGCATGCTCATTACACACACATTTTATTGTATTGACAATACGCATGCTCATTACACACACATTTTACTGTATTAATAATACGCATGCTCATTACACACACATTTTACTGTATTAATAATACGCATGCTGATTACACCTTACTGTATTGATAATACGCATGCTCATTACACACACATTTTACTGTACTATTGTTACCAATGTTCAAATAACAAATAACATCACTGTTTATTGTATTCAATTTTAAGTATTATGATTTCACTTTATTTTATACATAGCTTTACTGCTAAATTATTCCACTGCTCATTATACACCGTTTCGTATAACAATGCCCAGTTATACATAGTTTGACTGTACTGTATTGTGCCTTATACATTGCTTTACTGCAAAATTGTACCACTGCTCATTATGTACCGTTTCATATTTACAATACCCAATCATATACAGTTTGACTGTAATCGTACGAGTATAAAACTCCAATATCACGATCGTGTAATCATTAATGAATTACTCACTTAACAAGGACAGTAATAACATGAGACCTGATATTTACCTGTTATTTATATTTTTAAGATTGCCAGCATATATACTATGTAGTAAGGACTATGCAGGGTGAGTACTATAATGTATATTTGTAAAACTTGCAGTTTAATTTCATGTCTCAGAAGATCCCCTTCTTGAGCACATTGCTGGGTATAGAATTTCTCATATTTTAAGAACAGTACAATACAGTCAACCTGTTTATAACTGGCGTATTGTTATATGAAACGGTGTATAATTAACAATGGTATAATTTAGCAATATAAGGTTATGTAAAAAGAATAGCGAAATCATTAAAACAGTAAAACTGAATACAATAAACAGTGATGTTATTTGTTATTTGAACATTGTTTACAATACTACAGTAAAATTGTTTATGAGGAGCATGCGTATCTTTCTAACTTTTTACCACATTTACGAAATTCTTTAAAATTTTCTTCATTTGGTCAAAGTTAAATATATATACTAGTATTATACCTCTGAATGTTTGGTATGATAATAACGAAAAAAAGATATGATTGGTAAAGGCGGGGTAAAGGACAATGCACCCTTTTCTTTACAGAGGGTATATGGAATCAAAATAAAGCAAGAAAATGAACTGTAGAAAAAAATTGAAAAGGGATTTTTGAGACATTTATAAATATAGCTACGCATTTACTTCTTTTTTAATCGCACTTTACTGTAAACTCACAAAACTGTCGGCATCAACCTTTTGTCTCAACCTCCAGCATTCTAAGGTTTTAGGTTTCCAGTTTAGATAAACAATATTAACATTTGACCCAAATAGCGTTGTACAATGGTATACTTAAGTTGAGTTTAGGAAATATACACGTTGTCTAAAGCAATGCCATTGTCTCACAGCATGCACTATGCAATGCATCTTATTCATCGAATAAGCCTCCGTACTGTCGCCGTGTCAAAGATTATAACGTCTTGAAAATGTATTATACCATGAGTGAAGAATATACATACATGTAGATATATATAGATAAATAGAGATTATCCTATATGAGGTTCAGGATATTGGGATTATCCCGAGGCCAATATAATATATTTGCCCGAGGGCCGCAGGTCCCGAGGGAAAATATATTATATTGGCCAAGGGATAATCCCAATATCCTGAACCGACTATAGGATAATATGTTTATCCCATACCAATCTTGGTCATCTGGTTCACATTTTTCAATCGTGGAAATATTTTAGAATATTCATGTCCAGTTTTGTTTTCTTGGCCGTGGGCGGATTTTCCTGTTCTCTCAAATATTCCCACATTTATTTTCTCGAATTTCTGATTGATTAAGTGGATGCTCTTTCCCTTTTTTAAACCATCAGACAGATCCTGATTGTCTGTGTTTTCTCCATTGTAGTTTACAGTCATTACGCGAACGTTACAAATTATGAACAAATATGCGAGTGGCGATTATGACGTAGCGGGCAGATATACTATATCTGCCCGCTCGGAGCGGGACGTAAAGCTATATCTGCCCGCTGATGAAAATATAAGTTTTTACAAACCGGCTTTATGTACCCGTAACACGTCCAAGTATGGGATAAATAGATATATGTAGATGTTGAAAAAAGGTAATGTTTTTCAGTTTTACGAAATATGATTGACAAAATAATTTCAATACACTTCTTTCGCATCCATAAGTCTACACTTAAATTGATTTGACATGGCAGAGAAAATGAATATGTGAAGAAAATGGAAAAGCAAAGAAAATGAATGGAGGACGAAAACAGGAACAGGAAAATGAAAAAAGGAATAAAATAAAAGCGAACTTGAAAAAAAGAAACTTGCATTTTATTATATTGCGTCATGTTGTGTAACACTATAGTATCATATTGCAATGTATTGCATTGTATTGTGTTATATTGTGTAATATATTGCATTGTGTTCTATTGTATTGCCTTATATTGCATTGTATCGCATTGCATTATGTTGCATTGTATTATATTATAGGTACAAAGTAATAAGGGTTAACTTGACTTCGGAGTTACAAAGAAAGGCCATAGTAAACATTGAAGACAAATACCAAGTATGTATCTACAGTTTATGTTTCATTTGATGTATAAATTCTTAGAACTCAACACATATCTTTGCTTACGTGATACACCCCCTGCAAAAGTTTGGCATCCCAAATTCTCCACCCGATAGCATGTATAAAATTATTATTAATTTTTCTTCAATTACACTTGGTCGGCAACAAAATTGATGATTTAACTATGAAGAAGATTTAACACAAGGCTCAATAGGGTAGTTGGAACCACACTTTTTGAGGGGAGAATGCAACACTATTTGAGGACCTCACGCCTTACACCCCAAATACCCATTGTCACCAAACAGCACTGTTTCATTAACAGCGCTACACGGTGCTGTTTGAGATTGGCAGTGTAGGTAAATCACAGTTAATCTGAATCTATTCTTGAACACAGGTTCTTAAAAAACAGGTGTCTAGTATGCAATTTTAATAATGTCTGAGATGAAATGATAAGCATTTATTAATTGTCATTTGGGCTTTGATTAAAAAGTATGAAATGTATATTATAATAAGCTTGTGATTACACATTATTTGAAATTGAAAACTGAAGTCTTATTTGTAAATGTGTAAATGAAAATTAGTATTTTTAGTTTCCGTTTTCAGATATCTATATAAAAATATTTGAAACATTAATTCAGAAATTCAAACTATGTAGTGGAACTTTTTTATGTCACCATCGGAAATTGGGACATATTGTTGTAGACTCCAACCTTTTGTAGGCGATGACCGACGTTCGGTTGTTGGAGTCGGCGGACGACGCCTGTAACAAATGGCAGGTGGTGACAATTTGCCTGTTGATGCCTTGTCTAAAATCATGCGAATGATTCATATTCTACAAAAGTAAAATTTGCATCTTGCTTCATCAAGCTTTGGACCTGTTCGTATAGAACGTAGTAATTGAGCGTGAGGACCGACGATGGACATTTTGGCGTTTAAAAAATTGAAACCCATTTTAAATGACAATCAGGAAATGTTTCTGATTCATTATTCTAATTCGAAACTTTTGCATTTCATTCATCAAGATCAAAACACAAATAAATATCATCACCACCTTGTCAGGCCTATTCTCAGAGGATTAATACTATAGAAAACTACATTTGACTATATTGACTTAAGAGCAATAGCTGAAGTCATAAAGCCATTAGTCATTGTGCACCCTGGTCCAGGGTGTTTGTATCAGTGTTCACTCATTTTAGCGGGCAACAAAGTGTTATTGGTAAATTAATTTAAATGACCTTTAAAACATTCAAGAGTTAAATTAAATGTTTAACAATTAAAGTTGATCATTTAATCACAATAAACGCACAACATTTGATTGTTCCCCCTAGTCATGAAAATGTTCACAATAATATTTGAAAAATGTTGGTTGTCAATTCTAAATGTAATATTTTAATTGACGAACTTTACATATTAGTATATGGCCAAATAGCTGTTTACGTATATTAAAATGCCTAGCAGCAAAATTGTTCTGTCAAATTGAATTTAAAAGGGTGTCTATCAAACTCCAGAATATAAACAGGTAATAACACCCCCGTATCATAAGTTAAGTCAATTCTCAACGGACTCTTCATTGATATCATGTAAAGCGTCTGTCTATCTTAAACAATTATCATATATCTCATGATATTTATCGAATAAAAATTCTCATAATCTACGTGAAAATATCATTCCATTCATTGTCTTCACATCTTATTTGAAATTTCTTACATTTAACATTGAAATATCTCATTTTCATTTGTAAAATAGTCTTAATCTTATAACAGCTTGATAGATGGGCAAGTATCGGGGATCCTATCTCTGCCATAGACCTGTGCATAGGCCAAAATGCCCTAATACGTCACTTCCGCTGAATAGAAAAAAGTAGTATTCAAAAATAAATGTAGTCCCAACACAATTGTGATCATGACGAGTCAGTAAGCTAGTATGTAGGCACAGTTGTAATCTTTTTGCAATGGCAACATGCCATTTCTTCTGAAAATGCGTTTATTTGGGTTATCTGAAGGAAAATTTCGAGTCAAGTGGCGTATTAATTTTGCCTTCATTTTTGTGAATTTCAATTTGTGTCTGCAGAGAGAGGGGGTAGTGTCACAATTGACCAATTATTTCAAAAAGTAGATGATTGGCCCCTATTGAGTTTAGTGTCAAGATGTAGCTTAGACATAGCTTTAGAACCTCAGATAGGCCAGCGAGGCCACATAAATCCATAACTCGAGATAAAAAGTCAGGCGTTTGCCCTTTTGCCCATTGACTAGTATGGTGACGTGAATTAGGGCAGTTTTGCCTATTAGTCACATGTAAAAGTGACCAAATTTTTTTAAAACTACTCAGAATCGCCCAGAATTGAAGTTTATTAGTGTGAAACATATTTTGGACGACGGCAAAAAGGGGAATTTTCATGAACAAATTTAATGTTTTTGCTGAATCAGCAGTTTTCGCTTTTTACCCCAAAAACCACTGATTTTGACGATATTTGGCTACAATTTTGTCCTTAGTGACCCCTAAATGTCATTTGTTGTCGTAAATGGGGAAGCCAACGAGTTGCTATTTATCATAAAGATTGAATTTTCCATCTTATGGTTTCCAGTATAGAAAGAAGGTACATATCGGGGGTGCAGTCAGAAATTGGCGAGTTAAGTGTCAATTTTTGATGTATTTGTTCACTCTGAATGACTACATTCGAGCTAAAAAATATCTCAAAAGTCCCAATTCTCTAGGCCAGAGTCAAAACTGATCAAATTTGTCATCATTTTTCAAATCAGGAGGCTGTTGACTGGAATAAAGTATGAAAAAGTGATGATTCTAGTAAGATTTTGCCAAAAAGTGGGCCAAATTTGTCCAATTTTCTGGTTCATGGTTTAGTGATTTTGGCTAAAAATCGCAATATGCAATAAAATACTCAATTTCTTGACACGATACTGAAAAATGTCACCATCAGGCAGTGGATTTCATGATGTAAATGAAAAACTAGTCAAATTTAAAGGAAAACCATTGGGTTCTTGGAAAAATGACCCCAGAGGTAATGAAGTAGCCATATTTTTCATAATTGCTGTCAGAATATTCTTAAACTGCACAAAACTACTTGAAAAACTCTAGTAAATTGGAAAAAACGCAATTTAAAGCCAGAAATCATCCAACCATGTGGCTATTAGGCCAAAATGCCCTAATACGTCACTTCCGCTGAATAGAAAAAAGTAGTATTCAAAAATAAATGTAGTCCCAACACAATTGTGATCATGACGAGTCAGTAAGCTAGTATGTAGGCACAGTTGTAATCTTTTTGCAATGGCAACATGCCATTTCTTCTGAAAATGCGTTTATTTGGGTTATCTGAAGGAAAATTTCGAGTCAAGTGGCGTATTAATTTTGCCTTCATTTTTGTGAATTTCAATTTGTGTCTGCAGAGAGAGGGGGTAGTGTCACAATTGACCAATTATTTCAAAAAGTAGATGATTGGCCCCTATTGAGTTTAGTGTCAAGATGTAGCTTAGACATAGCTTTAGAACCTCAGATAGGCCAGCGAGGCCACATAAATCCATAACTCGAGATAAAAAGTCAGGCGTTTGCCCTTTTGCCCATTGACTAGTATGGTGACGTGAATTAGGGCAGTTTTGCCTATTAGTCACATGTAAAAGTGACCAAATTTTTTTAAAACTACTCAGAATCGCCCAGAATTGAAGTTTATTAGTGTGAAACATATTTTGGACGACGGCAAAAAGGGGAATTTTCATGAACAAATTTAATGTTTTTGCTGAATCAGCAGTTTTCGCTTTTTACCCCAAAAACCACTGATTTTGACGATATTTGGCTACAATTTTGTCCTTAGTGACCCCTAAATGTCATTTGTTGTCGTAAATGGGGAAGCCAACGAGTTGCTATTTATCATAAAGATTGAATTTTCCATCTTATGGTTTCCAGTATAGAAAGAAGGTACATATCGGGGGTGCAGTCAGAAATTGGCGAGTTAAGTGTCAATTTTTGATGTATTTGTTCACTCTGAATGACTACATTCGAGCTAAAAAATATCTCAAAAGTCCCAATTCTCTAGGCCAGAGTCAAAACTGATCAAATTTGTCATCATTTTTCAAATCAGGAGGCTGTTGACTGGAATAAAGTATGAAAAAGTGATGATTCTAGTAAGATTTTGCCAAAAAGTGGGCCAAATTTGTCCAATTTTCTGGTTCATGGTTTAGTGATTTTGGCTAAAAATCGCAATATGCAATAAAATACTCAATTTCTTGACACGATACTGAAAAATGTCACCATCAGGCAGTGGATTTCATGATGTAAATGAAAAACTAGTCAAATTTAAAGGAAAACCATTGGGTTCTTGGAAAAATGACCCCAGAGGTAATGAAGTAGCCATATTTTTCATAATTGCTGTCAGAATATTCTTAAACTGCACAAAACTACTTGAAAAACTCTAGTAAATTGGAAAAAACGCAATTTAAAGCCAGAAATCATCCAACCATGTGGCTATTAGGCCAAAATGCCCTAATACGTCACTTCCGCTGAATAGAAAAAAGTAGTATTCAAAAATAAATGTAGTCCCAACACAATTGTGATCATGACGAGTCAGTAAGCTAGTATGTAGGCACAGTTGTAATCTTTTTGCAATGGCAACATGCCATTTCTTCTGAAAATGCGTTTATTTGGGTTATCTGAAGGAAAATTTCGAGTCAAGTGGCGTATTAATTTTGCCTTCATTTTTGTGAATTTCAATTTGTGTCTGCAGAGAGAGGGGGTAGTGTCACAATTGACCAATTATTTCAAAAAGTAGATGATTGGCCCCTATTGAGTTTAGTGTCAAGATGTAGCTTAGACATAGCTTTAGAACCTCAGATAGGCCAGCGAGGCCACATAAATCCATAACTCGAGATAAAAAGTCAGGCGTTTGCCCTTTTGCCCATTGACTAGTATGGTGACGTGAATTAGGGCAGTTTTGCCTATTAGTCACATGTAAAAGTGACCAAATTTTTTTAAAACTACTCAGAATCGCCCAGAATTGAAGTTTATTAGTGTGAAACATATTTTGGACGACGGCAAAAAGGGGAATTTTCATGAACAAATTTAATGTTTTTGCTGAATCAGCAGTTTTCGCTTTTTACCCCAAAAACCACTGATTTTGACGATATTTGGCTACAATTTTGTCCTTAGTGACCCCTAAATGTCATTTGTTGTCGTAAATGGGGAAGCCAACGAGTTGCTATTTATCATAAAGATTGAATTTTCCATCTTATGGTTTCCAGTATAGAAAGAAGGTACATATCGGGGGTGCAGTCAGAAATTGGCGAGTTAAGTGTCAATTTTTGATGTATTTGTTCACTCTGAATGACTACATTCGAGCTAAAAAATATCTCAAAAGTCCCAATTCTCTAGGCCAGAGTCAAAACTGATCAAATTTGTCATCATTTTTCAAATCAGGAGGCTGTTGACTGGAATAAAGTATGAAAAAGTGATGATTCTAGTAAGATTTTGCCAAAAAGTGGGCCAAATTTGTCCAATTTTCTGGTTCATGGTTTAGTGATTTTGGCTAAAAATCGCAATATGCAATAAAATACTCAATTTCTTGACACGATACTGAAAAATGTCACCATCAGGCAGTGGATTTCATGATGTAAATGAAAAACTAGTCAAATTTAAAGGAAAACCATTGGGTTCTTGGAAAAATGACCCCAGAGGTAATGAAGTAGCCATATTTTTCATAATTGCTGTCAGAATATTCTTAAACTGCACAAAACTACTTGAAAAACTCTAGTAAATTGGAAAAACGCAATTTAAAGCCAGAAATCATCCAACCATGTGGCTATTAGGCCAAAATGCCCTAATACGTCACTTCCGCTGAATAGAAAAAAGTAGTATTCAAAAATAAATGTAGTCCCAACACAATTGTGATCATGACGAGTCAGTAAGCTAGTATGTAGGCACAGTTGTAATCTTTTTGCAATGGCAACATGCCATTTCTTCTGAAAATGCGTTTATTTGGGTTATCTGAAGGAAAATTTCGAGTCAAGTGGCGTATTAATTTTGCCTTCATTTTTGTGAATTTCAATTTGTGTCTGCAGAGAGAGGGGGTAGTGTCACAATTGACCAATTATTTCAAAAAGTAGATGATTGGCCCCTATTGAGTTTAGTGTCAAGATGTAGCTTAGACATAGCTTTAGAACCTCAGATAGGCCAGCGAGGCCACATAAATCCATAACTCGAGATAAAAAGTCAGGCGTTTGCCCTTTTGCCCATTGACTAGTATGGTGACGTGAATTAGGGCAGTTTTGCCTATTAGTCACATGTAAAAGTGACCAAATTTTTTTAAAACTACTCAGAATCGCCCAGAATTGAAGTTTATTAGTGTGAAACATATTTTGGACGACGGCAAAAAGGGGAATTTTCATGAACAAATTTAATGTTTTTGCTGAATCAGCAGTTTTCGCTTTTTACCCCAAAAACCACTGATTTTGACGATATTTGGCTACAATTTTGTCCTTAGTGACCCCTAAATGTCATTTGTTGTCGTAAATGGGGAAGCCAACGAGTTGCTATTTATCATAAAGATTGAATTTTCCATCTTATGGTTTCCAGTATAGAAAGAAGGTACATATCGGGGGTGCAGTCAGAAATTGGCGAGTTAAGTGTCAATTTTTGATGTATTTGTTCACTCTGAATGACTACATTCGAGCTAAAAAATATCTCAAAAGTCCCAATTCTCTAGGCCAGAGTCAAAACTGATCAAATTTGTCATCATTTTTCAAATCAGGAGGCTGTTGACTGGAATAAAGTATGAAAAAGTGATGATTCTAGTAAGATTTTGCCAAAAAGTGGGCCAAATTTGTCCAATTTTCTGGTTCATGGTTTAGTGATTTTGGCTAAAAATCGCAATATGCAATAAAATACTCAATTTCTTGACACGATACTGAAAAATGTCACCATCAGGCAGTGGATTTCATGATGTAAATGAAAAACTAGTCAAATTTAAAGGAAAACCATTGGGTTCTTGGAAAAATGACCCCAGAGGTAATGAAGTAGCCATATTTTTCATAATTGCTGTCAGAATATTCTTAAACTGCACAAAACTACTTGAAAAACTCTAGTAAATTGGAAAAACGCAATTTAAAGCCAGAAATCATCCAACCATGTGGCTATTAGGCCAAAATGCCCTAATACGTCACTTCCGCTGAATAGAAAAAAGTAGTATTCAAAAATAAATGTAGTCCCAACACAATTGTGATCATGACGAGTCAGTAAGCTAGTATGTAGGCACAGTTGTAATCTTTTTGCAATGGCAACATGCCATTTCTTCTGAAAATGCGTTTATTTGGGTTATCTGAAGGAAAATTTCGAGTCAAGTGGCGTATTAATTTTGCCTTCATTTTTGTGAATTTCAATTTGTGTCTGCAGAGAGAGGGGGTAGTGTCACAATTGACCAATTATTTCAAAAAGTAGATGATTGGCCCCTATTGAGTTTAGTGTCAAGATGTAGCTTAGACATAGCTTTAGAACCTCAGATAGGCCAGCGAGGCCACATAAATCCATAACTCGAGATAAAAAGTCAGGCGTTTGCCCTTTTGCCCATTGACTAGTATGGTGACGTGAATTAGGGCAGTTTTGCCTATTAGTCACATGTAAAAGTGACCAAATTTTTTTAAAACTACTCAGAATCGCCCAGAATTGAAGTTTATTAGTGTGAAACATATTTTGGACGACGGCAAAAAGGGGAATTTTCATGAACAAATTTAATGTTTTTGCTGAATCAGCAGTTTTCGCTTTTTACCCCAAAAACCACTGATTTTGACGATATTTGGCTACAATTTTGTCCTTAGTGACCCCTAAATGTCATTTGTTGTCGTAAATGGGGAAGCCAACGAGTTGCTATTTATCATAAAGATTGAATTTTCCATCTTATGGTTTCCAGTATAGAAAGAAGGTACATATCGGGGGTGCAGTCAGAAATTGGCGAGTTAAGTGTCAATTTTTGATGTATTTGTTCACTCTGAATGACTACATTCGAGCTAAAAAATATCTCAAAAGTCCCAATTCTCTAGGCCAGAGTCAAAACTGATCAAATTTGTCATCATTTTTCAAATCAGGAGGCTGTTGACTGGAATAAAGTATGAAAAAGTGATGATTCTAGTAAGATTTTGCCAAAAAGTGGGCCAAATTTGTCCAATTTTCTGGTTCATGGTTTAGTGATTTTGGCTAAAAATCGCAATATGCAATAAAATACTCAATTTCTTGACACGATACTGAAAAATGTCACCATCAGGCAGTGGATTTCATGATGTAAATGAAAAACTAGTCAAATTTAAAGGAAAACCATTGGGTTCTTGGAAAAATGACCCCAGAGGTAATGAAGTAGCCATATTTTTCATAATTGCTGTCAGAATATTCTTAAACTGCACAAAACTACTTGAAAAACTCTAGTAAATTGGAAAAACGCAATTTAAAGCCAGAAATCATCCAACCATGTGGCTATTAGGCCAAAATGCCCTAATACGTCACTTCCGCTGAATAGAAAAAAGTAGTATTCAAAAATAAATGTAGTCCCAACACAATTGTGATCATGACGAGTCAGTAAGCTAGTATGTAGGCACAGTTGTAATCTTTTTGCAATGGCAACATGCCATTTCTTCTGAAAATGCGTTTATTTGGGTTATCTGAAGGAAAATTTCGAGTCAAGTGGCGTATTAATTTTGCCTTCATTTTTGTGAATTTCAATTTGTGTCTGCAGAGAGAGGGGGTAGTGTCACAATTGACCAATTATTTCAAAAAGTAGATGATTGGCCCCTATTGAGTTTAGTGTCAAGATGTAGCTTAGACATAGCTTTAGAACCTCAGATAGGCCAGCGAGGCCACATAAATCCATAACTCGAGATAAAAAGTCAGGCGTTTGCCCTTTTGCCCATTGACTAGTATGGTGACGTGAATTAGGGCAGTTTTGCCATAGGCTTGGATAATCTACACGATGTACAAGCAGCATACATTGTTTTGTTTTCATTTTATAAAATACTTCTTTCAGCTTGATAGATGGGCGAGTATCGGGGATCCTATCTCTGCCATTGACATGTGCATAGGCTTGGATAATCTACACAATGTACAAGTAACATACCTTGTCTTGTTTTCATTTTATAAAATATTTCTCTTTCAGCTTGATAGATGGGCGAGTATCGGGGATCCTATCTCTGTCATTGACATGTGCATAGGCTTGGATAATCTACACAATGTACAAGTAACATACCTTGTCTTGTTTTCATTTTATAAAATACTTCTTTCAGCTTGATAGATGGGCGAGTATCGGGGATCCTATCTCTGCCATTGACATGTGCATAGGCTTGGATAATCTACACAATGTACAAGTAACATACCTTGTCTTGTTTTCATTTTATAAAATATTTCTCTTTCAGCTTGATAGATGGGCGAGTATCGGGGATCCTATCTCTGTCATTGACCTGTGCATAGGCTCGGATAATCTACACGATGTACAAGAAGCATTGGAACAGTGGAAAATACATTCAAGTATTCTGATAAATGATGTTCAGAGGTAAATTTTGAAATCGGGACAATTTAGGGTCATTGGCCTCTAGGACTGTCAATAGATGGCAAAAAAGCAAAAAATCCAGTGAGTTTTATGTATGCTTTTCAAATCTCCCGAATTAAATTTCAATATAAATATTCAAAACCTTAATAATAATATTGATAAGGTCACCATACGAGGCATTATTTTTACGGGTGGTTTATTAAACTAGTGACCACATTTGTTTCAATTTATAGAGAAATTGACAAGGAAAAGTCGAAAACACGTCAGAGAAGAGATCTACATAAACGTGATGACGAAACGATAGTTGGCAAATACGCCACCTATAGAGAGGTTGGTAGTTTTTATTATCGCACTAAAAGTGCAATATGCTATTGATTGTACGATCGAAATATTTATATATCTATGTTATCATCGAAAGAACAACGTTCAAGAAACACTTTTAAAAACACATATGTAAGTTCTTTAAACGAGGTTTAATCAGTGGAAATAACTACTTTGATTAAAGCTGATAAAAGAATTGTATTACAGGTTATGGTAACTTGACAAGAAAGTTCAAATCACAGGCTGTCATTGGGGAGGTTAAGATAAGCGTAAATAACCCATTTACCATACCTATACGTAGTTTGTTATTGCATTAAGCGGTATTTTATTTAGGTTACAGGGTTTGCGATACGTAATTACCTATAAATGGTCGAAGATAGGTAATTCGAAAACGTATGCTTTTATCCAACAGTTATGTCATTTGTAGATAAAATATCATTCATTAAACTTTAAAATAGTAGCAACAAACATTTCTCATTCGATCTGCATAGAAATTAAGTGGTTGAACACTCATTAATGCGATAAACGATGCCATGTGATGATGATGCATGAAATTGTTGAATTTTCACATCAGTTTTGCTTCTTGTAAATGTATGAAATCAGCCATTTTTTCGTGGTTTTAATTGTTTAATTTCACTATTTGGTCACTCTCATTGCTGGATCATGCTAGAAATTTAACATTTCGCCTTAAGACACTAGCCCATTAGCGGGCCCATAAGCAACACCCCCTCCCCACTACAGTAGCTATATTACGCTATCTCTCAAAGTGTATATAGCAGTTCTTGGAGGTCACACGTACTGGTAAATGCCGTATGAGCCAACGCATTCTATAATTAGGATGTCATTTTTATCATAAATTGTAACATACGATTTCGTAGCCTTTTACGTTAATCTGAAACTCATTTTACAATACGCATTATACCTATACGCATCCGCATCCGGATAGGGATCGATACACGTATATTTTTACGTTAATCCTAACCTCCCTAATCACTTTGAAACATCTTCCGTATGTATCTTTACGTACGCTGATCAATACTTTTGTTTTAAAAAACATTTGGTTTTATTCATACTATCCAGGAAACTCTCATATGACCTTATCTTGGGCTCATTCAATTGATTTCTCAAATCTATACATTAACACGTATAACGTACAGTCTCATATCTACAATTTTAAAATATTGGCTTGATTGATGATGTCATTGGTTGTAGTTTGCAATATGCCCAAATGAAAAATATAATAAAATTAGGCCTCTTGTATTAACTTATTGCTAATTTTGAAAAATACATCCAATGACGTCATCATCGATTTAGTCTATGTAGTATATCACAGCTTCTTGAATAACCAAAAGAAAGCAGGTTTTGATGGAAACGTATATTGTAGTATTTTTAGGCACGAGCTCGAGACTGAATATATCGTGTAATTGTGGAGATTTGTGAAATTAATTTGGGTTTATAGGAAAGGTTTTAATGACCTTATCTTTTTCTAAGCTTACCAGCAAGTGAAATGAAATAATTACAAAATGATAACTAGCTAATTATCGTTAGCCAAGAAATCATCAAAAATGAATTTCTTGAAGTGATAAATTTTTAAGGTCGTTCAAAAAGTTTTGATCCCTTACACTATCAAGACTTTATTTTACTACTTAACATTTTATGGCCACTATAGTAATTAAGATGATGAAGCTATGGTCTTAATCATTACAGTCAGATTCAGTAAGTAAGTCAACATTCGAAATTCGTATGTTCATCAATATTTACTGAGAATGGTGCCACAATTGAAGTTAATATCTGGTTTATTATTTTCAATATACCTATCAGCAAACCTGTAACTGATAATTGTGATGTTCTGTTACATATTGGTGAAGCAATCTTGAAGATACGGCCTACATTTCTGAATTTCCTCTATGTCCCTGTTTACCCCTACTTCAAAAGATGTATGTTGTTTGTCATTTTTATCATGAACCAACCATAAATATTTTTTGTTTGTTTACATTTAGAATGAACTTTCTGTTTTCGAATATTGACAGATGGTACTGCATTTATTTTTTTCATGATATATGGAGCGAACAAAGGCGTGTCAATTTACACTGTAATACCATACACACTTATATTTCAAAGGTAGTTTTGAAGAATAATCAAGAAAATCCATGTTTTCAAATGGATCCATCCTTCTCAAAGAGCGGTTGAAAAATTAGCAACATGTTTCAAATTCTTACAATTCTTGGTTGAAGCGAATATTTTGAAAGTTGCAATTTTGAATGTAATCTCCTACTCAATGAAAATTGTTGATATTACAAAGTTTTTCATTCGAAATACACATTGCTGGATCACAGAACCTTGCCTTGTTCGAGATGCGCGAAAAGTGTATTGTTAATTCTTGACTTCGTTTGGATATTTGGATGTGATTGACATTTTTGGTAATCTCCTACCACTGTAACTTCCAACTTAATTTTCGGAAGCCAAATATGATGGTCACGAATTGATATTTAGGTCACACGTTGATGCATACATCATATATGTGCATTAACTGCCGAATACATGCCGAATTACATAATATATATATATCCACAGTTTAACTCAAATCATCAATGCTCGAAACGGTTTATCATCTAACGTGTAATGTTTCATTTTAATTTATAATTATGCTGGTATCGGATTTGAATATGATTTTAGTTGAGGCTCAAACAAGGCAATGAAATGCATGAAACTTCTTGTGAAAATTCGAACGATTTTTCAAGAATCCTTCAAAGTGTTAACAAAGTGCTCCCCGGGAATGGAGATTTCGTCTTGTGCAATCAAAGTAATAGCGGGTAGATTTTGTTTGAGTTTATAGCTTCTCTAGATTTAAAAATATATCATCATATAATGCAAAATGTTTTTGTTGTTCAATTATAAAAATGGCACCTGTAGATAACAACGTTTGCAATATTATTTAAAACAGAGATATTTACTCATGTAACATTCGTTGGCATGTATCAGTGAGTAAATAAGAAGAATATGCTTTTTATTCAATATCTTGTTCCCAAAGGAATCTGCCAAGGAGTGGCATATCTTAACGTACTTTTATCACCACCTCACAAATTATTTTGGAAATCAAAGAAGTACGATTTTTGAGATTTTAATTTTCGAATGTTGACTTAGTTACTGAACTTGACTGATTTACATAAAATGAATCTTCACGTAACTCTTAAAGAGGTGAGCAAGCGATTTTTATGACATGAACCGATTATGTTCTGTGAACAAAAGTGCTTTAAGCTGAGCACTATAGAAACTGAGCAAAGGTTCACCTCAAAATGATTTATCTTTCTGCTAGTGGCCTTTATGTTCTGTTTTAAAGTATATATAGATATCACAAATAGCAGTGATATTCCATATAGTATTTAATACAATACATCTAATCAGCTTGATATCCTTCCGTATAAAAAAATGATATTATTTTAATGCAAAATTGATGAAAGTGAAAGGAGAGATGTTTCACTGTCTGGCAGTGTATTATGATTTTCCGATTCTCAAAAAATATAACAGGACGCAATTATATTTTATTCTTATGAAGATCGAAAGGTCAATTGATTAATTCACTTATGGAACACAGTATATATAGTAGATTCGAGATGAGTTGACATTTTGGCAACTGACATGTATCACACCAGAGTTGTTTGACAACGGTAACGTCAGATACCGTTGTCAAAAATGGCGGACATGACCGTCGCTTCAATTAGATTTTTATGAAATGTATGTTTAATAGAGCACCTAGAATAAATTCCTTCGGAACAACAATCAATCAAAGTGTCTTTCTACTCATTGTAAATATCGAAATAAAGTCTTTAATTTAACTGATCAAAATGAGATACGGGACACCGGACACTATATGGCGATATGCCGTTGTCTTTGTTAATTATTTCAAAATCAGATTCCGCTGTCATTGACGATATCTAAGACGCTATAATGTGGCGATTCTGACACGACCCAATTTGATCAAAATCGGGATTTCATATGATACATCATCACAAGAGCTTAATACATGCACATAATTAGCGACGATAAAATCAGGACCAAGTGATTAAAGAGTGAGTTGAAGAGACGGTTATGTCCGCCATTTGTGACAACGGTATCTGACTTTACCGTTGTCAGACTATTCCGGGTTAATGTATGCAATCTCATCAAAACATATGAAAGGGGTGCGTCGATATTCAGGTTATATTGATTAGATTGGAAATCTCGATATGAACACAGATTTGTGTCAAATGAATTCGACTTATCATATTTATCTCGATTGAGCTTGACAAATTACTGCAAATCCTTTACGGAAACACCTACCTAGACTTTGATTTCTTACGTCGTAATTAAGAGGAGGTAAAGCCCCTGGGCTTTAGAGATAACAGGCACAACTACATGTACGTCTCTTGGTTACAACCTTCGTTTGTTCAAATTTTCACCGGCTGGTTTTCAAATACCGACGTAGATAGTTCAATAATAAACAAAACTAATTATATAATATGAATTATCGATTTTATTTTGAATCTACAGTTTTCAAGTTGTCACCAAAAATGTTCAGGTGAATTTGAAACATGTTTTCAGACTCTCTAAACGTTTGGAGGGGAGTGTACATTGTGCTTTGTGACTTTCAGACTCTCCAAACTTTTGGAATGGAGTGTACATTGTGCTTTGTGGTTTTCAGACCCTCCAAACTTTTGGAATGGAGTTTACATTGTGCTTTGTTATTTTCAGACTCTCCAAACTTTTGGAATGGAGTGTACATTGTGCTTTGTGACTTTCAGACTCTCCAAACTTTTGAATGGGAGTGTACATTGTGCTTTGTTATTTTCAGACTCTCCAAACGTTTGGAATGGAGTGTACATTGTGCTTTGTTATTTTCAGACTCTCCAAACTTTTGAATGGGAGTGTACATTGTGCTTTGTTATTTTCAGACTCTCCAAACTTTTGAATGGGAGTGTACATTGTGCTTTGTTATTTTCAGACTCTCCAAACTTTTGAATAGGAGTGTACGTTGTGCTTTGTGATTTTCAGACTCTCCACTGGATGCTGGAGCTAAGTAAGAGATACCCCAATATCACTCAAGTGGGGGACATTGGAACAACTGAGGAGGGACGACAGGTGACCCTGATCAAGGTGAACAATCCTCTCTCTCTATATATATATTATTGTGTACATTGTTTTTATTTCAGGCTGTGTTTTTGCATTTTTTAAAGTCCAGCCATTACTTATAAAAGGGTAAAAACGCACTGCAATTGATGCAATTGATTGTTAAACCGATACAAAGTATAAAAAGTTTAAATGAAAGATATTATAGTTCTATTGTAAAGTTTAAATCAGAAATATGGACGCCGCGAAACGGGCTATTCATTTTTGAGCAAATGGAGAAGTCAAAAGAGAATAATAAAAATATTCTTAATTTATATATTTTTGTATTTTATTGTGATGCATCTTATGCTTTGTCATTTTTTTTGTTTCCATATAACCTGACTGTTAATTTAATAATTGCTATATTGTATGTTAAACATGGAACTTATTCACCCCTCGGGGTGTCTTTTCATGTCAATGTAAAACACTGTATTTGAAACATTTGAAATAAAGTGAATTGAAAAAAAATATAGCACATTTTACCTTTTTGTTGATGGTACAATCACAAATGAATTAAAACCATTTCATTTAGATCGGGAAACCACAGCCATTCTTCAAGCCAATCGTCTGGATAGATGGCGCCATCCACGCAAGAGAGTGGATTTCTCCCGCCACAGTCACATATATCATTGACAAGGTTGGATTATTTTCCAGTTTTGGAGTTGAATACCTTTTGCATCTCATAATTTGTAATAAAACTCAATATCACTTTCATTTAATTTTTCAGCATTTTATGTGAATTAACATCCTCTTCAAAATGACTATATATTTTAAAATAATAGTACATTGTTTTTGTCGAAGACTTAATATGAGCAAATGCTCCCTGTCATATTACTTTCACAATAAAACATATATTTATTTCTACAGACTACATTTTAATGATTAAAATTCTATAGATAATTATCTAAAACTTCAAGAGCCTCTATAGTAATGTTCAATATATTTTTATATGCAAGTTATGCAATAAAAATAATCATGAATGATCCTACTATATTTTTCAGCTTTTAAAAGGCTATAATTCTGATTTTGCCATCACCGACTTTATTGACTACATAGACTGGTATATCCTACCTATTGCTAACCCTGATGGCTATGTATACTCACACGAACAAGTAAGTCAATCACGTTTCTACGAGGATCATTCAATGAATATCACTCTCTAGAAATCACAGCTTGTTTTTTTATAAATGAGATTTATAATATAAATGAGAGCATTAACCGCATGATATTTTTCAAATTAGAAATATTTTTCTAATAAAGAGGGCAGAGCAATCAATTTGTGCTTCTTTTGAGAGAAGATGGGGATAAACACCAGGGTTCAAAGATGGCATACGCTTATCATGTAAATCTGTATTGAGATGACATCGTCGCTGATTGGTTTAGCGAGTCGATCGTTGATTGGTTTAAAACTAGGTCAATTTGAAAACTTTGAAAATCAAGATGGAGGGTAAGTTTTTGACAAAGGGAGGTGCGCGAAGGAGGAAATGGTATGTTATCAATTGAAACATGGGGTTTTCCCTCCATTTTTTGAGAGAGAGAATTATTCTTCACGTTGCTGCAATCTTTATATCGGCCGAAAACCAATGATTTATTTATATTTAAGGATCGTCTATGGAGAAAAAACCGTGCCACAATAAATGGAAGTGACTGTAGAGGTGTAGACTTAAACCGTAACTGGGGTTCACATTGGGGAGAACTCGACATCGCATCTTCGGGCGAACCTTGTAATTTAAACTATAGAGGGCCCTATGCTGATTCAGAATTGGAAGTGAAAGCCATACAGAGAGTGATTCAAAATATACAAGAATCATTAAAGGTTCGTGTGCATTTGTGTATAAGTGAAAGCCATACAGCATGTGATTTAGAATATCACTGGTCAGTATCAAGCGAAGGTAACGGCCGTAACCTTCGCATCTAAGATGGCGAACGGTAATTGTCGATTTCGATATTTTTAGTTTTCATTGAATTAAACTACACTATAGTTAACGTTATGCTTTGATATTTAAACCAAATCAGGCTTATATGACATCGGAACTATGGAGTATGATAATTTGTTCATATACCATGCGCGGACGCCACAGTTCAACGATATCTCCCAACACTAAGGGAACGTAATTGGTTTATGATATGGTAACGGTCATATTAGTTTCCAATTTGCGGTAACTGGACATCTTCTTGTTAGCTCTCCATTATAAACTCTCATAACATTACCGCATCACCGCATATCAGTTATCTTATCGAGCTGTAAAACTAAAATCGCACTTACCTTTCCTTCCGGTGGAAGATATCGTTGAACTGTGGTGCCTACGCACGGTAGGCATATGAACAAATTATCATTATCCAGAGTGTCCGTGTCGTACAAGGGTCGATCAAAAAGTTTCTTACCATTGGCTCTAGATTTTATGATTTTATGATAAAACTTTAACATGAGACAGGGCAGTTAGTTTGCTTGGAACTGTATCAGTTTAGAACGGCCCTCTGTCTCGTGTTAAAGTTTGAGCATCCAACTCCTCTTATTATAAAATCTAGAGCCAATGGAAAGAAACTTTTTTCGACCCTTGTATAAGCCTGATATAGTTCAAATATCGAAGCATTACCTCAACTATAAAGTGCGAGATTGTTTTCCAAACATTTGAATGGGGTTGTACTCACTGGCGACTGCGTGTTTCAGGTTTACATCACTTTACACTCATACACACAGAAGTTCCTAATGAGATGGTCTCATTCGAAAACAACAGCCCCTGATCATAGTGAATCGGTAAGTGTTATCCGTGGAATAATAGGTGATTGTGTTATTTTGGGTAGTGTAGATGTAGCTTTAGTGAATTTTATGCGAACCATTGCTAGTACTTATCCCTCAGTGTTTTAGTAAACTGAAAATATATGTATGCACGCGTTGTTATATCTATTATATATGTAATCTTAGGATATACAACCCCCTCAAAAAGTCTCTCAACCAGAAGTCGACGAATTTCCCATCTTTTACACTCTGATATAATGGAGACTTCCATATATCTGTTTGCCATACTTTTATACAAAAAATGATTCATAATATATTATATTGACGATGGAAGATCATGTTCAATACAAGTTAACAAATGAGTTCATTCTGGGCCACGTTTTAATACCTAAATACAAATTTATGAAGACATACTCCACACACTATTTCAGGAGAGAATAGCATATATAGCAACAGATGCAATTGAAGCAGTCCATGGTACTTCGTATTCTGTAGGAATAGCTCCAGATGTTTTATGTGAGTGTGATTTAAATTAGAATATTAGTTGATTTTACCATAAAAATATCACAGTGGAATACGATTAAGTTACGCTTCCATTGGTAATATCAGCTCTATTATTGGACCAAAATTAATAGCCATAAAGCCTGTCGGCTACCGGAATAACCTACTATTTTACGGCCAAGTCATTTGAATATGAATTATTCCATTCATATTCAAATGAGTTGGTCATAGAATAGTAGACTAATCCGGTAGCCACTAGCCGTTGGTTGCATTTGCGAATACAAGCTTTATGTCCTTGTCTAATTTAAGAGAAAACATCATTATTAATTGTTTACACATTATCAAATGGGGATTAAGGTGTTACAAAACCTTTGGAAAGTGCAACTTTTGCTAATAATTGTATTGTTGGAATGATTTTGTCATAATGTTATCACTTTCATTTGGTTATTGAAGCTTTGTCACCCAAATCAACAAATCAGAGTTTTGCTTCAATTAATTCTTATTTATATCATTTATTAGATTATAATATGTAATCGTACACTCCCCTTCATAAGTTTGGAAAAAGTGTCGTTATGGTACACTCCCCATCATAAATTTGGCAAACGTGTCGTTATGGTACACTCCCCTTCATAAGTCTGGCAACCTGAAGCCCCTTTTGAATCAATTGTCAAAGCCTGTTTTTGTTTAACGATTAAAAAAAATCATAGATATTTATTTCAAAATACTTCTCATTATAGTTAGCAAGAAAAACTTAAGGCTCAACGATTGAGATGCTTTGATATGTTGTCCTATGAAATTAAATATTCCCAAACTTATGAAAAGGGGCGTATAAAATTGTGCAATTTTGGGAATAATATCGAAAGGGGTGGATTGATTTTCAGATGCATACTCGGGAGGATCCCCGGACTGGATGAAGGAAAAAGGTGGAGCCACCTATAGCTTTGGTATTGAACTACGAGATAGTGGGCGCCACGGGTTCCTACTTCCTGCTGATCAAATCATTCCGACTGGAGAAGAAATCTGGGCGGGAATCGAACAAATCGGGGAAGAAGTTTTGATAAAATATGCTTTAAGTGACAATAACTGGGAGCGTTATAATAGTGCAGTTTCTTATAAATCAATAATATTTAGTAACCATTTTGTAATTTATCTATTTTGTATTTTTATAAACTATACATAAATGAACTTTAATGTAATTGCAATATCTATTTACCATATACAAATATACGTTGTAAAAAATTCTGTAATTTTGCATTCTTAGTTTCTCTTAGTGTTCAGTTATTTATTTAGAAAATGAAAATGAAAGTGATCTGATAACAAGTATGAATGTTGAGTATTTGTTGTTGTTAATTACACATAGGACATTAATTTATATCAATCATTTTTAATTAGAATACGTCATAAAATGAAATCGCTCTAAAATGGCCTTGTTTTACACACACTTATATTCATTTGTCTAATTTGATGTCTAATTTGATTTTACGGTTAGTAATTTAAGTCATTCATTTCTGAAAATCTATCATTTTGCACGATACTTTGAATAGAAAGTTGTAAAAATATTCAAAAAACAGATAAGCTCAAGGATAAGTCATCAAGTTGTGACTAAAACATGTATTTGATTTAAGACATCTTTTGAAATGAAATTTTAGATAATTTAGAAATAATAAACAATGTAATATATATAGGTTATTTACTGGGAGGGATTGAATATGGGTTTATCCGAGTGTCAATATGATATTGGCCAAGGTCAATATCATATTTTCCGAGGAATAAAACACATATTAAATCCCGACCAGAAATAACCTATTTATTCCATAATACATCCCTCTAAAATGTTATATTTTGATAATGCAAACATTATATTAATAAATGCACATTGTTTGCGCTCCCTCGGTCAATATCATATTGCCCAATGTCAATTTAATATTTTCCTAGGAATAAAACCCATATTCATTTTATCAATTAGTCAAGGTTAAAAATAACCAGGAAACCCAAAATAGGTTAATACGCTACAATACGATTTTTTCCCCGGGACAATACGATTTTTTTCATGTAATACGCTCTAATACGATTTTTTTCCCGGGGACAATACGATTTTTTATGTAATACGATTCAATACGATTTTTATTCCTTCATATTTACCTGGGAAAACAGTAGTATTATGGAATAAAACTTTTTATTTATAATTGAAATCATTAACATTTACTAATTAATGGTCTGAAAGCAATTCTCATGTTCCAGTATTTCAAATGTACACTCGTGTCAACCTCAGAGGGAATACAAAAAAAACAAATGTATTAGCAAGATTAATAAAATGACCCATATTTTAATCCTATTAGTACCCTGCATCATGCACCATGCACCCTGCACATTTTGGAGATAAACTCATTATTAACTATACAGGGCAAGTCTAAGAATTGTAAAAACTTTTTATGAAATAAACTTTCATATCATTTGGAATATAAGTTTATCAATAAATAAAAATATAGGGGTTGAGTTTTACTGGGGTTGAGTTTTGCAGGGTTGAGTTTTACTTGGGTTGAGTTTTACAGGGGTTGACTTGACTTCGGACTGAGTTGATTTGGGGTTGAGTTTTACTGGGTTGAGTTGACTTGGGGTTAAGATGACAAGAAAGCACCACAGAATGCAAAATATTTAATGTAACATGTTGACATTTAATTTGTGTATGCATACTACAAAATGCCAGTTTCGTTGATGTCTAGTGTAATATAAGTAAGAGCACTTTTCAACTTACTTCATAATCACCACGTATGTTCAGACAGAGACACATAAAAGAATAAACGCACGGAGCACACCGCGTCTCGAACTCGCAACCTCGTGGTTACGGCGCCAAATCACCTAGCCTGAACGTGCTGGCGCCTAAAACATTGTTTAAAGCATTTTTAATGAAGTTTTCACTTGTAATACACTACGATTGATTGTACATTGTAAAACATTTTTTGTTGGAAAGTCGCTCATTTCTAGCATTGGATCTTTCTTCCCAAACCATTAAAAAGAAATGCGGTTATTGAAAAAGAAACAGGGCCTACAATAACTAGAAAACGGCACCTCCACGGAGTAGCAAATCCCAACGAACACTATATAAATCATGAATCTGTACAGTCACAATGTAATATTTACAATCTACTCTTCCCTTCAATAAATATATTGAGATCATTGTATCCCAATATTACCCATTTTACCATACTTTCAAGATAACTCTAAGTAATGGCGAATTCCTGCTCTATAACACTTTGAATTTTCTGAGGTACAAATCAGAAAAATACCATAATTGTGATCTACTCTGAAATTTCTTCAATTTTAGTATAATATAGCCATACTTTAAGAGATCAAAAAATAATTGCAAAATCCAACATTAGGCAGCCATTTTGAATTTAACGAGGCCCGAATCAGAAAAACGATACAATATTTGCAATCCTGTTTTTCAAACCCCCCATTCACGGCACCTGGGGGGCAGGTTAAAAAACAGGGTGAAATAGATAAATCTCGTAAATATACTACCAAAATTTCAAATAATAATATTTATTATTGTTGTTTAAAATGAAAAACATAAGACTTTTGCAAAAGATTTCCGCCATTTTTAAACCGGCGGCCATCTTAAAAATCTTTTTTTGCGAAAAACTATTCACCAAAATATATCCTTCCAACAAATATGAAGAAAATCTGTCAACTAGTATTCGAGTTATCTTCTGGACTGACTGACTGACCGACCGACCGACTGACCGACTGACGGCTTCACTATATCCCTACTGAACTTAGTTCATTGGGATAATCATTATGTAAGCGACACAGTTAATGACTAAAATGTTCACGTTTATCAATACATTAAGTTGGTGGCTTATCTTTGGCGTCGTACAAATGTTGAGGAAGTTTGCAACTGATAAGATGAGATGCTTGAACGTAATACTTCATCGAATCAAAATTAAAAGTTAAACATAATGAAAAATAAAATGTTGTTTAAGATTTCTATGTCCAGAAAAAGTTTAAGAATATTTTGTCTCTTTAATACAATACGCATATTTATTCTGTAAATCTTTCCACAAGGCACGAGAGGCTCAGCATCCTCACTGTTCTAATTCGTTTTTTAAATATTGGTGATAACATTTATACATGTTTCAACATCGGTTAAATCTCCCTCTGTGGTACACCGAGCAAAATATATTTTTGAAAATTCCCATGACTGGTCAATAGCGATAGTTATTCACCAGTCGTCTCATTTTAAGGGGAGGGGGGTATAGATCAGTGTATATACGTTAGGTCATAAACTGGGATATTATTATCAAATTATTTAAGACTGAATGCTCTTTCTTGCATGCATCTACATGTATGCATTAGGCTAAATTAAAAGGTAAGCAGTAGATTAAGAGCTTTATCTATAATTTGAGATAAAAATGACATAGTTCATACTTTTAACTTTAATTTGATAACTTTTGTCAAGTTTAATGTTACAAAATTCAAGTGGATTTTTATTGTATTTTTTAATTCAGAAGAAAACAGTCTCGGCAAATCAGTAAAAACGAAATATAATTGTTAATCATGCAAACGGGACGTTCTGGGATATTTCCCCTGCATCTACTAATGCTGGTATTTATTACGAAGTTAAACTGCAATCGTATTTATGCAACCGAAGAGGCAATTAGATCAAGTCTGAAAAATATTTCATGTTGCGAAAAATGCAGATGCGTAGACACTGATGTTCTATGTGACGGTGTTAAGAACCTAGCTTCGCTACCATTGGATTGCCCAACTAACACAACTCGGCTAAGTCTTGTCGGTTGCAGACTGTCTAAATTGAACGATGGAGACCTTGGGAAGCACTATCAGACATTGGAGACATTGAACATATCTGGAAATAACATTAGTGTTTTACATAATGCAACATTCGCTGGCTTGAAACATCTGCACGTTTTGAACATCGGAGATAACTTTTATTCTGCAACTGAATTGGACAAGCACATGTTCAGTTCGTTACCTAACATCAGACACATCGAGGTGACCAGTTGGGGCGATGCTATGAAAAGGGGAACTGGCCGTATAGTAGCAAAGAACTGGATGAATACATTCAGCGGATTAGAAAAATCAACAATTGAAACAATTATATTCAAACACATCTCGAAAAACCCCGTAGTAGTGGAAAAATCATACTTTAAATATTTGAAAAATTCCCCGGTTAAGAATCTTATTTTCAATGACATGGAGATGGTTGATATTGATATTGACTGTTTGGAATATCTACCCCATCTTGAGGTTGTCGACCTTTCGACGAACACCTTAGAAATGACATTTAGCTACTTCAAGATGATAATTTACCTATATAAGCTAACAAACCTAACAGATGTGATCATAAAGGATAACGTGATGAGGCATGGGTCTGTGGTTGATGAGATCTTAACAAAAGAGCAAGCGATGACCTTTTACCAGTTTCCAAAAAGCATTCAGTTGATCGACTTCTCAGGATCAATCATGACGTTGGGCTCATACTCGTTCTCATACGGTTTTAGGGTACGAAGTGATAACCAGCTCACAAAAGTCGATATGTCTGGTATGAAACTTGTACATAACATAGGAGGTGAGGTGCTTGGTTTTGTTAAATTGAGGGAAATACACTTTCAAAACAACGGATGTGAGATCAGTCCATCTGCATTTTCTTGTCGAAATGGTGCATTTGAATCAATCCAAATTCTGGATCTTTCATACAATTATTTAAACTTGTCTAATGTAGAAAATGGTACTCAAATATTGGAAAACTGCACAAAACTTCAATATTTGGATGTGTCGCATAATAGAATGAACTCCATCCCTCCTTCTGCTTTTAAAGACACTTTTGGACTTAGGACCCTCAATCTAAGCGGTAACAATCTCAACGACATAATTATGGACATCAAGAATCTTGTAGTTCTGGAAACTTTTAACATTTCACATAACAAGTTCCAAATGGTGCCGAAATGCATTCGAGACGACCTGACTTTTCTCAAGCAACATCATAATATTAGTGTTAAACTGGACGTCACTGATAATCCTCTTATATGTAGTTGCCATTCCTTTGACTTTATAGAATGGATGCAAGTCAACAGCAAAGACATACACCAATGGGACACGCTGCGATGCACCTACTACAATGATTCTGTGATTCAAATGCGTACAATTAACGTCCCAATGCTACGGATAACATGTGTACAGAGATTAATATTTGCAGGTACTATTCCCAGTGGTTTTCTGATTATTGTAATCATCATAACGATTGTATGCTACAGACGAAGGTACAAATTACAATACATTTTCCTGCAGTTAAGAGCTGCATGTAGGCACCACGGGAAGGAAAACGCGGACTTTGATTTTGATGCATTTATTAGCTACAGTTCATTGGATACTTCCTGGGGAAAGAAAACACTTTATGTCAACTTAGTGGCAAAATTTCACTACAAAATATGTATTGACGACATAAATTTTAAACCAGGAACGGAAATCGTAGCAGCAATCTCGCGGGCCATAGCTAAAAGCAATAAAGTTATCCTTGTCATAACTCAGAATTTCCTCCGTAGCAAATGGTGCACGTATGAACTAAACCTTGTAACGGGTGAGCTGGCCAGCAAGGGACGAGATTGTATTTTGCTTATATTGAAGGAGCCGCTCACTTCCCTGCCTGAAGAATTAATCACCGATACGCTGCGTTCCCTTTTGGACACCAGAATTTACTTGGAATGGAGCGATGATGCTGACAGAAGAGATGTGTTTTGGAGGAAGCTCCGTGATTTACTTGGTGAACCTTTACCACGAGGGGAACACAATGAACAAGATGAAAGTCCATTATTTCCTCAGACTATAGAAGATGAAAACTTGGCTCAACATTTTCTTGCTCATGGGCAACAGCCAAGTATAAATGACGATGAAACACCATTATTGAAAACCGAAGACAACTGATATGGTTTTCAAGAGCTTTGACTGTCATAACCAATTTTCAGCAGCGTCTCTTTTTACGTTAGGTTTTCATTTAGTCAGGTATTAGTACAGTAACTAAAGTTGCAGTCTCTAAAGCGAATGAAGCATTTGTTTCACAGGCCCGTAGCATGCTTACCCTGCGTGCAGAGTCTAGTTAAACTACACTCTGCCTAGTAGAGACCATATTACAGTTAAGTAGCCCCGCCCCCAGGACGGGTACCGGTGACAGTTTGGGTAGTAAATCACTTCTGACCTACGTGCTGACCTTTCTTCCACCAATCAAGCGAGCTTGAAGAAACATACGCCAAATGCGTTCTAATTGAATATGCGCATGTCATTGGTCAATTCCGGGCTCAACGATGACGTCAGAAGGAATGACCATATAAAGAACGTCGGTCAAATTTGGCCGACGAACACTGATTGGCACGGTGAGTTCACCGGTTTATTTTAGTTTGAAAGAGTGAAGACGAAGCTCTCTTTTAAGAAGTGAAGTCAAACGAATGCAAAGGGTATAGCATGCTTTTGTCAATTTTCTATATCTACATTAGATTCGTCTACCCGAGGGCTTTCACCAGGTGTGTTTTGGGGGGCAATAATCAATCAATAGTGTTCCCGAGAAAGTCTTAAATATTTCGAATTTCTAACTAACTACTGATTGAGCCAAAAAAGGTAACACAAACAATGTTACTAGCTCATATACCCCGGGCATATACCTTGCATGGTTTTAAGGCACATTTAAACCTTGTTCAATGTTTTGGGATTCTTGTAAGTTTCACTGCTTTATTTCCAATGGTCACAGTTTGATATCCATTTTACAAAACGAGTTCCAAATGCCGAAACATGCCAAAATTACCCAATTTGAACCCCCGGGATTTTATCTTTGGGTCTATTTCAAAATTAACGACGTCTGTTCTAACAACCCTTGAGGCATCAGAGAGTTGAAATAAGAGATTAGAAGTAAAACAAGAGCCATTATACAAGATATCTGTGAGCGTGTTTTCAAAGAATTGTACATGAGATCTTCAAGTTTCCCTCTAGAGACGAGACATGCATTTTGAGGTTGTTTTGTAAACTGGCCATAAAGTCGTGGCCGTTTTGGAACATTTATTTTAATTAACACTTTTTGATCGATGAAATAATACAAACCATACTTGAGAAATGACATTTAAATTATATCTTATTATGAATTGTATGTCTTCAATAATTTCAAAATATTCGAATGTCTGTATCAACATGATAAACAGAAAAAAGCTAGTAAATAAATTTTATTGTTTTCGAATGTTTGAATAAAAAACACCGATCTGACACAGAATCATGAACCATGACAGCAATTAATTTTTTTCGGAGTTCGATAACGGGTCTCGTACGAGCTCCTACGGTCCTCGAAATTACGAGCCTCATACATGCTCGTATGGGCCTCGAAAACAACAATTAGGAGCATCGTACGAGCTCGCACGGGCCTCTAAAACGAGCTTCGTGCGAGGATGGTGCTCCTTTTTGCCCGTAATGACCCGTTATTCTCGAGGCTCGTACGAGCTCGTACGGGGCCCGATGTAATTTGCCTGTGTAGAAGTCGAAGATTTGTCAATGCGCTATGTTTGTCTTAACAGTATCTAATACATGCTGGTGACTGCTACAGGATGAATATAACTATAACATGCAATTAAAAATAGAAAACAAGAAGACAAGAACACATCAAATCTTGTAATTTGAGATATGACATATTCAATATCGCACAGAATTTTGAACAGAAAGTTTTATTTGATGCATAATACAATGAGCGTTAGAGGACGGTATTTGTGTAATGTCACTTCTTTTTATTCCATAATTGTAGCTCGAGGAACATCACCCCTAATAGTTCCGTTTTTAAATTTTAAAATATATTATTTTGTGTTACAGGCCGAGGTTTAAAAGTTCATCTCATAAATATGTTAAGGAGACACCAATAAATATATATAATATATATTGACAAGTACAATAGTTATGCTTTTTACAATGTTATGCTTTTTGATGGCCATTATTATAGCTTAACTAGAAAACAAGCAACTCCACGGACTAGCATATTCCTACGAACAAAGCATGTGTTGATAAACACCCAACACTTTGTCGGTTTGGACATTGCATGATAGAATTAGTTAAGTAGCATTGTCTACATTGGGCGAAATCTACACCCATGACGTGATGGCCCCATGGGATGCCATAGATTACATGAGTTTACGAAAAATACCGACCCTACCGACCGCAGACCGGACGGTGTTTTCCACTGGAAGCCTTAAAACAGGGTTTGAAGAAAATGTGTAAAAGACCGACCATATCATGTAAAAGACCGACCATATTTGTGGCCTTAAAATATTAATAATTCGATTTTGAATGTCAATCGTAAGCAACGTTTTTACCGATTTTGTTCCTTTCAATAAAAGGCAAGCTTACAAATTTTGCATGACCGTCTCCTCTCAATTTAATTGTCCTGCCTTAGGATCCTGACAGGGTGTCGACTTTTGGCAAGCAACCGAAGATACCTCAAGAAAATCCGGAGATTGCCGAAGATTGCCGAAGCCTTTCTTTGCAAACGAAGTTGGCCGAGGGTACCACGAATGTGAAGAGGACGTCTCTAATTGGTCAAAAATAGGGGCTCGGCATTCTCCGTCAGATTGAATCGGCAAAATTCGGTTGTATGGCTTACCTTCGGTTGTATGGCTTACCTTCGGCTGCATGGCCCAACCTTGATTGATTGGAAAAGATGCTGTCCCGTTCCTGACATACCCACCCTATGCTTAGTGAGCGGAGCTAATTTCAAGGGTGAAGGTAAAGACGAGGCATGGCGCCCAAAAACCAAAGAATATTAGTACCATAATCTTTTAAGGTGGGACCCGGTCCGTCAGCATACCCAGCACAATACTATTGCTTAATTATTCTATGTAATTTTTCAAACTCAAAGACACCCATCCATACGAATAATTATGATGGAATAATAATACCAATGTATTTAAATATTCACGTACGAAGAAATATTTGCATCTTCGGGCATTTATAGTTGGGAGATATAGCGTATTGCGTTTGAAATATTTGAGCGCTAGTAACGTCATGGTTTCTATGACATGAGAAAACAATGGCGCTCAAATTTTACGTGCAGCATCGTGAAGCTAAATGGCGATGAATGATTGAATTTTCCTTGTCATATTATTATAATTCTTTCAAAATATAGTAAAACTAACTAATCTAAAGCACAGAGTTTGTTTAATCTACATTTACAGCGTAATATGAAAAATATGATGTGATATAAACACCAGTTGAGTCCTGATCACTGTGTACATGGTTACCGACACGTCACATTTAATGTTGCTCAAAATAATATTATGTTTCTCGTCGCACTATTTATATTTGTAAATACATAATACTCTGTACATATGTTTAATAGATTCAAAAATGACTTTTGTTCGTTTTATTACTTCGTAAAATTGTATATTCTCGTATATGTAAAACGTTTCAGATTATCCTTTTTATTGGCACGACTTTTGTCCTAGTTCAGTTGTTGTCACTTTCGCTTTCGTATGAGCTTCGTGTAGGCCTAGTTATATTTTCTTTGCCTTTTTTACATTTTTTATTTATGAATTGTTAATTCGTCATTGTAAAATGTTTGATAAGAGATATCTTAACACCCGAGAATTTTTAAAACTGAGTGCAACTGGCCCAATGGCAACACAATCAATGCCCAATGTCGGGAAGAGTGCAATAATGAGTGCGAAGGGGCGTGTTTTCACGCGTGTTATATGAGCCAGTTGAGACCCCGGGGTTGAGACCAATGCTGTAGAGGTTTACGGCGACTGATCGTCGCTAATGAAGGCGTTATGAAGGTATGTACTTAGAATTATTATTAAAATAAAAAACATAGGCAAGTTACGTCTGTGAGTTCTTCACAATAAAGTGCCTACACAACAGGTGAAAGAAGTGGCTTGAGACTGCAGAAAAGCCGACCAATCAGAATGCCTGATTTACCTTAGTATGTCCTATAACACCCTGGACGAAGACGAAGTGATAAGGTCAAAACAAGTGGCTCTGATTTAGGAAAAAACGATCTTCCTAAAAATAAACATGGCAGAGCAGGGGTGAGTTTATTTCTTTAAATTATACCCTTTCTTGGCCACCTGACATGTTCAAACTCGGTACATTGATCCAAGACATATCCACCTCTCTATATATAATATTGTAACGATTAATACTAAGAAACGAAATGAATACGAATTGAAATAATATATTTTTGTAAATAACCGCAATATTTTTTTTGATTATTTTCGAAAAAATAGTAGATACTCTGTTTCAAATGCATTGATATTTGGCGATATGATAGTTTATGAACCAGGGAATGTCATATCACCATTATTTTTCTAATACAAGAAGTAATTTACGTCCCTGAGACGAGATTAGATTTATTTTCTGGAAAAAACGCGGCTCTGATTCCCACAGAATATATGGAAAATACGTGGAATGGATGTCTAATTAATCACTTGTTTACTTTCAGGTGTGTAGGCTTCCAATGCTACCATTGTGACGGGAAAACAAAACAATTTAATGCAATAATACAACACTTGATTTTAAAACACCCTGAAAATGAAATGAAAATCAGAAAAATTATTAATGTGAATGGAACGATTAAATTGATAACAAAAAATTTCTCAGATGTGATTCCCAGTGAGATCGAAGCCAGTGGCAAAAAATAGTGATTCAGGATCAGGAGGACTCCATGACAATATCAATAGCCCAGTACTTGGACAGTGATGTTCCCCATGTATCTAAATGCTCAAAATTAGATATTGACAGTAAAATATTGAAGATCTAATACATGAGTTCACCAGTGTGTTACCTGATGTCATTCAACGACTTGCCGACGATGGATCTATACGCACAATACTTAATAACTCATTTCCATTGCACAACATTGCATATAGGTGTTTTCTTGACGGCGTGGACTGGATGGGATGCGATATGAATACCCAATTCCGATACAAGGACCCTACCACTGTACGATTCTGGCGAATTGGGTATCGCTTATTCAAAGGAAAATTTCTTCGGTATATGAATGGCGTGAATGATCGTAGTGATGGAATATCAAACTTCATTATTCAAACGAAGGATATTCTCAATATGAATAGTGCGATAAAGGACGAATTTTTGCCTGGTATAAATGTGCAAGCAATTGGTGATATCGCTGAGAAGGATATTGGTTCTATGAAGACAAGGAAAATAGTGGTAATTCACATGTTTTCTCATATAATTTAATCTAAATTAGATTGATTTTTGTGTCAGAAAATCACAAATGACCGCATTAGATTAAACATATTGTATCATCTTATTTGTTGTTTCGCTGCAAGAAGATGCTTACCCAAATGCTTAAGATATATTCTTTTGATGAATATTGTGTTCATTTGGATTGGCTACTCTGGAGTTTCCATTCTCTAGTTTCATATAATAAATATGTTGTTGAATTATGTATTAAACATCAACCTGCAAATGAATAATATTTTGTATGTGTACATTTTGTATTATAAATAATTAAAAAATGCAAGTACATTTTTATAAGCATAATACTACATACTGTTTAATGAGGTAATTTAATGTCTTTAGTAAGCATGCTTCAGAGTTATTTAATTTACTAATTGCAAGCCTTGTGACCAAAACATTGTTGAGCCACTAGGCTACATGTTAAAATGATTTTAAAGATGAGTTTTAAAATGTGAAATACTTATATTATGTTTGTTTGGGGCACTGTATATGAAATATATACTAGATAGCTCTACATGTTTGACATGTCATAGATAGCAAATTATTTTGTTACCTCTGTTTTTATTAATTTATACTAGGATGAAGAAAATCTAGATTTATACAAGTGATGATTGATGAAGTGAAATATATTTTTGATAATTCATAAATTGCAATTTAAGAAAAGGGTATTCTTATATATACAAGGGCCGATCAAAAAGTTTCTTACCGATGGCTCTAGATTTTATAATAAGAGGAGTTTGGTGCTCAAATGTTTACATGAGACAAGGTAGTTAGTTTGCTTGAGACTGTCTGAGTTTCATATAAATTGGTTTATTGGTAGTGACACAGAGTCAATACATATTTCCAATGACTGAATTAGGTGGAGCAGCGTTTTTTTATGAAAAAATTGTGCTAAGCTGCAGTTTTGGAAATTTCTAACACTAAGTAGTGTCATCTGTCAACAGACTGTAGTTTAATCATGTTTAATTAGTGTTTCTGCTTATATTCATTCTCATTCAAAATATTTGACCCCAGTTGCAATACACTTCCATATCTGTCCACTCGATCCAAAAACACATGTTTAAGGCCTTCCTATGGGAGGTTTGAAACGATGTCGGTAAATTTCCAGAACCACAACTCAGCAGATATTTTATATAAAAAACGCTGCTCCACCTAACTTTGTCATTGAAGGTTTGAATTGACTCTGTGTCACTACCAATAAACCAATTTAAATGAAACTCGTACAGTTTCAAGCAAACTAACTATCCTGTCTCATGTTAAAGTTTGAGTTTCCAACTCCTCTTATTATAAAATTGAGAGCCAACGGTAAGAAACTTTTTGATCGGCCCTTGTATACTTTGTCATGATTCTGGTCATACAATTTTGTAATGCATACCTAATGCATACCTGACCTTATTTTTATAATAACTGTTAGTCATAACTATTTGAGTAACAATTTTAATCATATTTTGGAATAATTATTATAGGTAATTATATGATTATTAAAAGTAATTACATTAATATTATAGGTAATTATCAACACAAAAGTTCAAATATCAACACTGTACTGTAGTTATTTGTTTTCTTAATTGTATAGTTCTTTACACAGATATAGATGATAGAATAAAGTTTATTTTTGAAAACTTTATTAATACTATTGTTATTTTTTTAAAAAGTGGAACTTTAACAAATACATTATATTATTCCTTTGCATTCATTCGACTAAACTGCTTAAAAGAGGGTTTCATCAAAATTAATGAGATTGAATCAAAAATCTAAACAATCACTGTGACTGCTTCTCAGGCTAAACAAAAGATACAGTAAGGCAAATGATTTGTTCTATAGTAAATGTCCAAGACGATTTACTAAAATAGTGGACATAAACATAATTCCCATTCATGTGCAATGGCAGTGTAAATAAAGGGGTTGTTTTGACATCCAGATCTTTGGACTTTGCGTTGACAACGGGCATCGTACGTCTAACAAGCTGCATGTATCTTAGACTCTTATTTCATCCAAAGGCCACTTCCACATGACTTGATGTAATATAAAGAGATTTTCGACGCTTCATAACGGCGATTGTCATAGGACATGACTGGAAAACGTTAAATTAATGAAACTAAATCAGGTATAGAAAGCCGCGTTTTATCACAAATCACCATCGCAAATCAGTAACCGCTTATTTTCCTCAAATGTTGTCGTCGGGAGTAAAACAATAGGCATCACATCAAATTGAAATAACTGTCGATGCTGTAAATGCACATATGAAAAGAAACATACAATCTCGGTGTGCATGAACGTTTATATGCATCATTGATCATCAATGAAAGATATTTTGACAATATAAAATCGTAATTTTTAGCGGGAGATATAATTCTCAACTTTAATTTACACTCCAGCCACTAATGCGCGTTCCATTCAATTTAAAACACACGAACTGAGTAGTTTAGATGTACCACTTGAACATAATACAAAATTGTATATGATTCTCCTCTTTGTCCACAAGAATTTAACCTTACAAAAATTGGGGTACAAAAATTATTAATTTTTAGGAAGATTGTTTTTTCCTAAATCAGAGCCACTTGTTTTGACCTTATCACTTCGTCCAGGGTGGTATAAGTGCATACCTTTTGATTTTCGAGAAACGTCTCCACGCTCGAATTTCACCTATCTATCACTAGTGGATCGCTTTAAAAGTGATACCATCAAGAAACGTGCTTGGTCAGCTTCACGATGACATTATGCTTTTAGAAATCGAACGAGAAATAGAGAAGAAAAGATCGTAAAGTGCCATTTCTGAAACGTCGAGTTTGAAAACCTAAAAGTGGATTCGAACTGCAAGAAACCCGACCAATCAGAACGCAGCATTTCTTATGTGAACCTTGGATTTCAAGAAATCGGCTCTTCCCTCGATTTCCTCCGTTTTCTCGCAAGTTGATCACCACAAAAATGGCACCGCATGGAAGCTATTGTTGCTATCTAAACCATGGTCACTGGGGGGTATCGTGATGCAACAACACCGTGTTGTTGCATCAAGATGGCCAGACTTCCGGTGATAGATTTTCGTACGATATTTTTTTCCCAATTTAAACCCATTTCTAGGACGAGTTGCTCAATAATCATACACATGCAGTTAGCTCATGATCTATATTTTAAAAAACTCTCATTAGTATGCATGTAGCATCATCAAGAAGCGAGACATTCGCGGTTTTAATTCCTCACTATTGATGCAACAACACCACTCTGTTTATTTTCAATGATGCAACAACACCAATGTGCTGATGCAAAAACGCCAATATAATTTATCATTGAATATCAAGAGAAACTGTTTTATGTTCTGTTTATAGGTGTTGGTCGGGACATGAATAAAACGCGTGAGTGCGTGGTTCATGAATGAAACGTATTTTGTTTGGTTCCTTAATGTATTTGTCTTTATCAAAAGTTAAAAGGATATACAAGGTAAACTAAATATATAGGCTAAGTATTGAATCCCCGGGAGCCAACCTCATTGTATCTGAAAAATAAAGATTATTCATTTTCTAAATTAAATCTCCTTGATTTACCGTATCGTATGGAAATTGTTTACAAAGAACTAGTATAACTAGACTTTGGAAATTGAACAAGTTCAATTTCAGACTCCAGATCTGGACTTTTTTAAGCCGAGTCATCCAGAAAAAGATGGATGGATGGATGGATGAAATAGGAAGGAGGGATAGGACAGAATAGGATGGAACGATGGGAAAGAATAGAGAAGAAAGATAGGATAGAATAGCAAGGAAGGATAAGATAGGAAGGAAAGGATAGGAAGGATAGATAGATAGGAAGGAAAGGATATGAAGGATAGATAGGAAGGAACGGATAGGGATAAAAGGGATAGGATAGGAAGGATATGATAGAATAAGAAGGAACGATAGGATAGAATAGTAGGATAGGATAGGAAGGATGGATGGAAGGATGGATGGATTTTTCAACATTTTCTTCGCTACTCTTGACTTTCTATCAGGATACCATCAGATCGATTTTTCTCGAAATTTCAAAACGCCATAACTTCCGAAACGGAAGTCGGATCGAAATTTGGTTTGCAGATTCTGATTCCTGAGAAAATTTCATTCTTTATTCATAACTTTTTTTTTTTTTTTCAATTCAATTCAATTTTATTTATTTCATAATTCTTATATAATATACACTATAAAAACAAGCCGATAGACACCCTAGTGGGTATATGTTGCGGTTTAACAGAAATTATTAAAATGACATCTAGACTACATATAAAATAAAACACTTATATTATGTTACATGTAGGTATATAAAAATGGTATTAACAATTTATCTAAGGATGTACAATATAAAAATGTTACAAAAAATCAGGTACCAGTATAAAATCACAATACAGTATGATCTGATTGGTATTATGTATTATCGATAGATGAGTAGTTTTTTATATGAAGATTTGAAAATATTTAGAGTGGAGCATTTTTTAATATCATGTGGTAGAGCATTCCAAAGATTAGGACCTAGATAGCGAAGGGAAAGTTTAGAGCATTTAGGGATATGAAAATAATGCAATTGTCTTGTGTAATGATGATATGATAGAGGTATTAACTCAAACGTTAATTTTGGAGAATTTTTTATTTTGACCTACTTTTTGGACTCCATATCTCAAAAGTGGGTTAAAATACTTTCTGACGGCAAAAGGCTAACACTATTAGTACACTCTTGGCTACATGTATACACAATTTCGAAGAATATAATTGAAGTGTAGTGTCAGAATCACAAAAATAAGGAAAACTTTGAATTTGACCTAGATTTTGACCTAGACATTTTTGTGTCCAAATTTTGAAGCTAGATTGCTTTTGAGGTACCCTTTAAAGGCTTTCATTAAATTAAGCTGTACTCGGTCGTATATATGTCGTATTTTACACTTTTTTCCATTGACTTAACATGGGGCACCAAATTTAGCGATTTTGAGTTTTCAAAACGCCATAACTTCCGATGAGTGTTGGTTTAATGATATTGCAGTTATACAATGCTATTATATAGAGGTTATTTACTGAGAGGGATTCAATATTGGTTTTATTCCGGGACACATTATGATATTTCCCGAGGGCCCAGGGGGAATCTGGGATTACTGTACCCCTATCAATTTACCTTTTCGGGACCTAAATCCTATTATGTACCTTTTTACTCAATCGAGGAGAACGAATCCAAAGAGGACAATACTTCTACATGTGCGCTGTGCACGATCTCCAATAGCTTGTCGTGTTTACCGAGAACGAAAGATGCTTG